CAATAAGGAAAATAAAAACTCTTGTTTCTATTTATCATCAATACAAAACCAGCTAAACTAGCGGAACGTTCTTCTTTTGATTAAATAGAAACAACTACGCTTGACTTTCATTCGTTTATTTATCTTGCCACATGATTTCATTTATTTACGGAGGCCCCACCCTAGGGTGACGGGCAACCGTATTGGATTTACGCAAAAATTTCAAAAAATTTTCTTTGCTTAGTTACACTTAAAATGGCTTGAAACGTCGAGAAAAGTGGAAAAAAACGAAAAAAAAATTTGTGTCCGCTTTCGGGTCTGGATGGATGGATGGATGGATGGATGTAGACACTCGCATTTCTACATTTCTTAACCGATTTTAAAAATTTCTTCACCAATGTGTTTTAAATACGAATAGAAAGTTTCTATCAAATTATGGGGTTCGTACCTTCAGTATTTCAGGTACCTGCCATACAAAGTTGCCCTTTTCCTAGCGAAAAAAAAAAAACATTGCTAGCGAAAAAAAAAAAACATTCCCAGCGAAAAAAAAAAAACATGCCAGCGAAAAAAAAAAAACATTGTGAAGAAAAAAGTCTGTTACCGAAAGTCGGCCCCAACAATAAATATCGTGCAAAAGCCCGATATTTAAAACTCCGGCAGTTATAGAATTTCTAGACGAACAGTATTAGTAAAAATCTAACTCCAATAAGGGGCCACTTTGTGTAAAAAGTTTCTGGAATATCGAAGGTGGAAACATTATACAAAGTGGCCCCTTATTGGAGTTAGATTTTTACTAATACTGTTCGTCTAGAAATTCTATAACTGCCGGAGTTTTAAATATCGGGCTTTTGCACGATATTTATTGTTGGGGCCGACTTTCGGTAACAGACTTTTTTAATGATAGAATACGATTTTCATTTTATTTCTTTATTTTTCTTTTTGTTTTTCATTCCTTCAACATCATGTTATTGATAAAAGCGAAAAATAGTGCGTGATTGATTGAATTTTCTATAAATTACTAGATACTAATTATTAGAACGTCACTACATGCCCCACCAGTGTTCCAAATATTCGTGAATAGAGCAGAACATAATTAGCCGTACAGTGCTATAGGCCTTCGGCGAGGAAAATATTAAAACATGGAGAGTCCGATTTTTGAACATAATTTAATTTACAGTTCAAACATCAAACCCTTGCCAGTTATAAATAATTTAATACAATATTGATAAATAGAAGAAAATTTAGTTTCTCTAGCAATATTTAAGAATTTTTAATTTTCATTTAATTTTTTTTTGAGATTTCAAGAAAGTTTCTAATGAGACGCGATAGTGGAATTAAAATAAAAGAAGAAAATTCATAAATATGATTGATGTCTTCGCATTACTGATTTTTGATGTTTAAGTTATGTTTCGTGTTTCGTTTTGCTTTTGGCACTATTTATATAAATAAAAATCCAATTTTCATCAATAAATATTTTAAGCTCATGTTGCGATATATTTATTTCATTTTATTTTCTTGTTTTGTGAGAAGTTTTGATGATGACATAAATGAAACGATTTTTGTGTTTTGTAATTTTAATTCACACGCACATAAAGCGAGTGATAGAAAATTCTTTTCATTCAGTGTATCATCAATTAGTTAAAATGTGATATTTATGTGTTTGAATATTCTTTTTCTTGTGATTTCAAATTCTTATTTTAAATCTGAAGGATTTTCTTTTCTTGTTTTATTTGCACAATGCGTGTCAAAAGAGTGACTTGGATAATACCAAAGATACGATATCAGAATCGGTTTATGAGGAGTTTGATTTATTTTTTCTTCTCTTTATAATGTATCACAATTATATTTACACTTCATCTGTTGTCTAGAAAGCGTAATGATATAGAGAGTAATAATCTTGTGTTTACAATATTGAAGAGGTGGTAGATTCATTGAATTTTGTGTTTTTGTAAGTTTTTCTTTCAGAATTATCGCAAAATACATTTTTTTTTCATTATTCTCCTACTTTCATTTCCCTTTTTATTTAAATATATTTATGTATTTATTTCTTTTAAGCTAAATACTGTTTCTCCAAAAAATTTGGCTTTCACTTGTGATATATTTAGTAAAAGTGCATTCTGATCCAATCACATCTTGAGTAATTAATGTGACACTTAAAAGATTCTCTGATGAGACGAAACACGCACTCAAATTTTTTATTTTATTTTCTAAGAATGTTAAATAAAAACTTTCATTCATTTTTTCCTCTTTTCTTTTTTAAATCGTTTAAAGCTTAATTCTCCTTTGATTTGATTTTTTCACATCTTTTAATTTTTCTTCGATGTGATTTTAACTTCATGAACGGGCGCACGATGGACTAATCGGATTGTTGTTGAGAAGTTAAACTGAATTAAATATTTTGATTTAATTTAATCGAAAGATCAAACTGAACTTTTAATCCAACCTTCTCATAGAATGAAATCATTTGTGAATTGATTCGCTCAAAATATTGTTCAAACATTGATTTAGCCGTGGAAATCAAATCATTCAATTGGAATTTCTGGATGATTCTTTAACATTCCTATGTAAATATTATTTTATCTTTCTTTCTTTCTTTCTTTGGGCGTAAAAAAGTTGTAAATTTATGTAATTCAATCGTTTTAATAATTTTCAATTTTTGATCAAATCAAATACAATTAGAATTTTCTTGCTTTCGCTCAATAGATTTGTAGATTTTACTTCATTCGATAAACTTAGCCCGACAATACATGAACTTTAAATCCTTTTACGTATTTAACTCGTGCGCAAAAATTTTACTCACTTCGCCATTTTTTTCTTCTCTTAAATATCACATTTTATCAATTATATTTATTTCTTTTGAATTTTAATGTTTATAAACTTAAGTTTTCTTTTTCTTTTGTATATTTAATCAACTTCTCATTTTTTCTTTGTTAAATGTTTTCTTTTTTGTCTATTTTACCTGTTTTCATTTTGTTCTAATAATTTTTTTGTGTCACTTTACTTTTAAAAAAAGAAAAGCAATTAAAACATGTTGAGAAGATTGAAAGTAATCAGAGTCGATTTCGAATATTTAGTGAAAGCAAAGAGTTGTGAAGTAAAATTCTTTATTAAATATAAATTGATGTGCCGGTGGTAGAAAAACTTGTGTAAAGTTTATCGTGAGAATTTGAGTGTAAAAGTATACATGTAGATGAATAAGTTGAATGCAAGAGCAACGGGTAAAAGGTGGAATGAAAAGTTCATTATGAAAACTTATCTACATGACTAAGTATAGTCGATAATTTGAAAGTTTTATTTGCCTTCTCCCCGTAGATTGCCATTTGCATTATTTCTCATTAATTTCTCATGTTTTAATTTCATTAAAGTTTCTAAAAGTTTATTACAATATTGTATTCATTAATATGTTAATTGTAGAAATACAAAATATATCATTCAACATTTTTCATTATCAAGTTTTCTAGTACGGGTTTTTCTTTTGTAGTTCTAACTCTTTTTTTACCTTTTCATTTGGCTAAAAAAGCTTTATTTGTTGATTTAAATCCTTTCCAGAGGGGAAAAGTAAATGAGCGAGAATTAGGGCAGTATGAAAGTTAAGTTTCACGACCCTCAGCATAGAAATAAAATATAAAAAATTCAAAGAAATAAACAAAGAGTTTTTGTTCTCAACAAAAAGTCCGGAAAATTATTTTCTATCCTAACAAAACAATTTTTTGTTTTCATTTAAATTATTCTTTGATGAGTTTTTTTCTTCCTCTTGTTTCTATTTTCATGTATGTTAATTAATGAATTTTCGCAATTGTACGGAAATATCGTCAAGAAAAATCATTTGGATAATATTTTTTATTCTTTCTTTGTTTTCTGTCAGAATATATTTAATTATATTGCACATGATCGATTAACTTTTTTCTTTTTCCACAAATCAGATGATTATTGCACAAAACTATGTAATTAAGTCCAAAAAGAAACAATAATTGCATTTGATGTGATTAGAAAAGATTATGCAGAAAAGTTTGAAAAAGGTGACAGTCAAAGAATAATTCAAACAAATTTAAAAATATTTTAAATTTATTATTGATAAATAGAAACCAACTGAGCAAAAATATCAAACACATTGTTCGTTGCTTAATGAACAGCGTAAAAGTGAATCAGTCAAGTGAATTTTCGTTATCGAGCAGGTTAATGGAGAAACACAAATTTAACGAACATTTTTTTCGCTATTCTTTAACTAGTCAATTATTATTTATTTATAATAACGAAGAATGAAAACATGTGACTTTGAGTTTCCACAGATGGAAATCTCACGCTTATGAATTCACTAACATGATCTTCAATGATATCTAAATTGACATAATTTGATTTAACACTTTTTTCCTACTTGAATGAAAATTTGGATCACGATTGATTCCCAATCATGATCACTTAACATACTCAATGATCTTGACATCAACGATTGATGTCAAAATTTGTCTTGGAAAAAGAGGAAAAATTGAAAATTCAAATCGCTACTTTGTTTTTTCCCATTTTTTTCGTTCATGATTTAGGATTCATTTTTCTTAAAATTTGTGCCCATTTAGCCTTGATTTCTTTAATATTTCTTACAAATAGTGAAGAGTGATGATCATTAGATTTATATTTAATCATTATCATCATTGTTCAATCATAGGAATATAAAACTTAGCTGCTAATGATTGTTTTAAAGATTTGTTCAAATATTTCCTTTCCTTAAGATGAAACTTTCCTTCCTCTCATTTCTTTTCCTTTCATCATTTTGACACCATTTGAGTGTTTGTGTTCTTATGTGTATGTCAATTTGTGATTGTATAAATTATTTATTTATTTATTTATTTATTAAACTTCTTAGTACCTTTTCTCTTAACACGTTTTACCACTTAATCTGCCTACACAATTATTTGATAATTATATTGTAATGCACAATGTATTTAAATTCATTTTGATAGCAGGTGTGAGTTATGAGCATGGCAATTAGAGCTTGAAAGTTAAGCTGAATTCTTTTCACTACATTGTTTTGTCTTGTGATTATTTTTCTTTAAATATAGGAGAAGAAAATTCTCTCGCTTTGACTTTATTTAAACTTTCTTTTTTTTGTTGTTTGGTCCGTAATTCCAATCAATGATATTTTTGTTTTCTTTCTTTTCCTTTTTTGTTGCATCAAGATTTGTGGTCAAGATGTGATAAAAAAGAACTGCAAAAAAATATTCATGATAAAGTTGGAATAGCTTAGAAAATTCAATAACTCTTGCTATTCAATTCATTTTAGAGAAGTGATTGTCATTGTGATAAATTTGCAAAAAAGAAGAAACATTTTTCACGTACAGATTAAACTTTTCATCATTTAGATCATTTTCATCTTTCTTTTCATGTTCCCAATTTTATTTTAACTTCTTTTCAATTGATTTCATAATTTAAATGTTTCTTTTCCACTTTGCATTTTCTTTTTATTTCGCTCTTCAGCAAAACCACTACGAGTCTGGGAATGAAAGAAAAACAGAAATTTTTTCCTTTTTCTTTTATTTTCCTAAGCTCAACATTTCCTTCTTTTTTTTCTACCTTTTCTCCAACTTTCAATTGCTACGTCCTCAATCACTTAGGGTACTTTTCTTCCCTCTTGAAATATGATGACGCTTCTCTCATTTCTTTCCACATTCATTCAAAGATTTTCTTTTTCTTTTCTGCGATTTTTATTTGCAGAATGTAATTTATTCTTTTTTCCTAGGAAAATTCCTTGAAAGAAGAACTTTTTTATTTCTTTTTTCGATTTGTGAACAGAAATTTAGCTTCAGCTAGAATCAGGACATGAACATATGTTTGTAATATGGGTAAAATATATAGTTCCACTGAGGATCGTCTCCGATACTTTATATACTTTCCGGACTGGCGAGAAACACTATTTAATAATACTCTTGGGAGACTCAAATAGTGAAAATTTATTGTAATGCTTGTTGTTGCTGTTTTACTTTTATACTTTTTTTTTATTTTTCTATCAATAGATTTTTTGTTCTCGCTATTTTCTAGGATAACGAAATAAAATTGTAATGTTCTTCCGAGGGATTTTCATTGAATCGCCTTGGCAAATTTCCATGTTTTCTTGCTTTCTTCTCTTATGAATCTTTCAATGTAGTAAATAATGTTAATATTGATATCATTCAGCTCGCGCGTTCTTTAGGTTTACGTGATAATCCAACCGGAAAATCTATCGAAAACATATTTAAATGTTTTTCTGTTTTCCTTCAATCGCACTCTCTTCGCCGAAGATTAAAATTGTGTCAGGTTAAAAATAAACTGGTTCAGAACCATTAAAGTATATCGACGAAATTTAAAAATAAAAATCAAATAAATTTAAAGTTGAGCTTCGAATAATGAAAATTGATGAATGAGAAATAAATTTTAACGAGCTCATAAATTAGCTTGTTTCAATCATTAATCAATTTTCATTGTCTCAGAATCTTGAATTAAAAGGGAATAATAAAGTTAAAAATTAGATTAAAATATCATGGATGCAATTATAAAAGAAATTCCGTAATCAAATACTTGATATCTTATTGATAGTCCTTAATTCAAATGTTCATTAAACACGAGTTAATTAAGAGGGAAACAAGAGATGACATGACATTTAACCTCGATAAACGATATCGGTTGTCGTGTCAACAACAAGTCTTTTGTCATCTCTTCATTTAACCCTCACTTCTTTACACCACTTGCCCTATTAAATTATGAAATGTAATACTTAATTAACACATTCTTGTAAACTCTTTTTCACTTAATTAATCATAAAAAATTGAACAATATAATTCTCAACAATTAACGAAGAAAAGTTTTTTCTTTTTCTCTACGGGAAAAAAGTCGGACAAAACCGAAATTAGATATTAAATGATAAAAGATTATGCCTTAAATAATATTATGCAATCGTAAAATCCATACCATTGTGTTTTATTTATCTCTCAATCATTTTTTTTACGTTTAGATTGCGCGGATGAATTGAAATCAAAAAGTATTATAAATAATCAGATCAGTTCAATTTCCTGTTTTTCTTTTCTTTCAATATTTTTGTTTTTTGTTGTTGCTTGTCAATCATTTTTTTAAGATTCGAAAGCGAAAGTTTGTAGATAAGAATGATGATATTTTGATCCCGATATTTTCATCTTCATCATTTCGCTGAAGTAGCGATTTATGATATATTTTTTTTGCGTTTATATGTAGTTTAAAGCAATTTAAATGTTGGATTTGGAGAAGCTGACACGTAAGTGGTTAGACTCAGACAGCTGATGATTATGCATTTTAATCAAAGCTTGAACGGCTTCCTCGATGGAACCAAGCTGCAGAAGCGCCATTTTATGATCCTTCCTGTAATTGGAAAATGAGAAAAAAGAATGATGAGTTAAGATGAGTTTTGTGCGTGTTAAGTTATGCTCAACTTACGGGAAAAATTTAAATGCTTTCACTTCGAAATTACTCGCTGTAAATGCTTCTTTAATTTCTTCTTCGGTTACCGTAGCTCTAAATGATGCGTAGGCGGGTAAAAATAAAGAATAAAGTTTTTATTATTACGACAATATTTTTTCAAGGTGCTGCGATTTTGTCTTTTATCTAACATGAAACGTTTGGCATTAAGATTTTCCTATTCATAAATTTTTAGCACGGCAAGAGAGTCTTTAGCGAAGCGACTTCATAAATTGATTTTTTTTTCTTGTTTTCCTCTCTTTTTCTCTATCACGGGATTAACATCCGCTCTTACTTGCTTCAACACATAAAACAATTGAGTGAAAATGCTGCTAAAGCCTAGAAAATAGCTACGACAACATCCCGCAGAATCTTAGATAACACATTAATATGCAAATTTTCCACCGTTTTCGTTTTTATGAAGTCGCGTTTACTTTCGACGATAACAGTATCGCTTACATCGCTGTTTGTGGGGCATGGACGAATGGAAAAGCATCTAAATGGAATCAAGCGCAACTTTCGCGACCTTACTGATGTCGTTGGTTTTTATAGCAATATTTAAAATCAATTTTTAATTAATTTCATTCATCACTTTCATCCTTCACACGTTTCAATCTCTTCCGTCTTTAAGTCACAAGCGTCGTCGTCGTCGTTATAATCGCAAACGTGAATACGTTGAAGGCGGAAAAGGCAGAAGAGAAGGAAGATATACGAATGATAGAAAGATCAACAAAGGTATTGATGGAATGGAAAATTTTACCTAGGAAGGGAACATCTCGAGTGAAGTGAAAGAATATCAAGGCGTTTTTGTAAATATTTTTGTACCAATTTGCATAAAATTATCAAGCATCGCTCGAGCGACTTCTTTACTCTCATTGATCGCTTCAATGCATGTCAAACACTTTAAGAATTAAAGAAAGTGAAAGTTTGAGACTTTAATTTATAATCATTTTATAACAAACCCAATTTTGATTAGCATTTCAATCATTTGTAAACGTTTAGTTTTGCATTTTAGATTCTCAAATCAATGAATGACTTGATAGAAATAAAATGAAAATTAAACTTTATTTGATTACAAATTTTATTCCGGAATGTAAAGGTGAAGAAGAAAATTGAAGCAATGCAAATGAACACTTCATAGTTCGTAATTCATGTCACAATAAAATCGATTGAAAGTCTATTTTCTATAATTTTATTTCGTGTCGAAGGCATCCCTTCTACTGATGTTGAAACGCAATGGAAAGGCTATAATCAAATTATACATTTCAACTCCTTTTGGTGACCACTAAATTGGCAAGTGAAAAAAAAAGGAGTAACAAAATCAAGTGGAAAATTGAGGAAAAGCGGAAACAAGAATTCGCTTTTCTTTTCTTTATTACATGGTTTCAAGTTGAAGAAAAGGTAGGAAAGAAAAGAAAGGACAAGTCAAGCAAGAAAGGGTGACACGTTTGAAAATTGCCTAATAATAAATTACGGTCACCGTTACGGAAGGGCGAGAAATACTTATTTCTGAGAAAAAGGGAAACACGATGAATTTCGTTTCCTTCTGTTACTGACGGTAATTTCATGTTCGACATTGAGAGCTTCTCCCTTGAGGACAGAAGAAAAGAAAAAGCTTCTTTAAAACATAAATCGATGCAGACAACGTAAAGCAATCGACATTGAAACTTTGTTGTTTTCAAATTATTTTAAATGTAAACTTTCTGATCGCCATGGAATGTTGAAGACGGAGAAAGAAAAACTTTTATTGACGGGAGAATTTTCCGGAGATGCATTAAATAATAAATTATTATCGATAATATTTTATCAAACTTCCTCGTCTTCTTCCTTGTTTTATATCGCAAAAGTTTTATTAAGTAGAATTGCATGTTAACTTTTATGGGATATTTCAAAATGTTTGCCAAACTTATCATGTCAATGTAAAAATTATGATACTAACCATGCTTTTCATGATAAATACTTTAATTAAGAACGAAAAAGAAATTCATTAGGAAAAGACAAAAACCAAGGAAAATGTGATGAAAAAAAAAGAAACTTCGTTGAAAAATAACCTCCAATTAATAATGTTTACGGAGAATTGGGTGGGAGTGTTAAAAGAATTATTTTAGTAGTCCTATCATCATCACCATCGCTTGCTTAGAGCTATCGTTTTATTTATTTGGTGACAACTATGAGAAAAATTAATAGAAAATTTAAGCTTCAATTAACGTCACAGAATTTTTTCTTTTAAAAGTTTTATCGTTGGTGCTAGCAGTTGTCTTAAATAATCAAAGATTTGAAAATTATTTTCTAGGATATGATAAGACGAAACTTCAACAATCTAGTCACCCTAACTTTCTCTAACATCGTTTATAATCTTACTGCCACTCTTCTCATCTATTTGCTGACAAATGTTCTATTCTTGCGGCGGTTTCTGAAAGCAACAATGTGAAATTGCTTCGTGTATGTACCGAATAAATGTGGAATCAACAGATGTCTGATTCCCATCATCTGATAGAAGCTCGAAAAAACGAAATAAAGTGAAATTATATTAGAAGAATGTTCCATTGGCACAGCTTGCTTTGTCAATTTATAATTAGAAGTATAGAAAAGCGGCATAAAAAAATATCATAAAAAACGACTTTGGTGGATAAAGAGCATTAGAGTTGGGGAGCAAAAAGAACATTAAAAAGTTCCACCGATTGCTAATTGTGTCACGAGGTAGGGAGGTTGACTCCAAGCGAATTACGAATAGAAGAAGGAAAAAACGAGAGAGAGAGATAAAAGTATCAGAATAATAGACTTTGCGCTTTTCTCCCTTTCCATTTATTTTCTCTTTTAAAAAAAGGTTTCAATGAAAATATTTTAACTTCCACCCGGAGAAAGATGTGAAAGAATTTAATTTCAAAATAATGGTATTTAATTATTTCTAATTTTCACCGCCGTCATGTAAATACACTCGAGGGCTCGATACGTGGGTGGAGAAGACAATGATGAAACAAGAGGCCTAATTCCCATGAAAATTTGTTTAACACATGACTCAAGATAGAAACGCTCGTGCGATGTTGAGATGCGCTAATTGTGGATGTAAATTTGTGTGTACTTTAAGGATGTCTCAGATGAGTAAGAGTAAGTTTGTGGTAATATTTCAGTGACTGCATGATGCTTGAACAGTTTATTACAAAAGAAGTTAATCTTACTTGTGGTTGGTGCTTTCAAAATTTAATCTGATATTTACACAACAAATTCCTTTTTATTTAAATTTAAATCAGTAAGAGTATAAAGCATGAATAAATATTTGTACGGAAAAGATTTTTCTTCTGGTTTCATTATTCTTCATCCATCTTTGATCTGCATAAATCTCAATCAAGATGACTGTGACAATGTGTCACAAAATATTAGTATTCATCATGCGATAAAATAAAAAGAAATACGAGCAAGCTCAAAGCCTATGAAATCTTCTAATTAAAAAATCTTCGTTTATTGTCATTTTCCTTCTGTCACATGTGAAACAAAAACGCTGTCAAATGTAAGCTGAAAAATCTCTTTCTACTTTTGAATGTCAGTCTCGCTCATTCAAAATCGGGCAAGAGAAATGAAATTTAATTTACGGCAAATAAATCACATCTGTGTGTCGCGGCGACGGTTCATCTTCTAATAAATTTTATTTTCATTTAATTCCACAGCCGCTTCATCATTTTTTCCGGGCATTTAGTGTATATACTTTCGTTCAAGATGAAGAAAAGCTAGCAAAATAAAAAATGTTTTTCTTATTTTTTTTCACTTTTTCATAAATTTTTTTCCTCTTCGTTTCTTTCCGTCGTTTTCCATTATTTCATTTTAAATAGAAAAGTTTTTAATGTACCCCAAATGTCTTCACGGTCATTAGTGGATAATGACAAAGGCGACAGTGGCAAATGGAAGTAGAAAATAGCGACAAAACACAAAGAAACAATAGATGGAAGCTTTTACAAGTGACGATGTCGCGCACCTTCCATAAAACTTGCCATTTTTTAAATATCTTGAAGCTTCTTCTTCCTCCTTCTTTTAAAAGAAGGACAAACTTGGTGAAAAAATTTTATGCATTCAAATGGAAATCATTCATTAAATCACCGTGCGAGCCAAACAAAAAACAAACTTATGGTGGACTTACAAAACTAAATATTGATGGAAGTTTAATTGCATTATAAAACCATTTAAAATTGATCCATTCTGAAGCGAGAAAATCTACTTAGATATTAATTAGAATTGAATTTCTAATTATAAAACCTCAAAAACGCGTCAGAAAGCAAACATGCTGCTAACTGTTTGTTTATTTGTCGCTCTATTTCCTTAAATGCTGGGTTGAAGTAGAACCCCAAAAACCACCATTTCAATTAATATAAATGAATTAAATTCCTTCGCGAATCATTTTTCAAACCCAACATCCAGGAAAGTAGAGAACAAAAAAGAAAAAAAGCATTCGACAGTATAAATAAAAGCGTGGGAGGAAAGGTGAATTGTAACCGCTTTAATTTAATTAAAACCTTCATTCCATATTGAATCAGAATTTATTCAATCATATTTTCACCATTTTTTTTCCTTTCGTTACAATGCGATGGCAGCATAAAAGAAAGCAACATAAACGATGCGATGATGTTTTTCTTTTCTGAAGCCCAGCGTGATTCTGCTGTTTATGTTAGGGATAGCGAAACGAAAAAAGGTGAACTCGAAGTTATTGTTTACCTTTCATTTTAATAATCTCATTAAACAAATGAAAAGATTCCCGGAAAAAAATTGTGTGTTTATTTGTTTCGGAATTCGAGAATAATAAAAAAAAAGGATAAATGCTTACGAATGTCAAATATTTAAGCTGAGGCCACATAAATTTTGTAGAAATTGTGGAAATTTTAAAGACAGTTCTTTTGAGCTTTTTCCAGTATTAAATTCATAACTAAGTCATGAAATTAAAATATTTTACTTCTCATTAAAAATTCAATGTAAAGGAAACTGTCAAAGTCATATTGCTGTAAAAGATTTTCCATGAATTATGAATTTCAGGAATTAAAGAGAAAATCTTCGGAAAAGCTTCTTTGCTTCGTTGTGAATCATATTCTTCTGCCCACATCGATAAAACATCATTTCTTGCATTATATATGACTTGAAGTAAGCGGATTATTTAATTATTATTTGTTTTTCTTCTTCCGCAACGTGATGCCTTTAAATGGCTACGAGATTTTCCTGCACATCAACCATTCCAATATTTCATAATTCGTTGTGAATGTCTGTTCGATTTAATGCAACGTTGAATATCGATGGAAGTTTAAGTACAAGAATCCAAATAAATCTGACGATAGGAAAATCTTAGAGCAATATATCAAATGTGATGCTTAAAGTCAATCATTAGATTCGTAGATTTCAACTTTGATTTATATGAAATTGATAAACGTTAGAAGTGAATAAAGGAAAACAAAATATTTATTGACCACATTTGATCATATCCTCAAATTCTCTACGTTTCAATGCAGCACGTAAAAATATTAAAACAATATTTTGATACTCACGGAATGTTACTTAAATGCAATGTTGCCGATGGTGGATAAATGTTTTGATAATTTTTGCTTCCAGGTTTTTTGAAGCGATGCAATGGATTCTGAGAATAATCTCGTGTCAGTCCAGCATCGGGTTGTCCTTCCTTCGGCAATTGAACAGCTTGATGTTTACTTGCCATCACACGTATTTGCTTTCCCCAAATGCGCAGCTTATCCAAATGCGTCATGGCTACAGAAGTTTATTAATTTTTGTAAAAAGAGAAAAAAAAAGTTATTAAAATGGTTATCTCTATAAAAACAGTTGAAGTTTGTTCTCATTGCTGGAAAAAAAACATCAATGTGTGAAAAATCTCGCTTTATATAACTTACATATTAAATCGGGAAGAAAAGTTTATTCACATCAGAGGCATAAATCCTTCCAATTATAAAATATTATTTAAACCCGCATTGTGAGAAAGAACTAAGCTCAAACTATACATTTCATCAGGAAATTATTTGTTAACAATTAAAGTTTTCTGTTTGACATCATGAAATTTTATTCGATAAAAATTTTAAATTAATCATAAACATCAATTTAAAACCAATTTGTATAATGATTCTTTTTGATTAACAAAGCATACGTCAAGCGTAACTTTTTTAATAGAAAACTCTTCAAACGATGCTACACTTTAACGCTGAAGGATGCAATAACGATGAGAATATTCTTGCAGATGCAACAAACAAGTGTTTGCATAGCGAAAGAATCCAGGAAATAATCATTATTATTATTATTGTATCCTTGTTAAAAATTAAACTTTCTTTCTTTTCCTCTTCTTTACTTAAATTGCGGAGCAATTTCCTAGTTGACAAATGAAAATAATTTTAACTCGAAGACATGGAAAAGTTTATTGCTAGGTTACTTTTATTTATTATCATGTTGCTTTCATCATCGACCTCGATATTTTAATATTGTGAAGTATCAACGGAAGAAGTTTTCCGGGATCATTTGGCAAAAAAGTGAAATAAAATAAAATAAACAAAAACCCGATCTAACGAACATCATAACAAATTTATTTGTTGGTAGGGTGAAAGTTGGTTGATGTAGAAAGCAAGCAAAAGAAATGAAGAAAAGTGAAAAAGAACTCATTTCCACTTGGGGAATTAAACTGACTGTTAATGATGTTAAATAAATGGCATCAGAGGGAAGCATTAGTTATTCATTAATTGCCTTTCCTCGAAAAGGAACGAAGGAGTAGATGAAATCAACAAAGCCAGGAAAATATTTTGAAGTGAGATTTTATTTGCTAAATCCTGGCCTCACGAAGTTTTCTAATTTTATAATTAGTTTGTGGAGTAAAATTAAAACGACGATGAAGATAATTAATTTCAAGTTGAATATGAAATATGGAACGAATAAGAACTTCGAATGTAAATCTGTCTATTGTGCAATGGAAAACGAGTTAACGAACTGTTGACTTTGGAAAGAACAGAAAGTTGAGATTTAAGAAATTTTATAATGAATTAAAATTTATCCGGATGCATGAATAGAGATAAAATTTCAATTTGCACAGAGAGCATCAAATGATTTATGTGGCTAATGGAAAGTTGCTTTGAATACATCTCGATAGATGAATTTTTCAAATTAAACTAATGTTTTATAAACAAAACTTTGATCTGCCACAGAGTTTCCTTCATTTCATGCAAATGTATTAACAAGCATTAATGCGGAAAGAGCTTTGAAGTTTTTATATCAAAAGAGTTTATGAAAGTGGTGAGGTTTAGAAAGGATCCTCCGAATAAATAATATCTTACATGACTGGAGTTTATAGTCAACATCCGCACGAGTTAACAACAATGAGAACATAAGTAGAGAAAAAGAATGAATAAAAAATCTTCTTACCTAAATAAGCTTGATGTGGTTCGGCCATTTGAATTAATGCGGAATCCTTTTTGTTGTAAAGAATTTTTACGCGTTGTACATCACCATAAACGCCTGATATTTATTACGTAATATATGGATTTTATTTTTCAATTCAAGCAGCAATTCACAGTTGTTGTTCCAAATATGCGAGGGTGGATGAGAAGTTATTTTATATTGCGTTGAGGTAATAACATGTTCGTTTTGGGCAAAATTATTGTTAATATTGCAATTTACGAGATTAAATCGGCGAAAAGAGAAAGAAGAAGAAAAAAAGTACGAAAAAATCATGTAAAATTTGTTATGTTTGTTTATGAAAAATAAATGAGCATAATAAATAAGTAAAAACTAATTTTCTCGTTCCTTTTACAAAGGGACGGCACAGGCAGAGGCAAAAATTTGGATTTTATAGTTCCGTTACTTACATTTAGGAAAATTTATAATACAATTTTCGACTTTCATACATTCATTCATGTTCACAAATTCTTTCTTCATTCTTCTGCAATTGGCATTGTCGAATGAATAAGCGGAGAAAAGAACGGAACAAAATTGTATTTATTTTTATTTTTTTCAGCGAAGAGAAGCTTTTTTTCCTCCCTCTCGTTTTTCATCTCAAATCCGGCTTTTGATCAAAAAATAATAATGTTTTAATTCAGAGAAAAAAATTGTAAATTGTATGACAATATTCCCAACATCAGAAGCATAACAGAACATAAAAATTCAACCCTGTAATGTTTTCCAATTTTCTTTTGGCATTCGTTTATCTCTCACGGGCTTTTGCATGATGTTAAATTTCTGTTGATGCTATTTTTCTTTTATTAAAGAATTGTACGCCAATGAGATCATGTTTCTTGCTTGTTTGCTTTGTACAATAATTTTTATTGTTAACGAATAACATTAAATGGATATATGTACATCAGCTAATAATGCTTGTACCATCAATGTTTCTTTTCTCTCAAGCATAATGTAATCTTCATTATGTAACTCTTGCAATTAGATTTAAAAATCATTAATCATCTTGCAAAGTCTCTTGAATAGATAAAGAATATTAAATTTTGTGACGGTTTCAATGATTATCCAAAACAAGTTCACTTAGTCTGTGTTTGTTATTAAAACCATGGAATCTCGGGGTGAGAAGTAAACTCAATTTATAACATTTTGAATATTCCAACTTCCATAAATCGCACACTAAAAATGCTTCGGAGAAAGTATGTAACAAATTGGAGAAAAAGGAAGAAGAGCAAGATAAAACTTTTTTAATTCCAATATTTGTACACAATCGTGGTGTGAGTTGAACATTATGAAATACAAGCTGCAGAATCAGCGTGTAATCTAACAAGATCCAACACAGATCCTCGAAGATTTAACAAATTTCTCGATATCGGTAATAACCTTGTGAAAGCACATTTTAAATCCTTCACGATTAGATCCCGCACTTGATGATCTGTCATGATAATATGTTTGAATAAGCCCCCGCCACATGACAATCACAATTGCTTTTTTCATATTTCCACGGTTAATCCCGCGCGCTTTCAACGACATGTTATGGAATAAAAAAGACGAATGCGATTTCAAACAATAGACAATTACAATATTGTTTCTGTGGTAGAGGGGAAAAGGATTACGGTTTAATTCGTTCTATGCTCACTTTTTTGCCATCTCACATCTCACAGTCGAGCGCTTTATGTCAAGAGAGAATAATTTCAACAACCTAATGAATAAACGTAAAGTGAAAATGTTTTCTCAATGCAAAATAAAACTTTTTTAAGTAACAAAGAAAAGATTTTTGCAGTGGGTAGTAAAAATATTTTTACAACTGTGTTTGTTCGTTTTGGAATTGAATTGAATGATGGGGAAAGATGGCTTTAGTGAACAAATGGAGCAGACATAAAGGGATAAACCTTTGAATCGTTTTTCGTCTTGTGATTTTTAAATAAATTCTTTCCTTTTTCTATTTTGCACCCTTTTTTCCTTTTTTTTTGCTCGCTGATCTCATCGAAGCGAAGAAGGTAAAAAGGTGTCATTTTCTTGACATGTCTTCTGACGAGTGACGAGAGCGTCAGATAAATAAATCAAATGTTTATGGTAAAGTTCTCCCCTAACGAAGCTAAGAACGAAGCCAATATGATTGATTTTTTTTTATTTTCATTTCGGTCCCAGCACCCACAAGGAATTTTTTTATTTCCATTTTTTTCTTCCTTAAACACATCTTCATTTTCCAAATAGAAACAAAGGAATCAAAGTGTTCTGATTGACAGAGGAAAATTAAATTGTATGAGCATTCAGTTTAACTTTTAGTGTTTTCAGCATTCAGTTTTATATCGCAGAATTCAATTCCCATTTTAACGCAGTTTCCCCGAGTTGTCAATATAAATAAATATTTTAAACATCATTTGAATAATGCAATTTCAAATAATTGAGGGTAAACATACTATCAATATTGTGACAATTCAATTGAGTGTGCGATGTTTCTATTAAAGCAAATTAAAAGTTTGTTCATATCTGGCTTAAATTTATTCTACTGTCACGACAAGGCAACCAATGTTGTGTCAACAAATTTCTTATTCTATGATTGTTCAATGGTAAAGACAAACTTTCCCTTTCTCTGCTCGACTTCCTGCTCTATCGCTCTAGAGATTTTCCCCCATTTTCATCGTTTCTTCCGCCTTTCTCCCCGTCAATTTCATCCATGATCCGAATCGGATGTTTTATAACGAAAGTTTGTTTTCTTTCCTTTTTTCTCCACTACCTGTGTGACAAAAATTGATTTATCGGATAAAAAGAATGTAGTTTCGTTGGTTTTTTCTCATTTTTGTTTAGCTACTTTCACTTATTCTTCTTAGCTTCGTGATGAATGGCACATATACATCACGGAGTTCGAAGGGCCATTGTTTATTTGTTCGTTCAAGATAGTGTCAATCAATACTTTGTCATCGTTATCAAACATTAATAAGAAGAGATAAGTGTCCATCCCGTATGATTTACCGTTCGCCTGAACGCTCATTTAAGGACATAAAACTTTAATGGATCAGTCAACATAGTGCCGACTGTCATCGTTAGCAGTCGATTTGTTCATTTCTCGAGGGAAAACACTCCCAATTTATTGTTAAAAAATGGAAGAAAATGACTTTCATAATGATTACAAGGAGTTTTCTTGAATAGAATTGTTTCTAAAAGGTACGCTTTAATTTACTTTACCTCACATTAAGGTAGAAGTTCTCAATGAAACAATTGCATATAAAAGAAGAAGAAAGTATTTGATTCGCAAGGTAGAAACAGTGTACAGCAAATGGTTCTACAAGACCATGTAAGATGGAGAATTTGTTAAGTTATTAGAGCAAAAAAAGGAGAAAAAATGTGCAGCATTACTTATCGGATTTTTCTTTTCTCTCGTTTTGAATTATCCAACGTTAAAGCAATGATTCTGCAATAAAAAGTATAAAAAAATGGAAAGAAAAGGATAACTGAAAACGTAGGGAATTTGTTTGATTCATTTTTCTTTCTTTTATTTTTCTTTTCATATTTTTAGGAGCGAAGAAAGAGTATAAAAATAAATTCATTTATTGAAGCTGATTCTTTAGAAACTTTTTATTATTTTCATCTTTTTATTCGACCTTTATATAAAGAAGTGAACGACTAAACGCCGCACAAGAATGAGAAGCACTTTTCGTCATTCATCGATACCGCTCCAATTTCTGTTTAATGTAACTAAAAGGAAACTTAAATAAATTCTTTCTCAATCCTTTTAAGTTTCACGATGTTGTGAAAACATGAAATGGAAATTCCATTCTCAACATCTTTCATGAAAATGTTCTGAGAAAGATTTGTTTGGAATTCTCCAATGGGTTGAGTGGCTTCAAAGTTGGCATTGTTTGTTTTTCTAAAACAAAAAGCAAGCCTTTTTGGGAAAATCTATTCTCACGTGCTTTAACTCTTTCTTACTTCATTGTACCCCATTAAAAACTGACAAGAATGAAATATATCAAGAGGGCTATAAAAACATTAAACTTGACTCCATAAATATCATTAAACGGTAAAATGTTCTTTTTTTTTGTTAAATAGACACAATTTCCCTAATGTAAACCAAATAATCTAGGTTTTTAATTATTCACCGAGCCTTCTTCAGACAATTCAACCCTTTCGCCTCTATGTAATGTTGTCGGTTAAAAAAAAGGTGTATAATGTGTGTTGTTGAAGGCGAAATTTTAATTATTAACATTTGCAATTTGCATGTGCTACCATTCTTCTTAGTCGAACACTAGCAGTCGCTAGAGCTTTTGTTAATTAAAGGATTTTTTCCCGCTATATTCTACTTTATACACTCGTAAAAGTTTAACAATCCCACGTGTCTATAAATATCATTAGTTGCTGAAGTATGGTATTTGATATTTATGTTTAATGCTTTCCAACTTTAATGGCTTTTCAGTAACTTTAATAAATTTTATTCTCCATTTGGGAATCTTATTTTCCTATAAAATCTATCAAAGGAGAAACTTTGACTGAAATCGATGAATCGAGATTGTGAATATGTATGATGTTTAAAGTTTTATGATGTGAAGTGAACTTTCTGACATTGATTATATTAAATGAAAATCATATGACTTTTATGTGTTTTGCAGCAAAATGTGTGAAGTTGAAGAAGCTGCACGAGAAAGTTTCACTCTTAATCATTGAAATGCAGTAAGAGATTGGACTCGAGGGATCAAAGTTTCATCAAAACTTTATCTGAAGTATCTTGAAAAGTTTTGCTTTTGTTTACTTATGCAAGTGGAAAATAGTGTACACAAACGTATTGCTGAAATTAAGATTGAAGACTGCTCATTGATATTAATCACGGGTAAGTTTGGTTACCTCTCTTCAAGGTGCTAAGAGGAGGAAAATATTTTGCAACAAGTTAAGTATCAAAATTTCCTTCTCATCTTCGACACTTGTAGCTCAAACCTGTTGAATTTTTCTTCTCTAAGCCATCACGCTCAATTCAATTCAATTGTTACTTCATGTCTATCAAGATAAATGAAAAGCTTTACTCCCACGCCTCTCATAGGAAATCATTTTGTCGTCATTCAATCAAATCTTTCAATTTCAATCTAAAGTCAAAAGAATGCTATCATATTTATTTTGTCCCCATGAATAAGAATTATGAATTTATAACAACAGTAGTCGTCTCATAAATAAAATATACATAATCTCTTTTTATGTAAAATTGTTTGGAAGTAAAGAAAAGCGGGTATGAGAAAGTAAAGCGAGAAAGAATGACACAAAAAAAAGTTGTGTGACAATCACCCCCATATTTATTATCTTGGATAAGTTGAAGAAATAGGAAGAAAAAAGAGAGAGAGAGGGAGCTTGGGGGCTTAGAAAAAAAAGGAAAATCTAAAGCTAGAAGATAATGCCTGCAGATTCTATGAGAGTGTGTAAGTCAAGAACTGTGATTTCTTTTGATGATGAAACCCTATGACATTCTGATATGAATTCATGAATGATGTTAAAAGGAAAGAAAAAGATCTGTGATTGAATCTCTTGTTAATTTTCTTTTCTTTCCATTTTTTTCTTTCTTAACTCTTATATGCTGATTCATATTCAACATCAACATCCGTCTTAAAATGAATTCATAACGTAGATTGAACTTCTAATATATGCTTACGTTGTGCTTTGAGGATTCTTTTTCCCTCTTTATCATTCAGTTAACTTTTCATTAAATTGACAAGCAATTAAAATAATTGCTGTCGTTTAGGAAACTTTTGTTTTGTTTCAGTTATTTGAAAGTCTAAAAGATTTTGCGTTGTCATGCAAGTTATAAAAAAGATAATTTATTTAAAAAAAATTTTTATGAACTTCAACACATTTCCAACCCTCACGTTTGATTTACTTCTAGGTTTCTAAAGCTTTGCATGTTCTGATGTTAGTGAACTGTTTCATGGCTGGAAATATTTGCAGACATTTGTAATAAAATAACAAAACATCAAAAATGATTTTAAATTGGAATTTTGATAATCTAATATTAAAAAGTTTTTTTCCCTTTTTCATATTTTACAAACGCCAAAAGCTGGAAGTGCGAAAATCGAGCATGATTTCCCAATACATTTTTCCCTCTTATTTTGTTCTTTCTAACTTCGTTAGGAATTATAATTTCAACATTATTTCGTTTCAATGTTGTTATTTTTTCTGTCTCAGTTTCTTATGCTCTTGGAAATTGCCATAATTTCATTGAGCACCAAATTAAATTAAACAGATTTCGTCTCTCCCAAATAAATGTCGCATTTCACTTTTCTTTTACATAAAAAGCAAATTTTGAAAATCAATACAATTCTCAAACAGTTGCAATTAAATTGTTTATGCTTTTTTAGCTTCTCTGCTGCCGCCGACAATTTCGCTTAAAGGTCGAGAAAATTAGTATTGAATGAATGAAGCTTTATGAATATTTCTAGGAAAACAAAGCTAGAACTTTTTATTATGCTATTGTTTATAGGTTTTTAAATTATTATTTCGATTTTATGAAAATCATGTGCAAACATACCAAAGAGGACAAAAAGAGCATCAGGCGTGACCATCTACAGAAAAAAGAAAAAGATTGTATAAGTTTAAAAAATATAGTGGAAAATTAAATTGTTGTACAGCTGTTGAATGTTTAAACTGCAGGAAATATAGCGGAAGTTATAAGGAATAAGATCAGTGATAGTATTAAAAAAAAGTTGTATAAATACGATGAAACAATTTGGTAGGATTGAGGAAATCTTGATAAGTCAACGATGACAGTTGATAAGTTTAATCAACACTTTCACCTTTTGAGGTTTAATAAATTAAAAGGCGATGAAACGTTGATAAAATCTTAAAGTTATTCATGGTTTTCTCCAGTCTTCACGTTCGTTGAAAGCATAATTCATGAATATTTTGATTTCATTACTTTCCGTCTCAATTGATTTTCAACCGGCACGCGTAGGTGGGATGAGAGATTAGAATGAAACAATAATGTTATCTTCTCATAAATAAACTTATTAATATTCAAACCGTAGAGAAAGTTCAAGCAATTTTCAGTGTGTCAATGCTTTAAATTTGATGGCACGTTGTGTGCGTAAATATCTTTGTTGTTTATAATTTATAAACAGGAAGTAGCTAGAATGGAGCTGGGGCAAGTTCAGAAGGGAAATTTCTCAACGGTAAAGTAAGTATTCAGATATCATTTTACATTCCATGACTAAATGCTTTTACTTGAGGTAAATTCAATTTCTTGACAAGGAAAATACATTTCATTTTCGTTTCTGTCTTCAGCAACATTTGTGCGTTGAGTAACAATAGACATGGGGGAGAGAAAATAAAAATTGAAAAGAAAGAAAGAAAAATGCGAGATGAGTTTTTAATGGACAAAAAAAAATGAAAAATTATCTGTTGCTTGAATCAATGAAACAGTTCATTTCGTTCCCTCGTGGATCCGAAAGAAGAGAAGCAAAAATAAAAGTTGGAAGGAAACTTTATTGTTGTGTACATTTTTTGATTAAAAGCGCTTGGAAAAGAATGAGAAGTACACACAACAATGGAATGCCTTAGCGCGCCAACAAGCAATTGCGGTCGCAAAGATATATTTATGAAATTTCTTTCCTGGTTTTTAAAGATTTTTGTTCGGTTCAAGGCGTGTGAGGTGGTGTTGGGAGAAGGAGAATATTATTAGATTTGTACATACAACAAAAGACAGAAGAAGACAGCGAAGACTCTGCGAGAAAACTCTTCTTGCGATAAAAATAAAAAAAAATGTACAGAGAAGATGAAATATATTAAATTGAAAACTTTGTTAATTACTTTCACTTTAAAAGGAGTAGGAAAAGTATAGAAATTTATAGAAAGTTTATCCGTGCTTTTTCGCTCGGATCTATCGAGTAACCAGCAAGGATTTTGAGGCATTAAGTCACGATAGAATGAAGCGGGGATAAAACAAAACATAAAAAGTTCTGTTATGTCCTACGCTAACAAGATGTGATCAGAACGTGGAAGGAAACAGGAAAGAAAAAAAAGGAAGCTGAAACTTTGTGGTCTTTTCATTTTTATTTTACTTCATGGAAAGTTGAAAGAGAAGAAGTGCGAGAATTATTTATTGAGTTCAACTAGAATTAGTTGCACAACTACTTTCTTTTATCGTTCGCTCATTTGCAAATTCTAATAACAAACAAAAAGCTCAAAAGTTAATTTAAAAGTTTTTTTTCTCTTTTAATACTTTAGGGGGTGGAAAGTTGTTTTTATGAAATGAAATCACGATATAGAAACGTGGTTAATTGAGTTGATTAATTAAAATAGAATGAGAAAAGGTGGTGGAAAAGGAAACTGAAAGGGAGGGGAATTTGCTGTTGTTATTGTTTGACGTTTAAATGAAACATAAAATGCTTGGGAAAATGGAAGTCAATTGAGCTTAATTAATATAATCTGCGAATTTAATCCCATAAAAGCTTAAATTGTTTTTTTAAAATGCACAACTCATTAAAAAAGAATTGTTTTTCTTTTAAACTCTTTGTCTAGCAACATGGCATGAATAAATATGAATTCAACTCTTAACTTGTTGATGTTTCCGTCAAAGCATTTTATGAATCAGAATAAACTTAAAATTTTTAATTACTACTTATAATGAATTACATTACCTCTTCATTTAAATTGGATACCAATAAAACGTTGGATAATCCACGTAAAGCACCTGGGTTCGCAGACCCAAGAGCACCAGTTGATGCTAAAGCAAATGCACCTAAGCTCGGAATCCCCCTGCCATAAGCATTAGCCAATGCTGGCGTCCCCAATCCAATTGCTGTAAATGGAGGCAATACACCTGGTGTTCCCATACCATTTACTACAAAACGACACATATAATTTTCTAATATAAAATTTCATATCTGTAAATTGTGCAATTATCGTTGACCAGAGATCGGTCGAAACGATTCAAATAGTGCACTTACCTAATCTATCTCGTGCGAGGGCGGGACGTTGTCCAGCTGCCAACAATAATAAATCGCTTGCATTAACCAGACCACCAGCGCTTGCAATTAAATCACTGCCCGGCTCACCGGCCGGCAATGTTGGATTCGTGAAATCACGCGATTTGTCATTGTTATATTTTACATTCAGTGCAGTCAATTTGCTATTATCGATTCGCAATGTACAACAGCCATTGTAAATATTCTGTCCATCTAAAGTTTGTTTGGCGTGTTGAGCGGTTTGAGCGTCGGGATATTGTATGAGGGCTTGGAATGAGTTGTTTTTCGTAAATGTAACAATTTTCAGCACTTTTCCGAAACGCTGAAATATCTGATGAAGAATTTCAAGTGATACGGGATAAAGTAGCGATTCTACAATGACCCTGAGAACGGTATTAGCACCACCAGTTCCATTTAATTGTGGTGTTGATACCAATTGAGATGTAGGATCGTTTCCTACCAATGGCAGTGGAGATCCTGAAGCTGGAGTCTATAAGACGGTTGTAAAAGCAATAACAATAAAAACAAACAACAAAGCAAATTGTTTAACTCACCGTAATTGAATGATTTTGATCAGTTTTCAATTCCCGATGATTCGAGAACTGAACATAAACAGTTCGTCCACGAACTGTTGGTGGTGTTGTATTGAAAACTGACACCATTGCTGTTGCTGAAATTTCATCTGCCATTTCAAGAAATGCTTGATTCTTTCCTTTCAATACCAAAACATTTGTAACGCGACCAAATTGTAGGCCTAAATTTATTACTTCGGCATCACTAGCTTCATTTGGTATGTTTCGTATATGAATAACTCTCGATGGCTTGCCTGAGAAGAACGCAAGAAAAATTTATGTTGTTAAAAGTTTTCACTAACTTTAATGGAGAAATGAGAATATTTGTGGTAGATAACGTTGTTGGCATGAAAATTGCAGTTGGTAAGGAAAGTTTCTTTCAACTTTTCATATACACATCAAAGAAACAAAAATCTTTTCGATTAAATTTTTTCTTTTCTTATTTTCATTATGAAATCATCAAAAGCAAACAAGTTTAAAAGAAGAAGGGGATGGAGTGAAAGTCTAGCAAGTCACGAGCAGACATTGATGTTACTGAAAAATGTTCTCGTTTTTCGCTTCGTGAAAGGTAAACGTTTATCGTAAATTTAGTAGCACATTTCACGATTTTCTTTTTTAATTAGGCAATGCTGTTTGGGATATTTTTAATTACTTCGCTCCTAGAATTTCCTCCTGAAGCTTAAATGGTGTGAGATCCTTTTCAAAGCTTTTGTGTTTCTTTTTTTAATTAGATGTATTTCTTTATTCTCGCTCATTGATTTTCATTTTAAATGAAAAGCATTAAAGGAGCTGAAAATTTTACGATGTCAAGAGAATATTGTGGCATCATTTTGCAACATTTTCAAAGAACGGAAAAGCAACAGCAGAAAAAAAAGGATTGTGAAGGATTATAAAAACACATAAAATATAAATTTGCTGTCAAAAACCATTCACAAACATGTCTAAGTGTCTAGGTATTATCCCCTTCAGTGAGATGTTTCAGAGAGGAAAGGCAAAATATGCTAGAAATGTTTGTTTCTTTTAAAAATGGCAACTGTTGCTATCGTTGGAGCTGACTAGGCTTCACGGATGGTTTCATATTTAAGATCAAAATAATGTTTCTAAGTTCCCATCCGTCGTCAAAAATCAATCAAGATCACAAGTTTTCTATAATTCTACCATAAAGCAATTTGAGAACAAGGCCTAAGGGATATTTGAGATATCAGAAACTTCTTCCGATTTTCTTCACTGAAATTCTTCTTCAAATTTTTAATCAAAAATATTTTAAGAATTTCCTTTGTTTCTACGATGCTTTAGTCACCCAATTTCGTCTCATGATCGCGCTTTAATACGCAAACAAACAACACAAAAAATTGTGTAATGGAATCTAAACATTTTATCACTGCATTAAATTTTATTTCCTTCAAGCTGCGATGGTTGTGTGAAACCAGAAAAAAAAAATGAAATGAAAATCGCTTTGTGTACTTTATATTTTTAAAGTGTATCAATATGCTTCAGGAGGGATGAGCAGTTAAACAAAGAAAACAATAAGCGAAACTTTTCGATCTTGTTTCGATAGAAGAAAAAAGAGAAAAAATCGTTTCATTCTTTTGTGCTTCGCAAAATTTGATTAACGATCTTATTTCCATTCACTTGGAACTCGTTCTTTTTATTGTTGCACGTCGATAAAAATGTTCGTTTCAAACTTTGATATTTTGTTGAAAGAGCACGAATAAAGAAGAGAAAAGATTTCAAGAGGATATTCGATGTATGTTCACATACGATGTGTGCCAATGTAATGTGACTATGATTGCACAAAAGGGAAGGAGAAATGAAAAGCAAAGAAAAGTCAAGAACGTCACGAATAGAGCAGTTTTTTCTTTTTTCTTTCTAAATTTTAAAACGCTTTGTTCAACATTTCTTTTTTCTTATTGTGAAAGCTGTTGAAATCAGGGATTTTGTTATTTGTTCAAGTACTTTGAGGATTTTCCATCAAATTCATTTGCCATGTTAGTGTAGCTTATGCATAAATCGCATATTTTCTTTTCAGCACTTTCAAGAACATTCACATTAATGTTGAAAAGCATATTGCAGAGAAAAAAAATTAAATTCTTTGATGTATAAAGTTCACATTGCCATTAAAAAAATTAATTGCAGAAATACTCGATAGAGAATAGAAAAAAATCAAGAAACTAAAATTATTCAAATATTTCACAATAATTAAAAACGTGAATAAATATAATTAAAGAAACACTTACCGACTCCACCAATGACAGAATTTGAATCTAACTTCGCTTTCTTCGTTGCCAAATCTTGATTGTTGTTATCAGCTGCTGGTGCCATGACTGCTGTCTGACTTAATAATTCGTCGCTACCTCTCTGTGTTCAGTCATCATCATCGCCATAGAGAAAAAGAAGGAAGAAAAAAAGAAGAAAAAGAAGCAAGTAGAAAAATGGGCTGTAATTTAATTTTGCTTTTTATCGCGTGGAGCTTATTCTATATTTTTCCTTGAATAATATTAAAAACATAGGATAAGGAAGCAGAAGAAAAGAAATTCAGCAAGAAAAATAACATCAACAACATTCTTCTTAGGTACACTTTGCAATTTATTCAAATAAAAAAAAATAATACAGTTGAACTTCTTTCTAATGAATTTGCATTCAATAGAAATTGTATTGGCATTCATTTTCCATCTATTAGAAATGAAGAAACTTTCATGAATTGAAATCTTTTTTATCTTCATCAAAAGTAAGTAAATTCACTTTGTCATAGTTCAACTGCACAGATGTATTTACTGAAATTGTTATAATAATAATTGTATTCTCGTCTCTTTGAAATGGAGGGGAAATATGATGAGAATTATATAATTTATTACACAAAGGAAATGATATAAACGTATTATGTTTAAGCAATCTCATAAGATCGTCTTCTCTCTCGTCTTTTCACTCTTACAACAGGTTTAAGGAAAATCATTTTTTATCATCACAATATTATTTTCGTCATTTCTATGATGGATAGAGCAACATGGATGGGACTATAAATCCCTCATGAAGAAATTGTTTTCGTTGAAGAAGAAAAAGAAAAACATAAAGAATGTTGATTTAAAAGAGAAACCATCCGGTCGGTCATCTTTCGTTAGAGTTACCTGGTAACTCTGCTTAAGTCGCTTCCCATGCGTAACAAAACTTTGTGAAAAGCCTTGGAACTTATTTGATTGAATCAAATCTTCTTCTAAACATAAGATTTAAGATGATAATCTCTTCCATCAAAAGTAATGGCATAAGAGGTAAAAGAGAAGGGAGGGAGAGAGAAAGATGTGATGAATAATCCTCATGCTTTACGAGAAAGAATCTGTAGTAGGGAAAATCATAGACACTTTTCAATCTCAGTTTGAATGGGTTTACTTCATTTCACTTTTCTTCTCTACTCTTTCCACAACCTCTCGTTCCATTATAACGCCACAAAACATCAACATTTATATTACACGGATACCGTACATATTTATATCATCGTCATATACTTAATACCGTCGTCTAACAAAAGAATTTTTCTCCTTCACTTAAGAGCTTAAAAAAAATTAGAAGAGTGGAGTAGTATCGCGAGGGGGTGGTTGAAGGCGAACAAAGAATAATCATTTTGATGTAACCACAAAAGCAGCAGATTGAAGTGAAAAATCTAGCACACACTCACTTTCTTTCATGATTGCGTGATAGCATAGAAAGTTGACATGGAGAAAATCTTTAAGGATGTGGGAAAGTGGTTTAAAAGGAAGATTAATAATTTTTCATGTTTTCTTCTATTATCTTTTTTCTTCTCTTTTCTTATTCGTCACCAAGTCGCTTAACAATTTTTTCTCTATCCTGATCATCCTTTAATATCCACCTACACATTCTCATACATAAATATTCGTCTTCTCATTCACATTCATCTATTTATGGATAGCAATTTTTCATATGCGATGAGTCAATCAGAGAGAGATTTTCCTTCTTGATTCTTTACTCTTTAGTCAGGGAAGTGAGCGGATTACAATTCTAAGACAACCTCAAGCTGCTTCCATAAATCTTGGAAATTCACTTGTTGAAGGAATTTATGTAAATTAAGGTTTTATAAATGTTGTGTCATCTCGTCATCTCATCCATTCTTGTATTTACATATGTATGTATGTCGTCAGTTTTGCTTTCTCATATCTTTTTACAAAAAAATTCTTTTTGTCTTGCTACTTATTTAGTTTTGAATAAAATATTCCACAATCTGATATAATTTTTCCATCATGCTCAAACAGAGAATGCATCTTTGATATGCAACATCGTTAGAAGATGAATGTAAATGAACGACTTTTAATGAGTTCACTTGAAAGCTTTTGTCAGAGACGTAAGAAGAATATTCAGGATTTAAAGCTTTTAAATGAGATTTCTCTTATTTTATTTTTTTTTTACATACATCTGCTGATACATTTCAAATGAGTTCATTACATCATCAAACATTGCCACATAAAACATACAGATCAGACCATTTGAACTTCTTTAGAGCATATTAGACATCCGAGTGAAAACTAATGAACATCACATCGTAAAGTGACGCTCTTCTTACACCTTGCTAGAAAAACATCTCAAAATGTTCTTCAACAAGCTTGCAATTAGTTTCTTAATCCTCGTTAAATCTTTAAAGTCTTGCACAACCAACCATTTGAAATGATTTTATGTTATTCTCTGGTTTTTCATGAAACTCTTACAAGTGTCTTAAAGCCAATGAAAATATTTCACAGCGTCTGTTTGTGAGAAGAAAAAAGGGAAATTCTCCTTTTTCTCGTATTTGAAATCGTAAATTTTTTCCATAAAATTTCAGGTGTAAGGCATGAAATAATGTCTGCAGACACTGTTTCTTGATAGGAGAAAGGAGAGCACGAGAAAGAAAGAAAAAACATGATAAAGATGAAAAGAAAAGTAGCATTGTTTATGGTATTCAACATTTTTCTTTTGGGTTAGCATCTTGCCTTTGCTTGAGACATGGCAACATGTACTACATTAAAGTCAAATATACATTTTACATTTCTTTCTCTTTTGATTTATGTTTCCTCACTGACGCGATTTAGACGCAAATACAGACAATTTTTTTATTGTATTATCATATCCTTTCTAAGATGAAAAGGCAAAAGTGCCACGAAGAGACAGCACAAAAGGTGTTTACAAAGGCATGAAAACAACATAATTTAAAACAATAGTAAAGCATATTTTTCTCATGATTCATGTAAATCTAATGCTTGGAAAATTGCTGTCGTCAGGGACTTTTACTTCTTTGACTTTTTTTTTCTATGTTCTCGTATTGTCGCTTAGAAAAAATTCGGTACAAAGAAGATTAAGATAATTGTGATGGTGAGAAAGGAAGTAAAGACTAAAACAACACATATAGAGAGAGTAGAAGAAATTAAAACACTGTCTTCATATCAACTTACGCTTGTTATCCCTGGCAGCATTACTCTTCCTTTATATCTTTTTTCTTTTATTATTTGAGCGTGTACATTGAGAAGAAAGGACGATAAATATTTTTCTTGTGAATATTTCAGATCGTTTATTTATTTCTTATGTTGAGAAAAAGAAATAGAAAAAAATAATGTCTGAATTGATTGAGTGCAAATAGCTTTTACATTGAAGGAGAGAATAGTGGGGAAAAATAATGGAAACTTTTGTATTGTAAGGAGTTAAATCACTGGTTTCAGTATTGCTGAAAATTTTCACAAGAGGCTGGCTAGGATAATAATGAAAGATTAAGTAATTTTCATTTACTTTCAGAACTTTCACTAATCGTTAACCAGCCTCTTTTGCAAACTTTGAACTTTAACAAAGAAAAAAAATCAGAATTTCACAAAACAAGTCAGAGACAAAGTAAAAAGTAGGATAATGTAATTAAAAGTAATTTGAGAGGAAGCAGAATCAAGAAGAAATGAATAGAAAATGAATTTAATTAAAGTAAAGAAAAATCGCAAGACAATAAAAATAAGGAAAAAACTTTCAGCTGATTTTTCTCTCACTTGATTTTCAATGAGCTTCGTCTAGAAAAGAAGAGAAAAAAAATTGTTGCAAATTAAAAATAACAAAAAATTAGGTTCATCTTGCATAATCAAAAATCCAACAAAAATAATGTTTCGGATTAATTTGTAGAGATTAGAAAAACATTCTACACAAGATAAACAAAGAAAAAGTTTAACTTATTTGAGAGCTAATAAAAAATAACTTAGAGAAGAATATAGAAAAATAAATAAATAAATACATGTAATAAAAAGCTCATTTATCATGATATAAACATATTGTACAAGAAATCTATTTACAAGTGAGTCGGGTTAACTTTGCTTTCTTCCTTTTCAACATTTCATCCCACCGGTGAATTTTCGGTGAAAGAGAACATTTTTTTTCTGCTAAGTGAAAAGCGATACACAAAAATGCTTTTCATTGTGTTCAAATTTCAATTAATTTAGCTTTGTCATGGTATAAAGAGAAAGGGTAACGACAGGAATTGAGATGAAAAAAAGTGAAAATTCAACAAGAGAATTTGTCTGTGAAAAAGTTTATTTATCTAACAAGAACGAAGGAAAAAACTGAGACAATTTTGATGCTTCACGACACTTGAAAGACAATTTAATACTCAACGACATAAATCTAGCATGAAAGATTAAAGTTTCATAAATGCATTCGAACTATTAATATGAAATGTTCAAGCAGAGTAAGATTTTTCATGAAAACATTTATGTATGCAGATATTATTAACTTGAAAGTTTAAAGCTCTTCACATTCTTCTCAAAAAGTTGTTTAAACGCGAAAGGCAACTTCACCGTCATTGCAAAACATTTTCTCCTGAATCATCAGAATTATTATCAAGTGGAATTGTTACCTAGAGAAGGTATGAGATGTTGAGATATTTATTTATGTACTCATCAAGCGCGCGATTCTAGAAACTACATTGTGTATGTTCAGAGCTTTACTCTTTCAGTTTATTATTACTCAAGCAAAGATGAAAGCACTTGAAAGTTGTTTGGTTTTCAGAGGTGCTTACATTTACAGAGAAAGGAATCCGTGTTAATGAACCTTACTGGGCTCCTCCTGTACGTTTTGTAACATTTCTGACAATCATATAAATAAATTAACATATCTTCTCATTACTTTAACCCTTAGAAAATTTTATCTACAATGTTTAAGCTTTGAAACAGGAAAGAATCGCATTGCATCCCGTCATGAGGGAAAAAGTGGTTTTGTTTTATTTATTATTCCCTTTATTTACATTTTTACACACTGAGATCCATTATGATTTGTCTTCCACTTATATTTCCATTTACAGATTAAAGTGGAATAAACACGTCATGAAATTTCGAATATTTTAAAAAAAATTACATTTTAATCCCTGTTTGGAAGAGGATTTGTGACAAATGGGAATTAGTGGCTCAAAATTTTAAAATATCTAAGCCTTTAGTCTCATAAGCAAAACTGAAAAAATTGAGTCATCATCATGATGATTTCAATTTTTATTTAATGTCATGATGGAAGATTTTTATTAAATTCTTTTTCTGCATCGACTCAACACTTTGTGAAGTCGATAATGTTCAACATGTTAGGAAAAGTTTTCTAAACATCCCCTTAGGATCTTCATCATCAAAGCTGTCAATTAGAAAATAAAAATTTCTTCCAAGGAAATTTCTAAATCATTAAAAACATCCTGAAGGGAATGTTGTTGATATCATTAAATGAAAAGTAATGTTAACAGATACATAAATTTAATTAATTATTATGTTCATTTTTAACTTTGTACATACTGAAATTATTTATTCCATAGGATTTAGATATGTTCGAGGAAAATCTCAATTTTAGCCACAAACACTCTGAGCGATAAAGAAAATAATTGTTTTATGTTTTTGGCTTGGTTTAGTTTGAAATATGTATCAGCACCACAAAGCAGACTTTGAGGCTGATTTCATTGCATGGATACGAAAGCAAATGAACATGGTAAACCCAAAGTTCATGACATAGAAAAGGCTTTAATTCGAAGTAAAATGAACGCTGATGATGCTACATAAACATAGAACATTAATTTCAACTAATATGATGAATAAATTGAGTTTTTTATTGCACCATTATTGTGGTTCATATACGTAATTGGTTCATTTGTTGCTGGAGGTTCACTAAATACATGTTTGAGATTGAACTATCTTGTTTCCTCCATTTAATAATATTTACGGTCAAAATATAACAAAAGATATTTGGGGAAGCATCAATTTCATACTTTGAATTATTTACGTTTATGACAGATAGCATAACTATGTACATAAATATAGTTTAATGTTGACATGAAAGTTTCTTTACTCGTCCCCGATTTATATTATTGTTTAAAACACTCAGAAGACGTCCTTGACTCTCTCCATCAATTTCTGAACTGAATAAATACTTGGAATATTCCGTTTTCCGAAAGGCAACATCATGAAATATTCAAAACGTTTTCTAATGAAACTCTATAGAAGGTAAGTCTACAAAATGCATAAATTCATAAATTTCATCCCTTACGTCGATTGGCAGAGGGAAACGAAAAAAAAAATTGAAAAGATCAATGCAGCAAAGAAAACCTTTCTCGTTCTCCATCCGCGAATATCCTACCATGAGGTGAAAAGAAAAGCAATCCCGAGGAAAATTTCGAGTATTCATATGTTAATATAGGAAACATATCTACATACAATGTGCGACTAGATATATCAGAGTCTATTTAAATATAAATTTTGAATGAGATATTGTGGAGAAGGGAAGAGAAATCGTGTATGTAGATATAGAATGTAATATTCAACTACAATTACTCTCCTATGAATAAAATTCAATCGGAATTGTAGCAATTCCTGTTGAAGAGTATATCTGAAGTATCACGAATTATGCACATATATATTAAGAGATAAAAATATATTTTTGCCCTCTCGGTGAAGATCAAATATCATTGCGGTACTATACAAGAAAATTTTGGATTTCTCATCACTTGAAATGTGATATATTATTGACATTTTCTTCGCTATGCTAACATCTATTAAAGATGATGGAATGAATTAGATCGAACAGTTCTAAATATGAGTCTTCAAATTGACTTTTCACGTATTGTCACAAAGTTGAAATGATTTTTCACTTCTGTTCTTCATTCTCTTCGCTTCTGCTCTTATATAATGTACGATTAGAAATAATTCCATAGTTACAGTCAGTAACTTATGCAATATTCAATTAAGATTTATTCCCAAATCTGTTTTAATAGCACTGAAATAATTTATATATTGATTCATAAAATAATTTATAAAAGACAAGCTCTTATGATATTCATGAAACTCATAACATTAATGTAAAGTTCCCTTTTAGTGCACTTCATAATTTTCACTGTCTATGATTCTTCTCAACTCGCCCGCAACAACGGTTAATGTGGAAAACTTGAAATAATTTTTATATGAAACCTGAAGAGATTTTTATTTTATTTCCTATGTAATGTGTATAGCATAAGGATTCATTTTCCACATGAAGAGAACGTTAAAATATAATATAAATGGAACGGAGCATGATTCGATGCTTGGCTTTTGTCTCATGACGGTGGTTGGAGAAATAACCGAGTGAATTACTTTTTACAAGAAAGGTAGGACAAGGTGAAATACAAACTTTTAATAAAGCAATAGCATTGAAAAGGTTCTTGTATTTTCACTAAGATTTTGTTTCACTTAAATAATTGCACACTCAAAATGCTTTTTGTAACATGCAATTGTAGCATAATGTTAATCGTTAAATTCTGATATTTTTATTTCGTTCTTCCAGCTGCACGATATCAAGTTCGCCAACACGATTTTCAATGGCTGAAAGCTTATGTTAAGCTTTTTCAATTATAGGAATTTTTAGGTAAAAGATGTTGATCGGAAACTTTAAACTAGGAAAATATGACGAAATGAATGCAAAATGTATTTTTAATTCAATTTTTAAATCCTGAAAAGTCATCAATATTTTGCTATTTTGCGTTTCCATTATCAGTCAATTTACATAAACAACCGGAACAAGAAAAATTCTGTAAAAAAGCATATTTCCATAGGGTTAATAATAAACCTGCTTTTTTCCAACCCCACACTGTGTCCGGTTTAACGACAGTGGTAAAAATAATAAAAAAGAAAATCACAGAAAATGAATCAAACTTTTCATAGACTGCCATAAATATTTAAGGTCTGATGTTGAATTAAATAGCTTGACAAATGAATATTATGAGGATTTTATTTTTTGTGATTTAGAAAATGAATAAACAGAATACCAACCACCCAAGTATGTCAACAAAACTTCGTGTTTAGTTCATGACTCATGTTATTCGTTCGCTTAACAAATTGTTTAAAGCTAGATAACAGAGTAAACGGAATTTTCATTCCTTTTTTTTTGAATTCATCAAATACAGCAACTCATTCGTCGCGTTTTGTGTCCTATTGTGGTTACATGTTTTATCTCATTCAAGCACTGAATTTTTTCCGTAGTTCAAATACCATTCTTGTCAAATTACGTAATTTTTTATGCTATGTACTTTAATTAATGGACAAACGCTTTTGTGTCGTCCCCAACATCTCCCATCTTCCTTTACTGATGTTGGTTAAATTATTAGCTATTTTTCATGTTTCAACACACAGAAAATGAATAAAAGACTCAGAGACGCTGCCAGGTTGATATGTTTTTGGGAGGGAGACATTGTGATGTATTTGTGGAAGGTGCTTTGGGGGCCCATGTTGCCAATGTTCTCCACACTGAAACACGAGGATTAAGTTTAATGCATAGAGACAACAGTATGGGTGTGAGATAGAAGCATGTACGCAAAAAGCGGCAAATAGAAAAATTTATATTTAATGGACACAAAGCTTCTTTGCGCTTCCTATCGTACGCTTTTCAGTGCCTTTTGTGATCCTATGAAAACATCAGGTGTCTAAAACAAAATTACAAGCATCTCTTCTCCAGGCTGTTCCCTCGTACACCTTCATAATTGAAATGTTCTACAAAGGTAATTTAAAGATTGCGTACAGTGAAAGTCCTTTCTTAATATTTAATTCTTCTCTTCAGATTTGCAACATTTGTTTGTTGATGTCTTTGAGAACTTATTTTAATTAAAATTAAAAGTAATTCTTGGAAGTTTATAACTTAAATCTAATCTTAAAAGATCATGTGGTAATCACGAAACGACACTGTACCGATAAATTTTGGAAACATATCTAAGGAAAAGCTTTATAAACATTTAAAATAAGATGTTTATTGCTTGAACACATTCATCAACTGAAGAGAGCATAAGCTTCTATCTCATTCCTCGGAGAAAGCGTGTAAAGAAGTTTTCAAACACCAATATTTTCCTAAGCACCATGCACGACTCACACATTTCCCTCGATTTACGGTTATTTTGTGATCAACTAAAAATCCTTTCCATTAACATCTCCGAAAAACATTATCCCCTAAAGTAGAAAGCGGAGCTAAAGCCTTATACAACAGAAAGTTTTGTTTTTTTTTTCTTCTCTCTACTCAGTGAAACAAAAAGTTTGTCGGTATGTGTTTGTGCACGTTATAAAAACCAAGGTAAATTAATGTAAGAGAAGAAAATAATTAGGTAATGAATATTTAATTAACTAAAATTAGTTGTCGTTCTCTGTGAAAAAAAAAGTTGTTTTCTTATCATGGTTGTAAGGCAACATTAGAATCAGCCAAGGGATTCATCAAGCAGCTGCTAAAATTTTGGAACATAAGATGAACGAGGTTTAGTGAAATATAATCTTGCGTCTTTAGTGATTCTGATGAGAAATTGTGAAAGTTTGATGAAGAATTTCTTATGATGGAGTCGAAGCATTCTAATTTGATTGCGACGCAAGCATTCATAAAATTCTATAAAACTTTTCGTTAATGACACTTTCATATATTTCATATCAGCTCTCGAAGCGCTGACAACAATTAGATTGTTAAAGTTGTGATATGTGTTGAGTATAATCAATCAAAAGCAATCAAATCTATCAATCGACTAGCTTATATTGCTTGATGAAAATAAAATAGCTCACAAGGAAATCATATTCAGAACTTTTTCCTTAATGATTTTTATTTTCCTGATTTTCAAAGAAGTATAATTAGATTCTGTTCATTTTCAACTAAAGAGAAAACATTTCCATGACATTCAAGACTCTCAATTTTCTTGCAAAAATCAAATGAGTGGGCATAAAATTTAATCATAGACGAAGTACGTTTATAGAGTAAAATTTCTATACAGAATTAGATTAGAATTCTTAATTCAATTTAATTTAATATCTTAAATGAATTACCATCATTGCTATATTTATAAAGTTGAAAAGGAATGAATATATCACAAGTGAGTAAGTTAGATATGATTCGTCGATGCCATAAGAGAGAAATTAAAAAAAATTCAATTAAAAAGTTTTCTTTTCTCCTTGAAATTTCCGGTATTTTAAAATTTACATGTAACAACGCTTCTCTTCTGGGTTGATCCCCTGCATCATCTCTTGTATATTCATTCGAGATGCTTCCCTTTCACAAGAGATTCAAAATACCACCCCATTGAATGTCAATGAATATTTCAAGCGATAACTGAGTGGAAAAGTTGAAATTTAATTTTTTCATTTCCTCATCTCGACTTTTGGGGTTTGACTGTTGCTAAGTCCAAAAAAGAAGAAGAGAAATAAAAACAGTCATTAATGCAAACATTAATGTTATATTTTTTGGAGAGATAAGAATAGAAGAAAGTCTGTTTTCGTGTGTGATGCTATTAAATGGACATAAGGTGAGCTTCAATGACCCAGAACCCTTCTCTACATTTCCCCTAAGAAATCCTTCACAGTTCGAATCAGCCTTCGTTAATAATTCCATTATCACATAAAATTTTATGTTCCATTAAAGTGACGCATCGCTAGCCTCTCTCTATTTTATTATTTAAACATAATATGGCTACTACACATCACATCAGCACATATTATCATTATTGATTACTTCACATATTAGATTTTGATTGACTTCTATTAATTGTACATTGGACTTTTGTAAAAAGGGTTTTATAATCTCTCTCGTATTCCACAACCTTTATTGACTCATGAAAATGGACATGAATATGAAAAGGCGACAGTCATTTTCATTAAATAAATTGTTTTACGATACAACATTTCTACAGTATTATTTCATTGGATTAAAAGCAATTAAATTCCGAAATTCTGAAAATATTCATATGAAACATAGCAAAATGTTTTCAAAGGATGGAAACTGTAAATATTCAAGTCCAATTCTTAATATTATTACAGTCTATAAATCTCATAACGATTCAATCATCATTACATGTGGAAAATAAAATAAACAGAAAAACAAACTCAACAAAAGATTTCATACTGGAAAAATGAACTGACAAATTAAATCATGTTCCACATGTCACCATGAAAAATAGACGAGCGTAATAATTATTAAAATGTAGGTAACGATGCGAATCCTTTTTCCGGACCTCACAATGCAACCGTATCCATGATATAGAATGCGATTAATATTAATAAAATTGAGCTTAAATACGTAACACAACATCATAATTTTTTCTACCCCAAAATCCAACAGTTCTCCCATCAACACGAATAATTTGGGGTTAATGTGTATGTGTTTGAAGTTACTGGCTTGTGTAATTGGATCAAACGTTGAATTAAACAAATGTTTCTCGCCATATAGCTCACAAACATGAGGCAAGCAAGTGAGAGAAGAGTGCAAAACATCATTGATTTCTTTCTTGGTTGCGTCATTCTCACGAATAGTCGACGTTTTATTGTAGGAAATTTTCCTACTACCGAAAACATCGACCAGCAAAAATAAACAATCAGTCATTATGTGCTCGTTTATGTTACTTCACTAAATGGCAGGCGATTTGATGGAAAATCTGTGGTAAAATTGAAAATTTGATCAATCGATAAGTTGTAGTTTGTTTGTTGCTACTGCCACCCAACACATTCAACAAATAACGACGGCGACTATTCAACATATCCTCGACGAAATCACTCGAATGGAAATGAAAATGATCCAGGTATGAGAAAGAAAAGCCAAAGTTTCATCACCTTTCGTCCGTTTAGGGTTTAATGTGATGAAATAAAATGGAATTTTTTTCTTTTGGGGCTTTTCATCTTGCCGCCCTTACTTTTCATAACAGTTCAGGTACACTATGGCCGTACATAAAGGATGATGATAGTTTTGTGATGCTATGACTTGGAATAAATATTATATTAACTTTCTGCAGGAAAAAGGGAAACATTAAAACGTCATGAGAGAGAGAGACAGAGAAAAGCACATTTTTGGCACGACCCAGCAGATTTCAGTTGACCTTTTGAGTGTTATTTAGATATGATGTCGAAAGATAAGATGCAGAAGGGCTTCTAAAACCATTAAATTTAACTTCATGAAGACTGTGGAAAAGCTTGTTATTTTCTCGGATGTTTCGACATGCTTTTACGAGTTTTAGATCACATTTCGAATCAGAAAATTGAGACTATCATGACAACACAAACATGTGGTTCATCTAAATTTGGCTTTATAATTAATTATTTCCCCAGATTCGAAATTTTCTTTTTTTATCAAATTTCGTAGATATTTTAAAAATCAACCAAGTCGAGCTCCTTTGAAAGCAAACCACATAAAAATTATTATAATTAAATTTTTATTCAAGTTTTATTACCTCATGATGTTAAACATTTTTTCTGGCATCTTTTTTTTTGTTCATTCAAGTCAAGTATGCAGACTGAAAATCCTTTCCCTCGACATTGGATGCTTGAGATAATTTTTATGCAAAAATAATTTCTTTCTTGTCTTCTTTACATCTAAGAAGCTTTTTATTCACATTTTATATGTTCAAGCTTCTATCCTGATTTGTTTTCTGTCTGATGGATGGAAATAAATTATATAAGTAGCCATTATAGTGCCGCTTATTATTCACTACTGCCTAGGAATTATCCTCGAATGAAATGAGTAAATATAAAGTGGAAAAATGTATACAACAGTTTTCTTTCCCCACTTGTATTTATTTTAGTTGAAATATACTAGCCCTAGGGGAGCAACAGGCTGTTGAATGTGAAACACGCTCATTGTACTTTGTGGCCATTTCTAGGCATTAGTTGTTGTATGATTCAAGCTTTGCATTCGAGGCAACAAATGGGTGAAAAAGGGAAAAGAAAAAAAAGAAACTAACTTGGAATGAGATGGAAATTCTGTTTCAGTGCTTCAGTCTGAAACTATTGAGTCGAGTCTCTGCATACATATTAATGATACAGAAAACATTAAATGGGAATATAAAAGGCTATTATATCTTCCTCAAATGTACAAGAGAGTAAATGAGATCCTAAAGCCCAACATGAACACACGCGATCAATATGCGCAAATAAATTTTTTCCTTCCCTGGCTAATATCAATTTTAAATCCGATGAATGTGCATTAAACATGCATTTTATTCTATTTTAATATTCTTTTTTTTTTGAAATTCAATCAGATATGAAAACCGCTAAGCTAAAACTTCAATCAAAAGGGTTCACAATGTTATGAATTATATGATGGGATCATTAATTATGCAGCACTCATACAAGAAATTCTCGTTACAAAATTTCCATTAGGAAAAGTTTGATTGAACAACTTTTTCAGTTTGATTAATTTGCTTGGAAAATCTGTTTTAATCAATATTCTACAATCTGTGATAAATATTTGAAAAATTCAGTAAATTATTTTCCAAAATAAAAAATTAAATTGAAAATCACTTCAAAGGAAAAATTTGAAAATAAAAAAAATCAATGAACGGTTCTCAATGGGAAAATCTTTTATGAAAAATTCTGTCGAAGTATGGTTTAAGGGCTCTTCCCGTCAACCTCAACAGAATCTATTGTTTAAATGTCAATTGCTAGTTAAATGGGATTCAACTTATATCAAGAGCCTTGTTACTGTCACATTTAACGCCTCTCATCGATCGGCTTTAGAACTTCAACGTGGTTGCTACCTTGACAGTTCACTTATAGTTTCTTTTCACTCAACTGTTTTAACTTCGCTTTCAATTTACTTTCTTGACATTTCAATTTTTATGTTTTTTCGGGTCGTTATGTAAAAAAAGGCATTTAGCAAACCGTAAAAATCTATATTATGCTTACCACATTTAGAACAACCGCAAGTGACTAATTTTACGAGGCGGGTAAGAGTGAAAAGACAAACAATAATTTTTATACCGTACTTCATCGAGTTTGATTCGATCCTTCGTAATGTCACGGATCAACAAACAAAAGGAAATGAGAAATATTTGAGGGTTGATAAAGAAAGCGAATTATTGTTGAGCTTTTTCACGGAACAAATGTATGAGTGTGACGTAATTTATAAACATACTTTATTCTCAATACATTCATGTATTCTTTGGGGTTCCTTTTCAAAAACTTTCAGAAATAAATCGAACCTTAAATTTTCCTATTTTGACAAATGAAAATTTTCCATTTATTTCGTCCAATAAATGTCAGAGTCAGAATATTCGACAAACGAAACACTCTTGTTGTCCCTCGTGGGATCGCTTCAATGTTTCGGAACTTTTTCTCGCCGTTTCAAGCTTCTGATAAAATTTCAACAGATCAGAACAGTCGGCCATGCATGTGGATGGAGTTCAGGTAGATAAAATCCAAAATCGTGATAGAAATAGTAAAAAATATATTTCCTTCAATAGGACGTGCGGATAATGATTTCTGATGGGAATGAATCAATTGGCCCCACTTCGCCAATGTGCTGGAAAATATTTTTCCGGCTTGACAAAATCAATGCTACCTAGAGTGAAATTATATATAGAATAGGAGGGAGGGGGTGGTTGTTGTGAAGAGTTTTTTATGTTATTTTTTGTCTGCATCGACTTCTGAATCATTCGTAATCGCGTAGATTTTCGGTTATTGATTTCCATCCATTACGACGACATCAATCTTACTTCATGTCTTTCAAGAAGAAAGGAGGAAAACTCTTCACACTTCTATGTTTGCTCCATGGTGACATGAAATGTTCTTTTATATAACATTGAAAGTGAAGTGTAGAAAAATGAAGCAGAAAGTTAAAGCAGAAATTGTGATGGTAACGAAAAATATTTCAAATCAGATTAACTTGCAACTTTCTTAATTTCAATTGACATGTCGCTTGTCAAATTGTTGGCATCTTTGTTCTACCTCGCAAAATATTGTCTATAAATGGAAGACAACAAATATTTGGCTTTTCTTATCTAAAATACTTCCATTTCCGTTTTCATTCCGCATCGTAACTGAGAAACTAGTTGTTTATAAAACCTTCCAAGAGCACATGTTAGTCTTTATATATCATCATCATTCAGATTTAACAGAATCGTTTGGAAAGAAAGAAAATGAATTCGGGTAGGATTTTCTGTTCAATGAATAGGCGAAAAAGATTCAATCGAAGAAAACCATGTGTAAAATCAGAGAAAATTGTTTTGTTTATGAAAAGTAAAGGAAAAAGATTTAAAAAGAATTCTTCAACTATATTTAAATATTTTTTTAATGCCTCAGTCGAATGTAAATAAAGAAAAAAAAATTCTATCATAATATTTCCATCTTCTTTCTCTTGTTATGAAAAATAAATGAATTCCAATTGAAAAATAATGAAGTCTCTAAGAAGCGGCTTGTAAGTAGAAAGAAAAAGATTATTATCTGAAGCTTTCAAGTCAATTTGCTGATAATTGACTGTGATGGAGAGAAACAGAAGTTGCTTTGATCAAATGTTGCAACAAATCCTCAGACGTTGAAGCAACATGATGATGATGATATTCAACAGCAATCGAAGTCGAGTATCAAAACAAAAGTGCGAATAAGAAAATGAGTAACACTTAATAGATAATTAAGAATAAATTGTTATGCTTGCACGACTCTTGATGTTTTGCGTGTAAATATCACTTGCTCAAAGCCTTTATTGTTTAGCTTGATGCAGCTTTTAATCATTCATATCGTATTCGCTTTCTGAGTTTTTAATTTGTGTGTTTAAATTAGATTTGCTGCACATTAAATCTTTTTGCTTCGCTTCTTAAATAGACAGTTTGAAAATGTTCAGCAAATATAACACAAAGTATAAAAGAGCGGTAATTAATTAGCTGTTTGAATTAAATGTTCGCGTAGATTATGCTTGAGTTCTTATTTTTCTTCCGTTCAATATTGATGGTGTGCGAAGAAGAAGGCAGGCAATTAGTGAAGTAATTTCCCTTAGTTCTGAGGAAAACAAAAATGCATGTTGAATAGTTTTATCATCAATCATCAGGTGAATCAAGTCATGCAAACAATCATTCAATAATAAGTAAGATTTCCGTCAAACATTTTTTCGTGATTTTGTTGAACACAAAAATTCAAGATTTTCATATTTTCCTGATATTTACAAAGGAAAATCATCTTTAATTAAAACGAATTAAATTTTACTTAAACTTTTCTTTAAATTGCTATCTCGTTTCTCAGATTCTGTTTCCGACATGACATAAAATTCTTTTGATGCATTTGTTGATCAAACCACAAAATCTTTTTGTTTGTCCAAAATTAAAAGTTTTAATCTCAAGTAAAGACGATTGATATGTCTGAACATCAAAAACATCATTTCAACATCAGTCTTGTGAAGGTCTTATTGAAGTTAAATAAATTAAAGTTTCAGTGTGCACGTAAATTCTCCCAAATGTTTCAAAGTAAAGCAATTTCACCTTCCTGAAGGAATAAATAAATTCAAATATGGAAAACTTTTCTTCTCTTTGAATTCCATTTCAATAACTCATGTTTTACATGATAGTTCATTTGAAAGTTGTATTTCAATTAAAATAACTTAGGAAATTCTCTTTTACTTCTGATATTCTCTTTCTTAAGCTGATTAAGCAAAGAAAAATCTCATGGAAATTGGATAAATTTTCGGATATATTCAACCACATAAAATATCTCTTCACTTTGTTCTTTGGAATTACAAGTTTAAATTCAATTAGTTTTATTTAAGCATATTTTACATTTTCTAAACAATAAATTGCCTTTGGGGTTTTTCATGAGTTTTGTTGTTTAACTAATGGTCGGACAGTGAGCTAGTCGATGAATGTGTGTGGAGGAAGGTTTGCTTGTAGGTAAAATCTATAAAGAGTCGTCCGCAAAGGCCTCATAACGGAACTTAGGGGGCTGAGATTGCAAGGACTAACGAAATATATCTCAGATTAGTAACATTGTTTCACAAACCATATTACGTGTGTGTATAATGTGCTTGTGGCAATTTGAATTAATTTTCCCTCATTTCTGCTTAAACAAATTTTTTTCTTTCTCTTTTCCGGCTACTTGTTTAGGGGAACGATTGAAATTGTTTTTGGGACTGAAACAACCTTTTTTTTTTATTTTAGATAACTTGCCTTACGAGAGGCAAGACTTATATCTTCCCTATGATCTCAAATCATCCACCAAAAATATGTTTAACTTTCTTGTTGTGCTCGTTTTCCCTCAAAAAGATACCAAAGCAGTTTGAGACGAGAGAAGCAACAGCAGAAAATAAAAAATAGAAACTTGTGAGGTTGTGGTGAGATCATAAAATCGGAAAATTCCTGAAATATTACCACACGGCAAGAGACTGAAAATCCTACTTGTATATTTTTTGCGTTGCGCCCTTTGAGCATCTAAGATGGAATTTTCAATTTTAAAAAAGGGCAAAAAGAAAGAAGAGGAAAAATCTTTATTTTGTGTCTATGATGACCGAGAAATAAAAATTATTTATGAAAGAAAATGTATTTCTCAAGTGACAAATGAGATTTTAGTCTTGCGACGAAAGCCCAGGTTACCTGTGCAAGTAAACATGCCGTCTCTGATATATTAATAACATAAACTCATGAGACGAAGCAAAAATTTATCCTTTATTGGTTTACTGGTGAGACTTTGTGTCATGTTCAACATAAGAGTATAAAAGCAAGCAAACCCAAACATATATACGAACGAACTACATTGTATGAACAAGATTTCGGGGTTTCTGATAAATGTTTTCACTCGATTTATTGATTTTTTTTTTCATTTGAAACTTTATTATCTTCATTCATTGAATTCCATCCCAACTGACGTTTGACTGTGAGCATAAAAAAGTTATCGTAGCTTAACTTGTTTCAATTCAGATGTGCAGCTTGCAGTCTGTTTACTTTTTAATTTCCACTCGATTTTCAGTCCAATTAAAAAGTCACGTTAGTCATAGAACTTATGAAAAGGAAATAAAACGACTGAAAGTAATATTCCGGTCAAAAATTGAAAAACTTATTTGCGATTTCCTTTCTAATTACGTTTCACTTGCTTTTCTTTCATTTTATGCTTTTCATTTCTATTTTATTTTCCCTTAAGGCCAGTGAAAAGGAATAAACGAGAAAAGAAAATCTTTTTTTGCATTTATTAAAAAGAATTTCCATAAGAAGCATCATGACCAATTTTATTTTCTTTCTTATTCCCTAATGATGTTCAGGTTTTTAAAGAGACGGAATGGACCTGGAGAAATACGAATAGTTAAAGATCTTTTAAAGAACGGAAGGTTTAACTTCCAATAGTCCTGGATAAAGGTTTTCAAAGATACAACAATGGAAACTCTTTAATCTATTTGAAGTCTTTTTGTATTTATAATCAATCATTCGAAAACATTTTCTGATGTCGATGTATTCAAATAAGAATATCTGTCTAACTTCTATACATATATACAATTGAAAGTCTCCACCAGATGAAAATCATTTTCCATTTAAATATAAAAAAATGAGATTTAGTACTAACTGACTAACTCAGTAAGAAAAAAGAATAAGAAAAGTCAAGAAATGAGAAGATTTGAAAGACCAATCGCGTTCCTATCGAATCTATTTAGAGAACAGATTTTTATTTTTGTATTTCTAACTTTACTTCTTTTCACTTTCTCGTGAATATAAACAATTGTCAGAAAATGTGTGAATCGAAAGCGTAACGCGATTGATAGTAATTGAATAGTCATGAAAAGTCGAAAAAGAGAGGAAAATTTTAATTCTAGGAAAAATACAAACATTATTTCGTTTAGCTTGTTAGTTGTCTTGTCATGTTGTGGGAAGATCCACCGACCAAAACAAACAATGTTTAAATAATTGAATTTAATTTTCTTTTAGAGCTCACCATGATATCTTTATGAAAATTATCTCCGCTGCTACTTCTTGTTGTTGAAATTTCACTTATATTGTTATTATTGAAATGAGTTATCAGTGATTGATGTTTGAGACTATCACTTAAGTTTATTTCTGTAAAATGACTCAATAGAAGAGCCGGTTCTACTTGTGCACTATTTCCCGTTAAAAGAAGTTCTTGCTGTTGCTGTTGTTGACTCACGGTTGCAATTTCTTGAGCGTTTTGAGCACTTACTGTTGTTGCGGATGGGAGGCAATAGCCACAAAAGTTGTTACTACTATTATTATTGTTATTACTGATTCGAACACTTGTTTGATTATTAGCGCAGTTATTGTGATTCGCGTTGGTTAATGATTGAGATAGAATATTGACAGAGTTGTAATAAATAGGCTGATATTGATACGTTTGGGTGGCGTTGAAGGGATTCGAGTAAACGTCAGGAGGTGATATAAAGGAGGGTAAATATAAATTGGAATTTGGCGTGGGGAAATACGTCTTGATGCCGGTTATGTGATAAGGATGGGGAAGCTTTCTAAATTTTTCTTTCAACTTGCGCTTTATTTTTGTTCCTTTTTAACTTCGCGTCCCCCTCGATAAGCTTTGCAAGTTTTTATATTTTTTTTCTGTCTTAAAATACGGGAAGCTTTTTTCTTATTCGGTTTGTTTTCTTTGTCGCTTCTTAGTCACAAGAAGAAAGAACAAGAAATTAATTTCTTATGTCTTAAGGGCTAATATGCTTCAAAACATTCAAGTAGTATTTTCTTTTCTTTCACTCTTCTCTTCTTAATGATTGTTTTATTTGCTGTAAATATCACGTTTTTCTGGTTTGAACCGTGGCTTCACTAGAGCTTTATTTTATTTTAGTTTTTTTAAGAATTCTTCTTCAGAGAATTTCTATGTTAGTTTGACTATTCGTCTTCACTTTGAGTGGGAACAAGAGAGAAAGAAATTATTACACAACTTGAACAATACCAGAATTCTTTAGTTCTAAATGTGTTAGAAATGAATGATTCCCTTGTTTCGTCCGAGCTGTTTAAAGTGATTTTAAATTCACGTCTTTTCCGTTCGTCTTGCCCGTTTCGTAATTCTTATTCAACAATCAGAGAGTTGTGCGAATAAGAAGTCGTAGAACAAGATAATTGCTTGAAAGAAGGAAAAGAATATACAGCAACAGGTTTGGTCGACTCTCTTTTGCTAAAAAAATGATTCTTTTGCTTTTTTTTCCAATTGAGTCGAGAATTTTTATATTATGATTCGTTCGGTTTTTTTTTCTTTTCGTTGGAATTTACAATTGAATGAACTTTTGAGCAAGAATGAGAAGGTAATTTGATTGAAAATTTTAGATTCTACTTCTTGATTATAATTTATTTAATTAGTTGAGATTTGCTTACGATTTCTTAAGATTTTCTTAGAGAGCTATCAAATATCAATATGCTTAAGTAGACGAAAAAGTTTCAATAGAAATAGATAATGAATATTTTAGATTGTTTTATTTTAAACGACAGTTAATGCTTACAAAGAGATTGATTACTTTCCAATTGTCACTAAATGATTTTTTTAAAACATGGAGTGAGAATTAAAACAAATTTTGATATTGTGAGTTTCGGAAAATTTTCTTAAAATTTCTTCCCTTCACCTAAATTACGACTTTTTTTGATTGTCAAGACGCTTCTTGATTGTTTATTCACTTGATAAACGAATGATTAATTAACTTCTTATAAAATAGAATATTTAAATATCGAATCGCGCTTAAAATTCTACAAAATCTCACGTGTTAAGACTTTTTGTGTTGTCTTAAGATTTTTCTTATTAAAATATTTCCTTGGCCGTTGACCTTGTACACGTTTAAAATGTAAACAACCTCTGTATTGTTTTTCTCTCGATCGCTTTTTTATTTCTTTCAAATTCCTCGAGAATGTATTTTCTTCTTATTAAAGACTTCGACTTCTTTCGATATTCGCCTTCTTCCACTTTTCTCGTTTAACTTCTTTTCTTTCTTCTTCTGCTCGGTTTCTTTGCCGTTCTTAACATCCAACTCGATTCTCGAGCAATCTTGAATTGGTATTTTGCGCGTTTACTTTTGCTTACTCGTCTTCTGCAGGCTTTTGCGGTTTAAATGTAATAAAACATGAGCCAAAAAGAATTCCTTATGATCGTATGTTATTATTTTTACTTCTTTTCTTTTAAACTTCCATGTAATCTTTGAGGTTCTTTAACTTTTTACTTTTTTTGTTGCCTTGCCTTCTGCAGAGTTGCCACAAAGTTCTTTTAAAACGTTTTATCAATTTTTTCCTCTTTTTTTCTTTCGTTTGAAATGATATGTATTTATGCTCTCGAGCAATGATTTTGTGATTTATCAAGAGATTGGAATAAATCCTAGAAAAATATTGTTGTTTGCACAAATAATTTTCCGTTTTTATCTGAAAAATCAAAGCTTATATTTTTGACTTCGATTGTCGAGTTGGAGTGAAGAAATTATTTTGATATTTATTTAAATTTCAAGAAACAGAGTAAGATAAACTTTATGCTAAAAAATTGACAATATTTTTCAGAGTATTATCATCTGTTTCTTTGGTATATGACGGAGTTTTTATATTTAATTTATCATACACTTAACTATCATCATGAAATATTAAGCTCAAATTCTTTTATTTTCTTCCCTTCTTGAAAAATATAAAAAATTGCATGAAAAGCAAGAAAACTGTTGCTTGAAGCTTCTATCGTTCTCAATCTTCCCTTTTATATATTTTTTATGTGCAAGGTAAATGAATTATTTTTGAGTGGATGTAGGAAAGGATGCAGTTGTAATAGGATTGTAGCAATTATTCTTGAATCTTTCTGTCACTGTGTTCTTTTCCAATTTAACTGATCTAACACGAAAACTTCAGAATTTTCTTTGAGAATTTAACAAAAAGCAGCGAAAATTAAAATGATTTTTATGTCGGTATTTATTTCATGCACTTTAGCAGATTTTTTATTATTTATTTTTATTATTTGCTTTTAAAAATTGAAAAAAAACTTCTCACGATTTGTGATTTTTGACTGGTGAATGTGATATTATATTTTTTTTGTTTAATATTTTGATACACTAGAGCGGCGAGATAGAGAATGATTATATTTTGGAACGGGTTGAAGCGAAGACTGTATAAAGACTGAAACTGAAAAATTGACTGGTTTCTACTTTTTCCCCATTTCGACGTCGAGAGGTAATAACAATAAAGTGAAAAAATTGTATGTAATGTAAAACATGTACAGAGTATAATGTGTATACACACAGAAAGCATAATATTGTAGGATGATGATGATACAACGATGATGATGATGCCCGGAGAGAACAGTCGCTTTCTTACTTCATTTTATACTGGTATTAAACTGCTTTTAGACTTCTTTCACGAAAGTTCTCTCTTCTTCTCAGCGCTTTCAACATCTTAGTCAACGTTCTTCTCTTAAATGTCTTCAACCTTCATATAGAGATATTTTTTTCATTCTTCCCTCGCTTCATTCTCTATTGGGAAAGTTAAAAAGCAGCCAAGAAGTTTTCTCTAGAATCGAGTTTAAAATTCTTCTCGACTTCATTTTTCGCTTGTTGCTTGCTTTACCAACACATTTAAATAAAAGTCGTCAGCAGACCGAGAACCGAATTCTTTTCCTATTACCTATTGTCATGCGCTCTTTTAACATTCTCAACTCGGCTCGGTTCTATCGCATGATATTCATCATATTTGCAGAGTGCAAATCTATGTTACAAGAGCTTTCAATGCTTCTCGTCTTCGTAAATTTTTTGATTCGACTCTTCTTCTTCACTTCGCTAAAAGCATTAATGATGGAAAATTGTTGAATATATTTTCACAATGATTTTGTCGTCGTGATGTTTTCAATCTCACATGGGTTAGTGGTTCATGTTCTAATATATGTTTATAAAGTTTTTTGAATGTTTTTAGTACTTGAATGTTGCAAAATTATATCAAAATGAAAGTTTTGTTTTATTATTTGAGCATCAATCTCAGACTTGATTGGAAATTTTAAAATTTGGAATTGATTTGTAGTAAAAAGTGAATATCAGGCTTTAAATATTAAAATTAATACAAGAATGATTTACAAGTAAGAATGTAACAAGTAGATAAATTCTTCCAAATGTTAGAAATGCTTTAAAACAAAAAAAAATCTTCTAGGATAAAAGGAAAACAATAATAAATTTCCATCATGAAACGAACAACAACGTTCTATTAATGAACAAACGTTTCAAGCTTATGCTTCTTTATTGTGTCGTGAGAATTGTTCAAGAATGAGTGAGACAAGGCGCACGAGCGTCACATTTTGGGGGAGGAAGAAAGAAAAGGAAGAAGAAAAAAAACATTAAAGCGCAACTAGTGATTTATACAGGTGAAGCTTGAGAACGAGACGGTAATATTTTCATCATCCCGAGTGAATTGACGAATATTTTCCGAAGCTTTCGCACGCACGAAGAATGGCACGAATCGGGAAACATCTTGATTCGGCTGAACGAGGAAACTCAAATGATAAAAGATTTCGTTGCCTTTGCTATCCGAAGAAGAAGCAGCAACAGCAGCAGCAATTGTTAGGTTCTTCGTATTTTATTTGTAGTATCATCAAGTTACTTACGTGGAAGCAAATTTTCTCAACAAATGATAAATGGCTTGAATATAGCCTCGCATTTTGATGTTGCGAGTCAATTTAACTTTCGACTTTCGCACATCGTTATTGCGTTAACCCATCTCAAAATGATAAATTCAACATTTGAAGATGGGAGGCAAATGTTAATCAATTTGCGGTCAGGATTAATGGAACTTGAGTGTGTTTGCTTCGTGCTCTCCCAGGCCATACGTCGAATTGTTTTTCTTTCCTTTTATCCCTCCACGGATGACGTTGTTTTAATGAAAATTTATACATTTTTGTAATTGAAATAACGATCATCCTCTCATCTCGCGCCCTTGCAACTCTCGCATAGGATCGTTGCGGAAGGAGCAAGCAACAGTCTCATAAAATTTGCAATAATTTATTGCTTAAGTGGTCATTTGTACTGACTTCTCTTTCTTTTTTCATGATAATTTATGGACGTGATGAAGCGTTTTCTAGTTAACGTTCGCAAATGGTTCAGTTTCGCTTTTCATTCTATAGAAAGGATATGTCCAAAGTCAATGAAGCATTTACGTAGTAAATTTTTCAAATTGAGAGCTTTTCTTTGTAGACCAGAAAGCTGTTTTAACAAGTTTGAGAATGCAGAAACTTGAGATTCTGTTTAAGTTAAAAAGTGAAAACATCTTGATGATGTCGTTTCGACTCGTTGAAGTATTTTCTTGTTTAAATTTCTTGATAGCAAATAAGATTCATATCTCAACAATTTTGTTTATAACCCAAGGCATTTTAAGTTGAGTAGAATAATTCTATTAGAACGAAAAGTTTTTCTCCGTTTAAGTTTTTGAAACATGATAAAGTTTAATGGAGGGAAAGCTTTTTTCATTCACTTTAACAGTAAGTTGGAAATATGCAAAATAGTTTCACCTTCTGATCAACTCTCCATTTATGGATATTTATGCATACATAAGAGATTCAAAGTCAATGGGAGCTCATCTGACATCACTGCAGGTTATCAACACATCAAATTAAATCAACATCGGTTCAAAAGATTTTGTCGGAAAATCATGTAAAAATATTTCTACCCTCAACTTAAAACACTTGACGCTCATCCTTTGCCATGCATTAATAAATAATAATTGAGATCATATCATCATCATCATCAAAGCATAAACAACATGACATGAAACGCGTCAACTGTGTTGTAAATTGAAGGTATTAGAACTCGACATTTGAAGGGTATAAAGACAAATTTTCAAGCGTACACCTGCGGTGGTAATTTAATTAAGAAAAACTTTTCTTTTTCTATCGGATGACTTTCAATAACTCTGCATCATCCTTTGATGTATTCATTGTAAAAAGGATTATCAAATACGGAACGAAAAGGTGCTTTTAACATCATGTCGTGTTATCAAAATAGCAACACTACTGCCGAACGAAAGATATGAATGATGGCGTAAAGGCTTTTCGTTTGTCAATACTTCCCAAGAGAAGATTTAAACTTTTCCCTTTTTGTACTTTGATTGAAAATCTCACTTTTTTCTGTCGTTTGATTGATGAGATGAGATAACAAAAGAGAAAATTAATTCTTGGTGAATATCATGCAAAAAGGGAAAGACGAGCTTCATATAAATTCTTTTGTACATTTTACTTAAATAGAAGTAAAGCCGATGAAAAGCAAAAACTTTACTTAGAAAAATCTTCTTCCTTTTGAATCATATTTACAATAGATTATTAATTAAAAGTTTTAGGGCAATAATCGAAGGAAAAATAATAATATGAATAATAACAAGAAATTCAAATAATACATCATAAATACTAAAAAGAAGTTAGAAAGGGAACATTCATAATTTACGTTCACATAAAGTGATAATTTATCTTACAAAAAGATTTCAATAAATTCTTATTTTTATAAATAAGAGAAATATGAACGAAATTATGAATATTTTAATAGAAAACTTGAAGATGAAAAGAAATTTTAATTTTTTTTTGTTGAATGTGTGAAATAGAAAATTTTTGTTTTGAGGGAGTGTTTGCAAGTACCTAATCAATTGAATAAAAGTTTCAATTAATGATTAAATTTTGGAAATATTTGAATCACATTATGTATGGTTTGTTTCAATTGAAAGTTTGTTTAAATTTTAATACACTTACAAACATAAATCGTCTTTTGCAAACAACTCCCTCATTTAAACTCTTATTCTATTTATACAAGGAATAAATGATGGTTGTGTTAATTAAAATAATTCAGGAGTGAAATTACAAATATCATTTGGAAATTCAGGATGATAACATTTAATTACATTAAGCTCACCTTTATTCCAATATGAACCGGTGGAAAATCTGCATGCAAAGCTGGAGCTAAAATAGGCAATGGTAACGGAAGATTACCCACTTGCATCATTGCAACCACCTGTAAATAAAAGCAAAATGAACGCCATTAGTTTCAAATGTCATCATCATTATCACCGAACTTTTTATGTACTCGCTGGATTTAACTGAATTCAAAGAGACATTGAAATATTTTTACTTTTTTAAACAAAAAATCCATTTCCATTACATGAAAATTTATGTGACGTTGATTGTAAATAACGCATTTGAATGAAATCAATTTAGCAGTGCGAGACAGACAAGCTTGATAATCATCAGAACGTGGCTTAAAATGAACGCTTTCTCACGGGCAGCACCCATTCTGAGAACATTAATTGATGTATTTTAATTACACATTAAACGAAATTATTCTATAATTTTGCCTCCCATTTCGAGGGAGTATTTTCCAATTCAAAGCGCGCCAATTACCCGAAAACAAAAAATAAAAAAAATGTGAAATGTATAAAATTTTCAATGTTTATTGAATTGGAAGGGAATTTAATTTCGTTTCGTGTTTATATGCTTTTTGGTGATTTGGCGGGTGGTAAGCAATAATTATTGTAATTAATTTTATTACCAGCTACGTCAGCAAAAAATGAGCTACCAGGAAAAGCTTTTTGTGCGAATAAAAAAAAGAACAATATCGTTAAGAGATCAAAACAATTTTCTCACCCATTGGCGGAAAAACTTTTGAAAAACGGATGAAAAACCTCAAATCGCTTCATCCTACGTAATATCAGAAATGAGATTAAATTATACAATGAAGTCATGTTCGCGTACGCAAATTCAATTTAATAGAGATTGAATATATTTGTGTTCGACAAACGAACTTATTTGGTTTCAATGTTAAATTTTCACAAAATTTTCCTGGCTTGCCTGTTGCTCCACATTTCACTTTACGTTCCCAAAGTATTTGAATAAAAATTGTTACAAAACCCCATTGAAGCATTACTTATTGTTGTGTGGTGGAATTTTTTTTTTGTGTTTTTTTCATGTTTATCAACAAAGCCAAAATCGAGGAAAAATACTTTCGAGATTAAAATATTTCACAGGTTGTTTGTTAATTAAAATAAGCTTGGGATGTAATGGAATCATTATTTGTATTAATTTATCAAGTTATTTTGATATATGAATGGAAATCCATAGGGTGAGATTTCGTTTTAATCCACTTTTAGTTAAATCGTACAAATAGAACGCTTTCAAACAAAAAGATTTTTCCAACCATCGGATTGTTAACTGTATGAACGATATGCAGTTTATGGATAAAAAACAACACGATTCCAATGAAGTGGTTTTCATTCAACAGTGGTCAAGAATCATCTACAGTTTTTAAGTGCTTTGATACATACACCAAATTTAAAACTTGTTTCACGCAATTCTTTTTCTACGTTTTGAATTCTTCTCCACCATTTTTGCTTTACATTTCATTCCACGACTACTTCTTACATTAATTGGACACATGTTGAATTACATGAAAGTTCTGACTCTCATTCAAACCATTCATTAATTACTCTTTTGAAACTTCTTTTTGATACTTTATGAAAAGCAGAAAATTACGAATAAAAGAAGAGATGAACAAAAAAAAACTCATTTTAATATTTGATATTTAGTTTCATTTCCGAAAACGAAGAGGAAGAATATCAATTCAGCAAACTTTTTTCCGTTTCTAATAACCATATCAACATTGAAGCGTTATGCGTCTCTTTGGCTCGTTTACCTTCTTCTACTTCCGAGAATCAGACAATCTCATTACACTCATATCACGTACGAAATGAATTTTCTTTGAGAATTTTTATGTAATTTCTAAACTAGTTTTGCCTTATTTTTCGCTACACTAACGTGAGTTTATCTCTCCATTTGTCTGGTGAAATTGAATCATGGTTACGGTGAATTGAGGTGCATGGAAACACTTAGAAGAAACTCGAATAGGTGTAACTGAAGACGAGAACGCTCAATGATTATGACAGAGGAAAGAGGGAATGCGAAAACTGATACGATAGTCAATTTCTGAGAAAAACTTAATACGCGCTCGTGCAAGTTATGAGAAATTCCACGACAGTGTTCCGATTTATAAATGATTTTCGTATCTTCGACTAACCATCTCATGTCATTCAAATTATTTTATTTCGAAATATTTTCCTCGTCGTTTTGCGTTCTGACATGTTCAATAATCAAAGTCGTAAAGGTAAAAATATTTTCCTTCTCTTTTGAATGTGAAATAAAAAGAAAAATGTTTGAGGCTCAACAAATGTTTATTTTGATGCCCTGTCACATGTGTGTTTGAGCGGGAAAAAATCGTGTATGATACATTAGACGAGCGATTTATCAGCTTTCAGACTCAGCAAGAAGATATTCCTGTATGTATCTTCGTACGTGATCCAAATTAAACTTTTCTTTTTCTCGATTTATTTTTCTTTATTCTTGACTTTTCTAAACTTCGGGCAAGCTGACCACATTAAACTGTTACATGTAGCCCGCTGTCAACCAAGGCTGAAATTTTAAGCCTGGGTACTCAAAATGTTTTGAATTGATGTTAGAATTTATCAATCTTTCAACGGTGATTATGGTAAATGGGCAGAATTTTGCAAAACACCACAAATCGTGTGGTGAGATTACAAAACATATCGTCGTCGATGTTGTCAGAGAGAAATATTTTCATGAAACAAAATGCTGTTAGCAAATATATCGTGTGAAAAATTGAATTAAAAACATTAACCTCATCAATCCATCACATGCTTAATTAAACTTTTTACATCGTTACATGTCCCATTCTGTATTCTGTGTTTGTTTCAACTTGCTACGTAACGCTTGTGAAGCCCCGCATCAAAAAGTTTTAAATTTAAATAAGCAGAACGTGCAGACGGAAGTTTACATAGATAATCGCCAGCAATTTTAATGACTAAAGCGCGTTTTAATTCGTAACAAAAAAAAGTTTCAGGTAAAGGAGATTTTTAAACTCAAATTTTCCGCCTCATTATTTCTAAATTTCTTTCATCACTAAACGATAATTGCAATCAACATTTCAACCATTCGAATGAACGATGTTGACCCAATTAAATGTTTAATGAAAACTGAATTGAATTTTTCCTAGGATAAGTTTGTGATATTTATATAAATATTTGAATGAAATGCGCAACACAATTTTCCGCTCCTTGTTTTATCAACCTTTGAAGTTTTGACAGTTTAAATTCAAGCTTGATCCGTTTCGCATTCCACTCCTTAAATAAAACATTATTTAAATATTCCGTTGTCTCACGCTTGAAACTACTAACATTTCATCCTCGCAATCGTATTTAATTCCTTGTCATCTCAGATATTTTGTCGTATTTTGCATGATAGCGGAAAGTAAAATTTATTTCATAAATCCACAACTCAGCTTGTTGTCTTAAATAGAAGAACATAAGACGACGATGCTTCTAACTAAAGAAGAAATTAAATCAACAGCCAGAAGTTTAAAGTTTTATCTTCACTTGAATAAAATGAAGTAGGAAGAAGAAGAGAGAAGAAAATCATAAAGAAACTTAAGCGCGTTAGAAGTAAGTGCTGTGAAAAAATCTTGGAAAATTTTCTTAAATGGTTTTTCTTTCCTTTTCAATTTTCATTCACGACACAACAGAAGTTTTATTTATGATAGTGCAGAAATTATAAATAAAACTTTTGTGAGCATCAGGTAGGAAGACGAATAAAGCTTTCCTTTCATTCTCGTTTCAATCTTTTCAACCGTCTTCATTTTCTATATGAAATCACGAAATGGAGTCAATTCAGAGGTTCTGTACTTAAGTTCAAAAGATTATTGTCGAGTGTTACTATAACTGGAAGAGACACGAAACTTCTGCATTGATTTTTCACTCAATGAAAGTGTGCAATATCAGAATGAAATTGCAGAAAATAAGCTGAAAGTTCTCTCGGCATGATACAAACTTCAGCATATCGAGAAGACGAGGCGTTTTGTTTGGCTGATTCTTTTTACGACCACCTTTCACAATTATTATATTCCATTAATAAAACGATGCACGATGTGTCAAAAGATAAAACATAAAAATAGCAAAGGAAGAGAAGGAAAATAATTGCCATCGACTTCTATTGTATTCTTCGTTTAGGTAGAGTCGCTGAACGTAGAATCAACTTGAGATAAAGAAAAATTGAAATCTTTTATCTATCTTGACGTTGCAAGTTGCAATAAACCGAGGAAGAAGTTGCAACAAATCATACGATCAGGTGCAAATAATAAAAAATAATTTTCCAAAGTAAATATTTGAAAACATTTTTCGATTATTTATTTATTTTGTTTCAATTTAAAACTGAGATTTTCTTGTCTTGTGTCTTAAAATGCTTTAAGCTTTGTTGTCTCAAATCAAAGCTTTAAGTAAACAAAGAGCTTTGTAACAAACACATTGAAGTAACCACTATTGATGTTGATACCATCGTTTCAACAAGACAAGGTCTCTGTCGGATAGCCTTGTAACTTCTTCGCTTTGTATGTTTTGCAGAAATTTCAATTCTTCATTCTTCCACCTCGAGAATGTTCTGCGATCTCAAGACATTGATTTGCACAATGGAATGAAGCTCGTTGGTATTCATATAAATACGTTTGTATGCTTATAAATGTGAAGAGTTTGCAATGAAAGCGGATATCACGAATAATGTTTGAAAATCCAAACATCCTTTACTATGTAGAGAGAGTTGAGTTGTTTTATATGCTTCAACAAGTCATCGCGCCGCAGTGATATATCATCAAAACCAATTGTTTTAAATTGACTGCCGGTTTAAATTCTCCACATGAGTGTACACAAATACATCGCTTAATTGAGTAACTTCAATGTGTTAGTCTCTCAGAATGATCGCTGCTACTTACACAATCAACATTTACTGCTCGAGAACGAGTTAATAAAGAAGTCAGAATTGATTAATATGTAAATATTCGAGAGAGAAAAAAATATTTAAGTTGAAATTGGATTTTCACGGGCTGCATTTTATTTTCGTTGAAGATTATAAATTTTATTGCACTCGATTAAAGTAAACAATGAGTGTACGCAAGCTGCATTCCTTACGCTCGACTCATGCTGTATTAAAAATCTATTTTTCATTCATCAACTTGCATAACATTTGCCAAAAGCACAACGACCGCGACATGCAAATTCATAGACACATGAAGAAGTCTTTTCTCTTTCTTTCTTTCTTTTCGTGTTGCTTATTGCAAATTAATAAAAATTATTTAAACAAATTTTTGATGAGATCATCGGAAAAGGTGAGTTTTACTTGTTGTTGTCTGTATTGAACCTTCGTGTAGCGTTCTGGCTGGTTGTTTTTGTTTAAATATTTCGAATATATCGGAAAGAGTGTGTTGTCGTTCAGCGGCGTAGATGATGGAGAACTGAATTGGATAATGGTACGCTTGAAAGATATTCACTTGACATTGACTTCTCGAAACGATCACGTCACTGAGCGGATATGACATGATTATCATTCAAGTTTAATGATAAAATTGATGTAACGGTACAAGTATCTGTTAGCAAACTCTCCAGAACACTTCATTCTCATATGTCCGACAACATTTTTATCACTCAACAGAATGCATTTAGAAAGATATTCATGTACAAAGATCGTTCAACGTTCAATGCCAGCGAAAATCGACAGAAAAAGAATCCCAAGTGTCTCTTGTACGAAAACATTGTCGGAACACCGAAATGAAAATGTCAATGTGTTGTGTTGAAATGCTAATTTGATGTTAACAAGAAGACGCAAAGCAAAACCCATCCAAAGTAACACGTTAAACACTTCTTAGCGTTGCTTTTAAGATGATGACTTAACCTCTCTTGAATTATTAATGTGATTGGGTCAGGGAAACGTGGAGTTAGTTGAGATGATTCAAGGTTATTGGTGCGGATATAAAAAGAGATGATTTAGCTTTACAAAAAAATCTAGTCTTCATATGTTATTTGTTTGATTCAATGCTTAAGGCGCTTAAGTATGGTTTGCCAAAAATTTGAAAGAAAAAAACATAAGCTTATCATTCATCATAATTCATATTCCATCAAATTTTACGCGCGTTTAACAACAAATATAACAAAGCCGCTTCCATCCATTGTGAACAATAAGAATCATTTGTATAAATTACTTAATAACTTTTGACCTTTCTGTTGAGCAATCAAATATATGTTAAAAGTTCTAAAACATTGAGATCGTAATAGCTTTCATAGATGAAATAAAACGAATAATCACGACGACATCAGTAGAGAAAAAACCTCAAAATTCCCTTGGAGATTTTTCAACTTAAAACTTGATAATTAAAAACGACGATGATTCATTTGCAAATATTTATTATCGAGATGACAACAGTTTACCAGCGTCTACAGAGAGTTTTGTGAATTTTTTTCTCATCTGAACATGTCCTTTAAAAGATTTTCAATGATAAACCTCAATAGTTGAATGCAAATTATGGACGATACTAAAGTTTTCGTTGTTTGTGTTTATAAACCATCAACTCGTCATCATATGACTGAATAAACATTTCTTCTTAACAAATAATTAATAATAAATGGAACAACCGCATGTTTAGTTGGTTTTTATTCTACTATCGTTTATGAGAAGATAGAAAATGACTGAGACTAATATTTTAACCATTTTTTTGGTAATTAATTATTCATACGAAAAACTAACATATTTAATTCAGTTCATGTATGTTTTCCATAGAAAATAAATAAAATTTCCTTATGCATCAAATGTCACACAATGAAACATAAAGGGCGCGGAAAACTTAAAACTCGTGGAGAGTTGAGTATAATAACTGCTTTTAATCTTATAAATGATGTTTTAACTACACTCAAGTGTTGTTTTTCGACTTGTTCTTTATGGCTTTTCTCGAGAGTAAATGATCCATAAATTCATCACTTAAGGTTTTCATTCTCCCTCGATTTCTTTTGAAAATAGAGAAAAGCAAAATAACGATTTTAAAATATGTTGTAACTTCACTGACATTTTCCAAAACAAAACTGTCTGCAAAAAATTATTTTCCTCTTGTCTCGTTTCTGTCTCCTCAAGATTTTTCTTTTATTCCACTTTCTTTCTTTCGTTTCGTTGACGCAACCTCGTGCTTGCCTGGGTGCTTTTGGCTTGTAAAAGGCACACAAGAATTCAACTAGAAAATTGCCACCTGTTCAATCATACAAGCGACAGTCACTAAGAAAGAATTGAAATTTAATCCACTTGACTTCACACTAGACAGCTTCTAAGATTGCTTCAATAATCTTGCCAATCTTCAATATCTTTTCACTTGCACGTATATCCTTGATTTTCCTATCATGCACAAAATTGATGTAAACGAGCTCGTCTTTTCTTCCACTGACGACTCGTCTTCTATGTGATTTACTATAATCTTATAGAGACTTAATAAAATCTCGTTTAACCAACGAACTATCAAATCACTGTAATCAACTTTACTTTAACAACGAAAGTATAATACTTAATGAACAACGAACAAAAAATATAAATGCAATCGCTATTTCGTCACAAGTAAACAGTTTAATTGCAAGAAACTAAAATCGTCCACCAGAAAGCAATTTCCACGAAATTAAATATCTCAAGAAACCACGAAAAATGAATACTTGTTCCGCGACAGTAGATTTTTCAACTAATTCCCTCTCGTGTATAGTATTGCGATATTTCGAACTATACGATTCTCTCTGATGGTCGCTTATACATAGTTATAGCCCAGTCTACACATGCAAGCTTCCCTCGCGAGTATAACAATAAAGAGAAGAACATTTCGATACAATATCTATACACGCATAAACAGAATACAGAAGAAAAATGAGAATCTAAAAGCATATTAGTGGATATGTGTTTATTAAAAAATAAACATTCTTTCGGCGTTTCGTGGTTGTTCATTCCATTTTTCCCTTTTTCTTCTCTTGTAATACTTTTTTTGTGTTTTTTTGGCAAACGAAGAAGACAAGCTTCGGTTCTCAATGCTTGATTTCTTGAAAGAAATTTAAAAACGTTGATAAATAAAGGTTTGGTTTTTCGCTGTGTTCTATTGAAAGGTTGAAAAATTATGCTGACTTCGCAATCAGACATGGACTATCATTCACAAAGAACTAAATTCGATGAAATAAAAATTTAAACGATGCAAAGCTAAGGCAATGACTCGCTACATGTGTGTACACCGCCACATCAAAGTAAATATAAAGTTTAATGAATTGATGCACAACTACACACTTAAGTTGACGGTGGAAGACGAGAAGTAAAAAAAATATAAACGATTGACCGTCAAACGTGCGGGAACCGAGCATTTATATCGTGTTTTTTTCCATTTCATATATTTTTGGTGTGTACAAAAAAAGTTCATATAAATGAATTGAATAAATTATTAAAGACGAGCCATGAGAACATTGAATGACTTTTTATCCATGACTCGACACGAGTTGTTTTGGGAAATCAATATTAAGAGAACGAAGCGTTTACATTTCGAGGAAATTGAAGCATTTGAGATTTATATTTAACAAAAAGATTGTTAAATCTCTACATACTTTTTTATTTATAAATAGAATGCAATGAAATTGCCGTAATATTAATAGTCGAATACGAATATCTCGGACAAACGTTATAAACGTTTCATCCACCTTTACTAAACGTTAAGAATATAAACGTCTCGCAAAAATAAACCTCGCCGATGACACATTTAAACAACAAAGTTCGATAAAAAGTATTCTTATCTTTGTTACCCGATATTGTGATATTCGATACTTCATTCACACAACCTCCAAAAACAGAGCTCAGCAATCAATTGTAAAATCAATAAACGACTTTTATGTTTCTTATCTAAACAGAGTGTAAAAAATCGCGATTGTTTAAAGGCAGTTCAGAGTAAAATTCAATAAAAGTTTTGTGGCGTTCAGAGGAAAAGTATAAACGCGATTCTTTTGTAATGTTCTTTACTTCTAAACACCAAATACACTTACACCATGATCTTTGATCGTTTTTCATCAAAAAGAAACAAGAGTCAGAAACAAAAAAAAATGAGAATCTCAAATAAATCATGATGTATTCAATTTGCTCTACCCAAACGGCTATACACGATATAGTGTAACGAAAGACGAGAAAAAAAGATTGAAATTAAAAGAACTCAGTTTCCAGCCTCGGGCACATGACATCATCCACGGTGATGTCAAAATTCAGATGTAAAAAAGACATGTTTGCGGATAAATTGCAGGGATTACCGAATGGTTGTTGTTTTGGTATGCGGAGAAATGAAAAAGAAGTTCTTATGTTTCTCAGAAGATTTCTTCACCCTAGAAGTAACATTTACAATTCATTCACCGAACAAGACGAGATATCTCAGTGCAAACTTCAAACTAATTATCTTCATGTTCTCTCTTTCCGTTTCAACTTTTCCATTTTTTTCAAGTGTAAAATTTTGAAACGCTTCAGTTCTTCGGTAGAATTATTTCACTTGGTTAAGTATGATTTTGTTCTGTAGCGTTTATAATAATAATAAAGAAAAAAGCCCTTTCACAAACTCCACGAAGCAAAGTTTTCTCAGAATAATTCATGCATGAGATTGACATGTTCGAAGAGAGCTAAAATAAAGATCGAAAGTGCCAAGAAAGGCAAGTAATTAAGAATATAATTTAAAAAAAAAGTAGAAAATCATTGGAAAAACCAAAAAATAATTAGATAAGCATAAACTATAAAATTTAAATGATTATTGATTCGAATTTCCATGGAAAGTTATTAAATTTCTATGAAGTAAGCATTGAAAGATTTCATTGTAATGGTTTATGCTTTCAATTTATGTTGTTAAGGTAGAATGCGCAGTTAATTTTTATAACCATTAAGAAGCAGATGCATCTTCATGTTGATTATGATAATAAACAAAAGACGCTTCCTGGTGTTCGAGGATCAATAAATTTCATATACATTCAAATTGAACTCATCAATTCACCTAAAATCTTCTTAGACATTCTTTTCAATTTACATTACGTAAACAAATCAACACAAAGCGATGGAATCAAGAATAGTTTATGATGATTGAAGAGCTGATCATTCATTTTCAAGTTTTCTCTAATGAATAATGAGAATTTCTAAAATGTTCTCATTGCAATTCACGAACTTTATATCACATGTCTATGTTATTTTATGCAGATTAATGTTTATGCTTATGTTTAATAGAAGCACGTATGATATGACTTCAAATTTATAATGAAAAATGTATTTTCAAAAGAATGTCGGTGGAAGGAAAAGACAACTTTTCTTCAAGAACATTTTAATGCTTGTCTGACTTTTCCCTCAATTCACAGAAGTTCACAACAAAAATTTAGCTTTAAGGTAGATAAGCAGTTGGGAAAGTCAGAAAATTACGACTAGGTAAGGTTCGAATTTTCTCAGAAAAATAATACATAAAATTTTCTACTTTTCATTTCTTTTAGAGCTTCCTTGAAGGAAAGAAAGCGAGCTGGTTAGTTATCTCAGACAAGCTTCGCTATTATTTTCTTTCAAGCTTGCTGAAATCATGGAAGCAAGGTAAAGTGATTTTAAAACGTAACCGAGCTCTTCTCGTGTATTTAATTTTATATTATTAAAAGGAGACGAAAGGAAACTTTGATGGTTTTTATTGTTTGATGAATTTAAAAATAAGAAATAACTAAAAGTTAAGATAAAATTTTCCAAAAATAAATTGGAAAATTGTTGAATTGTTAATGTCACTTTTGTATTACTTTAGCTTTACAGCTTCATGAATTTTGTTAAAGATTAAGAGTCAGGTTTTGTAATTGATTCCATCTATAACAATCACAATTATTTCAAATAAAAGAGACGATTCTGATCTTTCTTTGCGAATGTTTTCGCAACAATCGAATGAAGTTTCATTTACTCTTGGTAGTTGACACAGTCATTTATTCAGCCTTGGTGAACTCTTTTTCCACTGAGAGAAATTACGTCAGAAAGGTTTGTTGAATAATGGAACATTTTTCTGTAAATAATTCTTCTTCGCAACCTGGGGAAATATGATAATGATTTTCATAACAGAAGAAAAACATAAATACAATGTTTCGATGTCAGTTGGATGAGCAAGATGAAACTATTTCATTCCGTTCCAGCTATCCGAGTAATGCCACGGGCATTTCATTTACGAATTAATGTTAAGACGAATAGAAAATTTCCCAGTTAACATTTTCAATAGATATCAAGTTGGATTTGTTCAGTCGTAACAAGTGGCATAAGAACCAGGCATTTATCATTTCAAGCTGATTAACATCAAAGTTATCTAACATACACAAAAGCTATTAAGGACACACATATCAAGCAAGCACAAATAATAAAGAATGAATATTTTGTGAAGTGCGTAGGTGAATTAAAATAGAACTTTCTGTTCAAATAAAAGCTAGAATTTTCCCCTTTTTTCTCGTTTTTACGTACAAAAAGTGAAAAACCTACCTTTGCACGTGTTATTTTATTCAAATTTCTGAAACAAAACAAGAGAAAGGAAAGTTATGTTTTAGAGTTTCACTTTAAAACAAAGAACCTTTTGTAAGTGCTTGCAATAAATAAATAGCGTGAATAATGTTAGGTAGATGAAGTTAAAAAGTCAAAGGCTTCATCTAAAACAAGAGCATTATGTTAAAAAAAAACAATGAAGGATGTTATAACAATTGCTTTGAATCCTTTGATAGATTGTTTAGAAAAATGTAAAATAAAAGGAATAAAGAAACTGCAAATTGATGGTGTGATAGACAGAAGAATTTAATAATAAAGTCATTCGTAATCATATCCAGAAGTCTGATTTTAAGTCATAATTCTAAACTTCAATCTCTTCTGATATTTCAAGATAATTTTAAAACACAATAAACTGCATTTGAAACCTAATCTCGAGTGAACACAACAGGAAATTCACATTTACGCCTTTACATAAAAATCATTCCAACATAATCTCCGCACTGAGTGCAACTCATAGGGCGGAAAATGATTTTATTATGTGTCAAATAATTTTTCAATTTAAAACGTTTTTCATTTAAACGCATTTCTAAGAGTTTTTCTCGAAATATTCACTTTTGAGCTAAATTTTTATTTTATGATGATTTATACGCCATGAAACTCATCATGCGGTCGTAATTAAGATTTAATTTTAATTTTTATTCTTTCAATGTAATATGTCGAGATGTGAATGTAAGAATAGGTAATTGAATCAAAACGTACAGGACCGCACACAAATCATTTTTTCTCTGATACTTTCGCATGACTTCATGAAAGCAAATAATTCAAATGCCTGAAATGAATAATAAAGAATGAAACTAAATATAAGAAGAACGTCATCTTGTGATCCTCTTAATTTATATAAAACGTTTTTGAAATAAAATTATAATTTCATTAGTCAGAACTTCATCCTCATTCCCAACTCATCGTAAATGGAGTGAAGCGAAGATAATTTCAGTTTTATTAATAACAATCTCATTAAACGAATGATGAACGATATTTGATTCTGGGGTTCATTTTATTTCTCAATATCTAATGATTTAAGAGAGAAGAATTATGATAAGGATCCCGTGTAAAAATTTACGAGGTTTCATTAAGATCAAATTATGTCATTTGCAAGATTTTCGTTAGAAAAAAGCTCAATGATCAGTCTGATTAATTCAATTAATTTTTTTATTCATAAATTACAGTCTTACGTAATTGATTGATGAACAATCTAATGGTTGAGCTCAACGTACGAGATAAATGGATATATTATTATTTTGAAATGAAACATTGTTGATTCTGAAATGTTTAAAAGCTGAGAATGCATTTGGGCTTGTCTATGTTTAGAAATAATAATGTGATGTAAGAAGGAAATAATTGCAGATGTTATTAGCAAATGTTCTCCCCATATGTTAATCGAGCTTTTGGACGAGATGTAAACACTAATTGAACGTATTGAGATGTCCCTGAAACTTATATCAGCAGATGCAGCTTAACCTTTCACGTCGAAATACCAAATTGACAGTATCTTTCTCAATTGATTATCGCTAACATTGTGAGACGGAAAAACATCAAAAACGAAGCTGATGCAAATGTATACAAGAGAAATGATATTTGTGTAAAGATTCCGCATTTCTGCAACCGAGACGAGACGCATGAAATAAAAAAAAACCATCAAAATACATACGTCGAGTCGAAATATTTTTGACACATTTTATGAAAGGCTGTCAAAAGGCAAAACATGAAGGAAAATTCTTCGTTCATCAATCTATAAAAAGAGGGTTTTATGCATGCTTGTAACACTTTTCACTCTTCGTCTTTCTATCGCGAAAAATTTATTTTCATTGCACAAACTTAAATTGTCAGCTTGGGATCAGCAGCAAAACATAAAACTTTTAATTGCAAAACGCATCGACGCCACTAACATTTTTTTCGATATTAATGGACTACAAGCTGTAACGAACTATGAGCAACGTATCGTATTTCTTTTGACTATGATGTGTTACGAAATATGTAATTATTTTACCAACAATTTGCCTTCTTTACATAGTTTAAACTTTTTCAGATCATTGTCCTGAACCATCATTTATACATTTTATAATTAAGATCTGAATTTGAAACAATTTCTTTAAAGGCCGAAGAGGAATACAATGTAAAAGTATAATTGTCAATGGATGGAATTAAATATGAAAACGTAAAATGGCTTGTTGAAAGGCTGATCAGGGATAAAAATTGTTGTGGAAAAATGTACAAAAAAAGGAGATTAAAACTGCAACCTTTCTATCAAAAAAGTTGTTCAGCCTTTGAAATTTTTACATTCAGAGAAAAGTAAAGAATCAAAATGACACATTGTTCGTTCATTCGCTTGAACATGTGTCAGTTTTTATGTTTTCCTCTGAAAAAGTTTTTTTTCCCTTTTGCAACACAAAAAAAATCTTTAAAATTCTTTACTTTTTTTATTCAAATCAACTTGCATCGCAGCAAATATTTTCTCTCCGTCATTTGATAATATGCGAGATGAACAGGTTGGTGTTGACTTCCGTACTTTTCATAACGACATACGCTATTCTAAAAGCATGCCAAAAGTGTTCTTCCTGTTAAAAAAATGAACATTTGCAGTCAACGAAAAGTGTTTGAATTTTTTTATTTCGTTGTTGCTTCGTGTTCATTGCTAATATCAAAGCTACAGTACGACTTGAACAATCATACAGGAATAGCAAGTGAACGAAGCAAATATCGACATTCATGAGTTGATAGCAGGGAGAAGAGTGGAAGTAAAGATATTTATAGAATTCGGAAATGCAGGAAAACGAGGCATTAAATGAAAGAAAGATAGTCAGCGAGAATGACGTAAATCGATGATATTGCAACAACTTTTATGTTGTGACATTGTGAAAAAGCACTTTTATCTAACAATTGTGAATGAACTACGTTTTTTTTTGTATCCATTTATCTAATTCCGGTTACAGCAGTAAAGTTGGAAGCGTTTCAACGAGTCATTGAAGTTCAAGCAAGACATCTTAAAGAGATTTTTTATTATCACTGTTAATTATTTAACTAACCTGTTAGCAGATATTTTCATAAAATCGCTGACATTGGCACCATCATCAAAGGCCCAAAGCGATTTCAATCAACCAAAAAGAACAAAAACATGATTCGAAGGCATGAATAATTTTATAACTCTTCCGCATCTCAAAGGTTCGGCTTGGGCTACAATGCTTCTCCATCGTCTTTTAACAAAATGGTTAGAGTAAAGAATCGTCAACTCGTTGGTTGTTCCTACATTTTTGAGTGTTTTTTGGAATATTGTGAGATTTTTTTGATTATGTTACTTAGCTGTCAAATATGATAATTAAGCTGAGGTAATTGTTTAAATCATCAAATAAAGATATCAAAATAATCTCATAATGAAGTGAAAAATGTGTCAACATACAAAATTTTTACCATCTCTTCAAGTCGTTGAAAAGTGAACTTCAAATGTTTCTTTACTCTACTTCAATAAAATATTGAAAAACTATAAAACTGTTCATGATAAATGGAAATAAAATTACATGATGCTGAAGCGAAGGAAGCATAATGAAAGAAAAAAAATTCCAATTAAGAAGATTAAATAAAAAGAAGACATGGAGTATGTAAGAACGGAGAAGAATATAAAAGCGAAGGCTACGAAGTGGATGGAGGAAAATTATAAGTTTTTTTTTGTTTATAGGTAATGTACGTATTGAAGCGCACACATTGAAGAGACATAAGAAAAACGAGTTAAGGAGCGGAGAGTGATTACGAATAAGAAGAATATTCTACTTTGCCGTCATTATCCAACCATTCTTCTCATCTTTTATTCCATTCAATCACCTGTTCAAGAAGCAGAACTGAACTGGTCACTTCAACAAACACATTCACGAAATCATTTCAATGAGAAGAATATCTCAACTGTAGAAGTATATGTGGTGAGATGAATCAACAGCCATCAAGAACTTCTTTTCTTCTCTTTTTTGTATTCTTTTGGTAGTGTGGTTTGATTGCCTCTTATTTTTTTGTCTTTCGTTCTGTTCAAATATTCCATGAGATTCATCGATCCATGTCGCGTATTGTACTTGCCTATAACTTGACACTTTTATCTCTTTCTGTTAGTATCAATGAATGTTTGGATTCAATGAATGATGCATTAGTCAATTGCTATGTTGCTTCTTGTTTTAGAAATTATAAAACAAAAATTTCGATACAAGATTGTTCAAAATACATTTTCAAATACTCTACAAAACGACAGCAATCTAGCTGAGATGCAGCTTAAAGATATTAATTATTACTGCTTCAAAATGATTAAATCAATATTTTTACAATCTCAAACTCAAAATGTTTCACGTTTCTCTGCCAATTGTTTCGATGCTTTCAGAAGAAATCAAAACGAGTTAAGCAATTCATCTTAAGAAACACTCAACTCACTTCATTTCCCATCTTCTGACCAAAGTAATATGTAAAGTTTATCCATACAAGTTTGATATGGTCATACAATCTGAACATGAATGCCGTAGAAGATGTGAGTAATAAGATGAGTTGAGAAGACTCAACGCGAGTTCAAGGAATATTCAAGGATAAATAATTAAACACGATTGTACAGTGAATACTGCATTCTTGGATAAGAGAAAAAAGTTGATATGGCAAGAGACCGAAGCAACTTATAATGATATAAATATCATTAAAAATTCATTACTCTGAGCCTCATGCTCATGCCACTTGTCCTATTTTAGTATGTCTTTCATAGATATCAAAAGGGAGGCAAAATAGCGCCCTGTTGGAAAGTTTGACTGGAAAAGTATTTTTCCGAGACAAAAATGTGATTGTGTTTGTGAAGTGTAGTGTGTGTGTATGTGTGTATGAAAAGTAACAACTTGACTGGTGACACATGAAGTAGATTCTTGTTGTTGTTTTTCCTTGCTGTATAATTAACATATAAATTTTTAATCTTTATTTTATTTGGCCACCCCCGCATCGCGATCCGAAAAAGCCATCCGCTTGATTACAACAATAAAACACAACTGTTGTGCCTTGAAAAATTAATGCAAACTCACCCAAACATGATTAGTTCTTGACACCGGAATAGTGTTCCTTTTCTCTTTTATAAATCTTTTCCTTATTCAGTTCTTGATCATTTGATTTGTTATCGAGTTGGAAAGGAATACAGAACTAGTTGAATATAGACTTCCCGAATGTTTAATACTTGTCTCACTGTCACTCTTTCGTTTGTACTCGACAGAATAAAATCAATATGTTTTCATATATGAAATTTTTCTTTTACGTCTCTCACTTATGTTGCTTGAAGCTTCACTTATTCTTCTTTCTATCAATTATTCATGAATTTATTTTTACAGCAACTATCAAGGAATTCTATTTCATTTTCCAATACTTCAGAAGAAACAAACTTCTAATCACAATCACTTGACGGAAAAAGCTCTCCACACTCTCTCGAAAAAAAAAACTTTTAGAGCCTTTTTTCCCTTTTCACGTTCTTTCCAATCGCTTGTTGCTTTCGATATGGTTTTTTTCTTAATTATGTTCTAACAAGTGGTTCAAAAAGCAATATGGCGCTGTTTTCGAAGCAATTTTCAGAGTTCTTTGACTCGATGCTGTTCCAAATATGTTAGAATTGAAAAGCAACCACGCACTGATGCATGATAAGTAAGAATTCTTATTTTTGAAACCTTAGTAGCCTCGAAAATTTTGCACTTTCAACTCGCACTCTGACAATAGAGCTCTTTTTCCTGGCGACACAACACAACAACCGAAATATGTGCACACACAACAAAAATTGCTAAGACTAATATTTTTCCTTTCGTGGGGCGATTGTTTTTTTCGACAGAATTCCTCGGCAATGCTTCCAAAAGAATATTTTTCTCGAGCAAAAAAAGTTTACGTTTTCTTGTCATCTACTACAATGCGGCTCTACGCAGACTCAGAATGATTGTGAAATGGTATTTGAATATATTTTGTATTAATACAGACGAGATTGAAAATTGTTGCTTCCCATAGCTTTCAGAATCTCACAATGTTCTTTCATTTCCATGAATTTTATCACAGTTCTTTCACCGGTCTTTATATGATTCAACTTCAAAGCTACACAGACGAAATCTTCACGACATTCCCACAAACACATTCTTAAGATTATGATATGCCGTTGAATATCCTGTCATTGTGTGTGTTATAAAAACATTGCACAATGCACAGGTAAGAGGTATAAAATCGTATATCTTATACCGACTCTTCTTTTTTCTCTCATACGTCGCTGTGAGAAATTGAAGCGTGAAGGAATAGAGTTTTAATGATAATAAAATACTTTGTCGGCATGATAAGATAATGATAACTTTCGCATTAGACGAGATTCTATTGACTATGTTATCTTTAATAACAATTATATCGAATCAATTATTAGGAAATGAATCGTTTTATGCCTGTAATAGATAATAAAACACTTTGCAATGAAACATCTTCGTGACGTCATTCAGAATAATTTGATTACAGAGCCATCTATTGTAAAAGCGAGAAAGCTACTTTGATATATTTCCCCAGATGCTTCCATAGAGCTGTAAGTATCTTTAGGATTTTTATGTCCATTAAATGCAATTATTTTTTTATCTTTTAATCTTCTTCGAAAAATATATATTTTGAGAAAGCACAGCTTCCATGCTAATACATTTGAATAAAACATTAGTCGATTATGATTTATTTAAAATTATATCGTTTTTTTTTCAATTATTCACCTGTAAGAGTTTATAAACAGAGATGAGATAAGCCTCGTTGCAAATTAATGAGAATCAGAACGACCCTCAAGTACAACACAAAAAAAAGACGGCGGACATAAAAATGAACATGATTTTATGTTTGCAAAATCTGTTAACATAATCTATGTTTTATGTTATTTTTATGAAACCTGCGAGGCATTTCAAAAATCTCTTTCGATATAATTATGCATTGTGGCAGAATATTATCGCGTTTAACTTGCGGGGTCATTTTTTCAATTTTGGGTTTTTCAATTAAATTAAATAATTGGCTTTTACCTGACTGAAAGCTTTGTTGAGAGACGTAATTCTTTTTTCTCGCTGAATGATTTTTACAAGCTCGAGAACACATATTTTTATGTAAACTTCTACGTTTTGTTTAATATCATGAGGCAGAAACCCTTAAGTAAAAAAAATACGCGAATAAAAGTATCGTGATTAAATTTTAAATATTTATTAACCGAAAACAAAGGAATTTGTTTCCATTCGCATTGTTTTACAGGGTAGCAATGTAAAAGAGATTTATCGGATATATTAATGTGTGGAATTTACATAACTACGCCTCTGTGATCGTGTGAACATTAAAAGCTGGAGAAAGAGAATTCATTCTCAAAGAAAACGTAAAAAAGAAACTTTCAACATTATTAACATAAAAGAAAATTGTAGATCTCATAACAATTGTTCACGAACATTTTCCACTCGGCTCGATCCTTCAAAGGATACTGAAAAAGGAATTATAAAAAAAACTTGTTGAGGTAAAAAATAACAAAATAAAAATAAAGAGGGAAGAGAGACGTCTTAATTGAATTTCATCCTTAAAACATGGCAATGGAGATGCAAGAGTTAAGGGAAAGGATCAAAAACCAAACTAAGTAAAGTTGATCCTTGCTACAAAAAAAAACTTTCCTTCTGTTTACATTGGCTTGCACACAACAAAAAAAGGGAAAAGTTTTTGAGGGGAGAATTTTTCGTCTGTTATCGCTCGATTGCTATTGTTTCAGTTTGAAATTTTCTCCTGACGTGTCAACTGTTGATTTTGTTTTCAAAGTCTCATTGCTTACCAAAAAACAAACAAACTCGGAGCTAAATTTTGGAAATATTTGAGAAGAAAGGTTTTATGCCCCAACAAAAAGAGAAGCATGAAAACAATTTTCCATCGGATTTAACAGAAAACTTCATTAATGAAAGATGATTAAAAATCAATAGTTTCAGTTAAATCAACTTCAGAATAATTGAAAGTTGGTTAATCTCTTTGCAAAACTCACTTTCTTCTTACACCAAGCACAGTTTAAATTCTGTAATGTGGATATTTAAGAAAAGTTTCTCCACAAGAAGATTGCAAGTGTAGCATTTCAGAAAGTCGTCTCAGGTGTAAAAAACTTTGGAAAATATCTTAGCCAAACAGTTAAGAGTATACTTTCAACAAAACTTTTCGTCATTGTTTAAAGTATAAGAGAAGTTGGTTGTTAAGCGAAAATAAAGTGATTTGAAAGAGGGAAAGAGATGGAAAATGCAATTTTAATTATTGCAACCTTAAATTTATGCAACCACCATCACAAAACGTTGCCGAGACGATTTCTTCACGTTCCACCATCCATCGCTTCGTTACATTTTAATGGGCGAATATATAAAGTCGTGATTAAAAGAAATGTGCCTGGAATGCTGAATCATATCGCACGTAATGGGCGATAAAGAAGATTTTAAAACATATGCTCTCATTTCTTCCACCTTCCCGCACTCATTACTTTATGACTCCTTTTGGAATATTATTATATGACTTTTATTATGGTTGTACTTCTTCAAAGCACACAAAACAAACTTTTCAGATTACTTTTCGAGAAATTTCATCTAAGTGAGATACTTTTCCATTTTTGGGTCTTTTGAACTTGTATTAAATTGTATGTTTATAGTAAGAAAAGAAAGAAGGGTTGAAGAACGTATCCATATTAATGTCTCCAAGTTAATGTTTTTTCATTTCAAAGCATGATATGTCGAGCATTCTCTCATTGAACATAAAAAAAACTGTGTAAAATTTTAAGACATTAATGGTGTAGGAGGTGAATGAAAATAGCAAAGGCAAAGTGAATAAAAAGGTTTTTCCTTTTTTTCTGAGTGTCGACTAGATAAAAAATTATGATGTTGACACGCATTAAAATGTGTAATTGTAATTAAGTAGAATTTTTTATGAGCGATTCCTGATTTTCGTTTTTGTACGACAGAACATCAAAATTTACGGTTCAGTTAGAGGAGATTTTTATCTCATTCATCAAACGAAATGTGTCGCTTTCATGAACTTTAAAAGGACCCATGAATTGAATTAAAACTTCTAAGAGTGCGAGATTTGCGCTCCTATTTATGTTTAGATATCAGAATATCTACTTCAAAAATGTAAATAAAAACCATTTGAAAAGGTAGAAAGAGGTTCAAAGTGAATTATTAATCTCCAAAAAGTTATTTCGTAATGAGAATTTATGGAAATGTGAGACACTCGTAGTGTGAATTATTCAATGTCATTTATTAATTGATATTGTTTGTTATTTGTTTTCCTCCGGTTGAATACCAATTTAAAAACTTTGAAAAATGAACAGAGAGAAAAAAAAAGTACTTTAAATTTTCCATTTCAAGAAATTATATTTGTGTTAATTAATTGGAAAAGTTTGATTGCCTCTTGAACATTTAAGTACATGGAAGGAGAATTAATTAACAAGTCCTTAAAACTTCTACTGCTATGAGATTTGGCTTTAGAAAATTAAATTTTTGTTTAAATGTTATCTTACTTTCCAATTCATCATGTTTCCATTGTGGCCTCATGCGAAAGGCATTCTATGAATATCCATCTTGTTACTGTTACTGTTGATGTGAAAGCATTGTAAGGAAGCAATCAACATTAAAGGAAAAATTATCTCAATCTAATTTTCCTTAATTACTTCAATGGAAAATTGTAAGGGAGCATGCAATAACAAGAAAGCAATTTGTTAATCCGTAAATTGGTGATAACACTTGAACATGCTTATCACGAGAAAGCTAATGCGAGTAAATTGACCTGAATAGACTTATTTGTGGGCAGATTGAAACTTAACTTTGACATAAGAGAAGGTGGAAACAAAGTTTTCGTCAGTTTGTTTTGATAAATTTTACTTACAATGAAATAAGGTGTTGATAGGCGACCATAGAATCAATTCAGAGCTTTCCATTCATTAAATAAACTTTGTCGAATAGTAAAATCGTAGCAAAATTTCCAACAGCAAGCAATAACTCACATTGAACTATTGTCGATTTCCCTCCTGAGAGATTTCCTTATTTCTTTACATATTATTCCATCAGGCTAATGAAAATCTTTCGTAGAAGATATACGAGACGCTTACTTTATCCTTCAGATACTTTTCTTTGGAGATTGTGATTGGAAAGAAACAAATATCTGATAAATGCTTCAATTAAATTAACTTTTCATCCTAAAATATCTCCATTTCTTTGTTTGTTTTCATCTTTGGTTTGTCACGATAACTTCGACCTTTCTGCACAATTTTATGTGACTTTGTAACTTAAAGCTTAAGGAAAATATTAAGGGAACAAAAATTATTTCTTTTTTGAGAATTAATCAGTTGCTGACGTTGTTAATTATTTCCATGATTCAGCAAATGAACACGTAAATTGAGCTTACAAAATATTATCATGTTACAACGAACAATTATCCCACAAAAATGTATTCAAATTGTATTGATTGAACAATGACTCTGTTTGATGTTGACTTTTTTATTGAAGTATTAAAAATGTCTGCTTTATCAAAAAAGTATCATTTACTCATTAATTTTATGCCTTTTGGATAAATAATAATTGAGCTTCGTTCATAATCCCTTGAAACAATATAAATTGATGGCATTTTAAGCATCAAGCCATGAAAGTTTCAATTGCTTTTCAATATATCCAGCAAAAGATTTTCTATCGCAAATAAAAAATAGAAAAGAAAGGTAAAATAAAACACATATCTGAATATTTTTTGTTATTTATTCAAATTTGATCCCATAATATTTTCCAATCACACATCAATATACGAAGTGAAGCATTTTTTGTTGTTTGCTTTTATTTCACACGACAAGCAAGAAATAAACATTGGAAAAGCAAAGAAAAGATGGAAAAACCTTTTGTAAGCTTCTTAGCATCGAGCATAACATTTATTTTCATCCATCCCTCGATCTTATCTCGTACGTTCGTTTTCACTTTGCGATGTTATCAATATTTTATTCCTTTTTATCATTTTCCCGTGAAGCAAACAGCAAACGCTGAAAAGTTTGTTTTCCTTTTCAATTTTTTTCTTCTTTTATTTTTACTTATATTTTACAGCGAAAGATGAAACAATGTGTAATGTGAGATGTAAATCGAAACATTTACTTTTCATGTCAACGGACAAATACAAATTGACATGTGAAATCGTCGATTCTAATGATTTTCGAGACGATGAAACGATTTGGTTTTATGGGTTGAGTTTTTCTTTTATGATTTTCTGCTCCCTCGACATCACTTTGCATGAAATAAAAATATTTATGTCGCCAGTTTCACCTGACCGAGAAATCTTCGTCGCATTTCTTTTTCTTAACGCATAAAGCGTCAAGACGTAATTTAGATTAATGTAACTTTTTCATCTCGTGAAAAGATTTTTTTTTAATTTTTCTTTCCTTCGTTTTGCGACAGTTTCATAGACCGCGTAGACATAATACGGAAATTGAAAAATTTCTAAAGTTGAAAGAGAATTTCCATCCATTAGAAAAGCCATGAATATTGTTCTTTGTGCTCTAAACAATTCCATATAATGAATTGTTCTCTTGATGAATTTATATGGAAATTGCTGAGTAGGTCATGCAGAAGTAATTTAGTATGAAAGTTCATTGAAGAAAGATAACGCGGCTTCAGACAAATTTTGACCATCAAAGTACTTTGCTGAAATTTTTTCTCTTCTTCGAATGATTTATTGTGTAAAAATAATAAATCTATCAGCGTCTAAAAAAAATTTCTGTAATTTTAAGCTTACCATCGTTTCTTTCGCTATATTTTCATTTTTGTCTAATAAAAATTTATCTACATATAATTTTTTGTTGTTGTTTGCATAGCGTTGTAAAGGTTATCAAAGGGATCACCATTTGTAGTTAAATAATGTCACATATCTAATTACCTTTAGGGCATTCTACAATTTGTTTCATATTCACTCCAATAAGCCTTTGGGAAAAATAAATACTCAACATAATTATGTATTTAGATAAGACAAAACCAACAAAATTACCCCAGGAATATCAAGCTCCACACAATCTTCAATCATTTGATTTGTAGCTTCATGCAAATAGGCGAGTGCGAAAGAAAATCAAGGAATGCTTGATGTAAATTGTTTAAATATATATATTTTCCTTCCCCTTTTGATTTATTACATCCACTTAGTGTTGAAATTGAGATAAATGCAAATTTAATGGTCGTTTGGCTCTAGAGATGAGAAAAATGGCATTAGGAGTAGAGTGGAGGAATATATTCTGAGAATGAAAGTACGAGGTGAGATTCCATGAGATAGATACATAATAAGATGCTGAGGTTTAACTCTATATGCTACTTCCCTTGGCTTCAATCCATTTAATCGCGATTGAAAATTGAGTAAAAATATTTTTATGTTATTGTGATGTGAAATGACGATAGAAAATTCATTATTAACTCGCTGCTTCATGATGAAATGTTTCGTTTTGTCTTATTTAATATTAATAAACCATCTCGTCAAAAGCTACAGCAATGAAAGCATCATCAACAGTCTAAGTCATCTGTATGCTAGCTTCCGGTTGTGCTACAAGTTGTCTAATGGGATTATACATTCTACCTTGGATTTGTATATTTCTGTTGTAGATTTCATTGTTTTCGCTTTGCAACAGTTTTTGTTGGAAATTTCCACTTCCCCCCACACTCCGTACTTCAAAATTTCAATTTCTCTCTGCTTGTTATCTAATCCTTCGTTTTTGTGTTTTCACAGAACAAAAAGTCTGCTTTGAGTTAATTAATAATGAGAATTTCCGGAACTTTTACATGCTTTTGCCTTACAATAAACTAAAAGAGTTTTATGGTTCTGTTAGAACTATTTGTGTAATGTTGAGCACACAATTGCGAAACTTTTCGATTGTTGACATGTGAATGCATTAGATAATAAATATTCTTGGAAATATAAACAATCCATGAATGGTTTTTCACATGTTTAATCATCCAAAAATCAAAAATTGTTTTCTATTTATGTGACATAATATTAAGAAAACTAATTTTCCATTTATTATTTATCCCCTTTCCGCAACACAAAACATTTAATGCTGAGCTCTAATTTAATTCGTTTTTGTCCCAAAATATGGTTTGTTATCATTTTTACCATTTCAAATTCCCCCGTCTACTGTTTTACAATTTATCCTCTGAGAATTTTCGCAAATTTTCAGCTTGAAAGCATTAATTGATTTCAGTTATTTTTCTTCCTTTTCTCGAGATAAATGCTTTGTTGAAAAAAAATATTTGAAACCGTTTTATTGGCTCCGTAATGCTTATTATCAAAGCTTCGAGGGATTTCCTATAATTCCATTATACAATAATAAGAAAAGAAAAATTGCGAGACAATGTAATAAAATTTCATTACGATTGATTAGATTGCGTAAGATCAACAATCGTCATTTTGTGAAATTAATATTCGTGGGAAGATAAATACTGGCAGTGCTGAATAGAAAATGCTTTTAAATTGGAAGCTAATCCTATTTAACTTTTTTAAATAACTTTTCGCAGAAAACCGTAACAGATCATCAGCAAGCGAAGCTTTTAAATATAAAATCGTTGCATGTTCTATTTAATTAGCACAAATAAACCTCGAATTTCATATTACTTCGAAAATTGCTTCTACATAGCAAAACGCAACAAGACCAAATGGATTAAAAACTTTTTATTTCTCGATTAAATGCAAAATAAACCAATTTATGTAAACAACATACAATTAAGTATCATGTGAACACGTATGGTAGACATAATGATGCGAAATGAGAGAGAAAGATCAACTTGGAATATTTATTTGTTCGAATAAATCCAGTGACCAACTTTAATTGTATGCTGTGAAATTTAAAAATTTCATCTCTCGTCATCAATTTCCACTTGCATTATTTAGGTTTCGTATTTGTACAAATTATGTGTCTGTTTGAAAAAGGAATTTAATGAAGCTAATACCTAGTTTCGTTAGTGACAAACAGAATAATTAAGTCATTTTGTAACATCAAAAGTTGATACTAACGACTTCATGTCAAGGCAAGACCTGAACAATAGAAGATTCTGTAAGCATAGAATTTTCTATTTAAGCTTCCTAAGAAGACTTTACTGAGAAAAGATTGAATAAAAGAAGGCTATTGAAAGATTTCTTTTACAAGGAAACTTGTTAAATGTACAGAATTATTTAAAAAATAGACTAATCCTATTAAATAACATCATGAGATGAAACCATAAACTGAAGACGGATATTTTCATCTTTTCTTCCTTTACTCATTCATTTTTAAAATTTTCCCTCTTTTCTTCATTGTAACAAAAATTTTACAATCATGTTCTTAAAATTTTTACCTAAGATTGTTTTTTATGGAGTTTAATCAAAGAAAAACAAATTGTTGAATCACATTTCAATGGATGATAAAATATTCTGTTATGAAAATTTTCAGATACAATTTTAAGTCGTTTTCAAAGTTAACATTTCTTGTATCTTTTCAAATTATTTTTCTTGAGATATTTTGTAAAACAAAAACTTTGAGATGTTTCTAGTTACCTTGAACAAGCAGCTTGAACATACCTACATAGTGAATACGTGGAACATGATATATTGTTCAAATTGTATGCCTAAGGATGAAGACGAACGGAAAGAAAATTTAAAAGCATAAGTTTCAATAATTTTTTTCTCTCGATACTTGGGATAATTTGTCAGAAAATCCTCTTTTCGGGGTGAGTAGGTTGAAATCAATCATGAGTAAACTTATGGATAAACCAACGTTGATTATTGAGAACTTCTTATGATTTATTTTACTTATTTACTTATAAAAATAATGATTTGGTTTTTATATTTCATATCATGAATAAAAATTTAATTTGAATGATCCTTCAAAATTTGATTTTGATTGTCATTGACTAGACAATGAATTGACAACATTACTTTGCAATATATTCCAGTGATTTAACAAAAAAAATCTTCACGAATCGTTATCAAAATATTTATTTTATCAAGCTGATATCAGATTTTAAATAAAGTTCGCTAACTAACTCTCTTTCTAAAAGATAAGATTTTAATAAATAGTTAAAGAAAAATTTCGATCAGAAATCTTCTGTTTTTCATTGAATTCGGTCTCAATTCAAGTTTAAGGGAAACAAGAATGTGGTTAAAATCGGGAATAATACTTTTCATGTGTGTCAATCATATTTTGGCGTTTAGAACAGGCGCAGGCACAAGTGCTTGTGCGACTATGATGCCAAATCATGAGGGAAATGTTCCACAGACGACAGAGCCTCCTTACACGATTAGTGTATCGAGCAACAATGTTATTCAAGGCGAAGTTTTAACTGTTACTATCGAAGATCCTTCAAGAATTTTTCAATTCCGAGGATTCTTAATACAAGCAAGACCATCACAAGCTTCAACTGAAGTTATTGGAACTTTTTTCGAGAGTCCTAATGCAAGAAATGTTGCTTGCGTCGGTAATTTTCCTGTTGATTCTGTTTCAACACACAGAGATTCAACATTGAAATCGAGCATAACATTGAGATGGCAAGCACCACAAAACTTTCGAGGAACTGTTCAATTTTTGTAAGATTCTTAAATGATTGCTAAACATTCTAATAACAATGAATTATTTTCATAAATAGTGCGGCTGTTGTATTTAATTTCTCAACATTTTGGACTGAACTGCGATCCGGTCAGGTTACAGTTTTATCAACTTAAATCTTTATCTTCTGGTGGTATCTGAAAATGTCTCTTCTGGCTAAAGGAATGAACAAATTTTCTATTTGTATTTTTATCAAAATAAATACTTTATCAATTTGATATCAGATCTTAAATAAAGTAAGCTAACTAACTACATTCCTAACAGCAGATAAGATTTTAATAAATATTGAATAAAGTTTTGTCGATCAGATATTTTTGGTTTTTCGTTGAATTCGGTCTTCGTTCAAGTTTAAGGGAAACAAGAATGTGGTTGAAATCGGGAATAATACTTTTCATGTGTGTCAATCATATTTTGGCGTTTAGAACAGGCGCAGGCACAAGTGCTTGTGCGACTATGATGCCAAATCATGAGGGAAATGTTCCACAGACGACAGAGCCTCCTTACACGATTAGTGTATCGAGCAGAAATGTTATTCAAGGCGATGTTTTAACTGTTACAATCGAAGATCCTTCAGGATTACTTCAATTCCGAGGATTCATAATACAAGCAATAACTACAATATCTCCCAGACGAGCTGTGGGAACTTTTTTCGAGAGTTCTACCACAAGACACATTGCGTGTGTCGGTGATTTTACTCCTGGATCATTTTTAACACACAGAGATTCAACATTGAAATCAAATATCACTTTGACATGGCAAGCACCAATAGACCATGAAGGATCCGTTACCTTTAAGTAAAATTATGTAATTAAAACTAATCAACAAAATTCTTATCACTTTTCAATTTTCTGTTCATTAAAAGAGCGACCGTTGTGAATAACTTTGAAACATTTTGGACTGAGATACGATCCGAATCTGTCTTAATTTCCGCGATTAATTTCTTTAATCCTTACGAAGGCTGTGCCACTAGAAAAACATGTTTCGGTAGTCCTCGGGGTTGTCTCAGCAATGAAAATTGCGATATGTTCGGTTCTGTTGAACTAGTGGATGGAAGTTTTATCTTTGAAACTTTATCGCAAGGTGATATCAACTTTTATCAGCGGTTCTGTCTGACTGAAATATTTTTCATTTAGTTGGAATGAATTACGTTGCAATTGCGTTATCAGATGACGCTTTTATGGGTCGTGACTCAGTAATTGAATGTGTCCGTGGAGCTAATAATGTCATGTCGTTCACATCATTCACAGTCCGACAAGATCCAATCTTCGAGTCTCCAAGAATTGATGCAAGTTTCTTAAGAATTTTATTAAATTAAATAATTTAATATTTTTATATTTAGGATCAAAGTATTATTCGACTTCTTCAATCGCGACTAGAAAACGGTCGACTGTATTGTCGAGTTGAACGTGACAGTATGACGACAGTGCAAGGCATGCAGTTTGATTTAGTTAACGATAAACATTATTTGTTGTTGGCCATGGGAACTGAGACAACTACAAATGCGATTGGAACGCATGGGCCTTGGAGTGAATATTCTGAAGAAGCTGTTTTATTAACGCAACCAAGGAATCTTGAACCTGGTGGTACTCGACTTTTAATCATGGTTCATGGATCTTTCATGATAGTTGCGTGGATTGGAACAGCTTCAATTGGAATCTTCTTTGCTAGTTACTTCAAGAAGACGTGGACAAATCAAACGATATTTGGAAAGGATGTTTGGTTTGTTTGTCACACAACGTGCATGATGTTAACATGGCTTCTGACAATTGCAAGTTTCATTATCATTTTTGTTGAGACTGGAGAATGGCGAACTTCAGTTCATGCTGTAACTGGAACGATCACTACGGCGTTGGTCATTATACAACCTGTTGGTGCCGTCTTTAGACCTAAACCGGAAAGTCATAATCGTCCAATCTTCAAGCTAATTCATTCCGCTAAAGGAATTTTTATGTATAGACTTGCAATTATTACACTTTTATTCGCCGTTCCATTACCAGCTGCACGTCTGCCCAGTTGGACTTCTTTCATCCTTGTAGGTTTTATCGTTTTCTACCTGAAAATGAACTTTTTCATGACGGTAAGTAAATGTTGACTGAAAGTTTATCAATAATTAAAACAAAATTTATTTCTTCAAGCTTATTGGGACTTTAGGAGAGATGAAACGTAAAAAACAACCAGGTTCAAGCAAACATGCTCCAGTAAGTTAATCTACGATTGTTTCAAATTAAATTTAACTAACATTTTTCTTTTCAGTACACAATTCTTCGTAAAACAATTCTTGGCTTCTTTATTATCGTAATTTTATTATTTGTAATTACTTTGGTTCTTATTTTGGCATGGCCAGCTTAACAATTTCTTACTTAAATACTTCATTTTTGTTAATTATCATTTAACGAAATAGTCAGACTTGCATCAATTTTCTCTTTTTCGATTGTTTTCTTATCATATCGCGAACATCAATCACAAATTTCAAATTGTCATGCTACTGAAAATGAAAATAAACCGAACATTTTCAATCAGACTTTGTTGTGCCTTTATTGAACTCATAGTCTTACCAAACACTCTTAAGGTTGAGTATTTATAAGAAATCATGAAATCTTTTAAATTTTTTGTCATTATTTTATTTGTCAATTATTCGCATTCATTTTCGGGTGGTGCTGGAAGTGATTCTTGTACAACATTGGTACCAAGACATGGCAGTCATCAGCCACAAACATCTTCACCACCTTTCCTAATAGTTTTGTCAACAACAAGTATTCAACAGGGTCAGAATATGACAATAACTCTTGAAAACACAACGCAAACTTCATCGTTTCGTGGTTTCATGATTCAAGCAAGAACTGTTGCAGCAACACCCCAAATCATTGGAACATTCTTTGTAAACGGTCTCGTGAGACATGTCACGTGCAGTGATGTTCCACTTGGTTCTGTGGCAACTCATACGAATGCAAAACCGAAAACAAAAGTTGACTTAACGTGGCAAGCGCCATTTGACATTTATGGATTAATAAATTTCCAGTGAGTTCAAAACTTTCGCTGTGAATATTCCCAGAGCAAAGAGAGAATAAGAAGAATTTTTATTATATTGAAAAGGGTAACAATGCTAGAGAACATTCAAACTTTCTGGACTGGAATGTCTTCAGAATTTGTAACGATTACACAAGATCATGATAGAACTACGACATCAACAGAAATACCTTCATCTGACCTGTACAAAGGATGCGGAAGTGAAAAGGTATGCTTTGGTAGTCCAAGAGGTTGCGTAAATTCAGAAAACTGCAATATGTTTGGTGCTGTTAAACATAATGATGAAACATTTGTGTTTGAAATTTTATCGCAAAGTATGGATAATCATGAAGGTATAAATTGCTATGAACAAATGCTAACTTCAATTATTTCTTCTCAGATGGAATGTCGTATGTTGCATTTGCACTTTCACATGACAATAGAATGGGCAGGGATTCTGTTATCGAATGTGTGAGAGAAAATGATGTCGTAAGAGCTTACACTTCATTTACAATCGTTGAACCATCGCTCTTTGCTTCACAAAGAATTCCGGTATGCTTACCAAGTTCATCATAATTAATCATTCGATCGATCATTTCTGATGTGATTTATTTCCGTTTGTTTTAGAATCAAAATATAATTCGATTGATTGAGTCACGTATTGAAGACAATAAAATTTATTGTCGTGTCGAACGCGAGAATTATTCAATAATCGAAAGTGAAATATTTGACTTACTGAACGATAAACAATTTTTGCTTCTTGCAATGGGTACAGAATTAAGAACAAATTCGATTGGTTCACATGGAGGCTTGCGGGAAGCATCAGAAGAAGCTGTTTTATTAACGCAACCAAGGAACCTTGAAGCTGGTGGTGCTCGTTTATTTATCATGCTTCATGGATCTTTCATGATAGTTGCGTGGATTGGAACAGCACCAATTGGAATCTTCTTAGCACGTTACTTCAAGCAAACGTGGAAAAATCAACAGATATGTGGCAAAGATGCTTGGTTTTTTTGGCATACAATATTAATGTTGATGACTTGCGTGTTAGTCATTTCAAGTTGCGTAATAATTTTTATTGATGTCAGAGAATGGCGAACTTCAATTCATGCTATAACTGGATCTATTACTGTAGCGTTGTTAATTTTACAACCTGTTGGTGCCATTTTTAGACCGGCTGCAAGTCATCATAAGCGTCCAATCTTCAATTTCATTCACTTTTCCATGGGAAACATCATTTATAGTCTAGCAATTATTACAATTTTCTTTGCAGTTCCAAAGCCAGCTGCTAATCTTCCCAGGTGGACATTTTTTATTTTTATTGCTTTTGTACTTTTTTATTTGATGATGCATTTTATCTTAACGGTAAGCCTTTAATTTCCTTGCTTCCACTGCGCTATTAATTTAACCTTTGCATTATATCATCAGGTCATAGGAATTAGTGGAGACGCGAAAAGCAGTGAACGGAACGTAGTTATAAATATTTCCCCAGTAAGATTATTTTTAAAAGCTTTACAATATCCAAAAATAAATATTTAACTATCATTTTATTATTTTCAGTTTTCTTTAATCAGCAAAACTCTGTTTTGTTTAATCACTTTAATATTGTTTGCTTTTGCAATTGCTTTAATTTTAATCATGGTTTGGTAAGGAAATATTTGCATACAGCAATCAACTTAATATAATACAAATGAGTTGTTATTCGAAACTTTAAAGCATTTATTTATACATTTATAACCAACCACATAATTTGTAAACTTTAATTTGTTTATGATTTATTATGAATATTAAAGACACTTTAAGTGATTTAATGCCTACTTCAATTACAATGCATTAAAGTTTCATTTTATAAATTCAAAGGTTAAAGTTTACAGATTTCAATATTAAGAATCGCTTATTACGAGTTGTTATTAACAACAAGCTTGATGATGTTTGATAAATTGAAAACTCTTTTAATCTGCTTCAACCAATAATCCAAGCTAAAAAGGAGGAAAGAAAATTTCTAGTCTGATTGACATGAAGATAAACGAATGTTTTCATTGAAAATAGCAAGAAAAGTTTGTTACAAGATTTAAATGAAAATTTAATTCAATTTCTTCTATCATTTCAATCTCGAAGTGAGTTTTAATTAAGCCGATGTTTCATAATTAGTTCCAAGTAGTTTAAGTTTCTTTGTTTATTTAATTACGTCGCATAAATGTGTGATTTTATATCTTCCATCTTAAAAGATACATATCTGTATCATTGTGAGTCTCTTGATGTTATTTTTACATATAAAAATAACAGAAATAATTTAATTCATCTTACACGCATACATACTCGAATCGTCTTATTTAAATTTGACTTGAACATTGCGTTATTATGAAATTTTAATAAATTAAATGAAAACACAGATTCCAGCCGCTACAAGCAGTTTCTCGTTATCAGAACCCTTGCAAACGTTTCTAAAGCAGGCATGGATGAAAGAGAAGCAAAAAAAAAAGAGAAGAAAATTCAAAATTTCATTCTTGACGACGAGATACCCGCAAGCCTTCACAAAACAAAAACATCAACATAATTCTCCCGCAAAAATCATATAAATGAATTTTTCAGTAACAGAAAAACCTGCGATTTGCGGAAAAAGAAATTAATGACATTTTTCTTTTTTCTCATTTCTGCCCCAAAGTCATGAGGAGCAAAAAGGTTTGAGAGGGCAATGACGAAGTTACGGGTTCATGAGAAAAAGCATAATTTGAGAACGTGAAACACAAGCACACAATTTTCCATCCAAATAAACAAAACTAAACGAAATTTCGAAGATCAACAGCGTCAATTCTCATTTTTATATTGCTTTTGTCATATTCCATCAAGTTTGTTTTGGAACAGCGTAGATCTCGTTGATTTTATAATTGGAAATTATTTTGTAGAATAATCTTTAACAAATCTTCAGGGGATGTAATATGTTGTTGAAAGTTAATATATCTTGAACGACATTGAAAAATATCTTTATTTCAAACATAAGTTTGTTGAAAACTTACTGTTGTTGGCTTACATTTAATCTAAAATTTAGATGTTTAGTTGAGTTAGTGCTTGAGCTGAAACTAAGTAGAGCAAAACTTTCATGTTCATATTAATGTTATACGATTTTTAGACAAATATTTTTGTATTTATTCTTTTGAAAAGCTTGATTTTTGAATACAAAAGATAAATTATTAACATTCGGACAGCGAAGTTTTGAGCTTTTGAAAGGACTTTCGTTATGCTTCCTCGAAGAAGGAAGTTACTTTTAATATTAAAAATTCATAAATATTTTCTCATGTGCTATCAGTTGAAGAAAAAATTTTCATTTCAACTTTGTTTTTCATTCGAATGCTCGTTGGATGTGCTTTTTATTTGTAAAGGAAAAGAAATTTTCATCATAAAGACATTCAACATTAAAAATTCATATATTTATGACATAACATTTCCTTCACAGCAGCATTTCAAAATGAGTGAAATTTTTTCTGTTCCTAGAGGAGAATTTCGTACCGACTTCAAGCCAACTCCCAGTGCAGATTGTTGACAAATGAGAAGCAATAGGATCAGTTGTTTTAATGCTAAATTTAATACAGTAAGATGTTCATGCTTCACTTGGCTTTATTTATGTTATTTTTCCTCTCTTCATCGTTTGCTTAAATACGTTCTCAGAGGGAAAAATGTACATCAACATTAATTGACATTTCATTTCCAAATGAATTACATTTCAATTTGCAACACCACCTTCAACTTAATTTAATCATAGCCTTGTTGAGATTAAAGAAAATATAATTTACACTTGCAAGGGAGATATCTGGAAATAATTTCAGTCAAAGAATTTTACAGCAATTGATTTTCCGTTTTTCCTTTTGATGAATTAATCTGATGGAAAACATTCAAAGAGAGAACGAAAAAGCAAAAGCTGAAGCAGAGAGTATGTATTAGGTAGACATGAATAATTTATGATAATTAGAAAGAATTCACGTGAAAAAAGGCCTTGGAAAATGTTGTGTTATGGAATTCATCAAACAAGCATCTCATGAAATTTTCAATTTTGATTTTTCATACCGGAGATTTAATTATAAATTATTCACTCATATTTTAATTTTCATAAGGAAGAAATTCATGAAAAAAAGCTTTGCATTCTTCTTCTGTATATATTTTCAAATCAATTGTGTATAAATGTGAAAGAAGATTAAATGGTAAGAAGATTAAATCCAAAGTCAATGATTTTAAGTAGATTGCTATACATAAATATAAGTTAAGGTCAGTAAACATGTTTTTTTTTTCTTGTTAAATACTTTCAATGGCCAAACTGTTTTTCTTGCTTTCACTTAAGTATAATTATCCTGTTATTGAACAAAATATTTCTAATCATAGAGACAGATCTAGCTGTTGTCGTAAGTCATGATGAAAGGATGTTGACGAGTTGGGCAATTAAATTTCCGCAAAGGATTTACCCAGTTAAAAGATTTCTGATTAGGCGGCTCGAGTAAATTATTCCACAAAGCTGTTGCAGCCCATGCATTGCCCTTTTGCGAAAGGTGAAAACAATCAATTGAAAGCAATGTCAAATCTCTTTTCCCATCAACATTAAGCTGGAAGTAAAAAAGAAGAGAAGATAAAAATTCGTTATTTCTCATTACCTAAGGCATTTCGCTTCAAATGCTCATAAAATGATGCAATTTATTGCATTTCGATGGGAAAAAAGTATTGGGAAGAATAATTACAGAAACGTTATTCGACCAGGGCTGATACATAACAGCGAACTCATCGAGACCACGAAACTCTTCAAGCTTTGCAACTTCTTCTTCAACTCTGATAAAATGTCGTTGAATTTTTTGCCATCTGTAATAGAGACGTAACATGTTTGGCGTGAGCAACTATTAATGGGCTCATCATAGGCTAAAGTGCAATAAATTAAATTAATTTACCTCTCTCTCGATTCTTTCGTTGCATTCGATACTGTTCCAACCCAACAACTGCATTCGCCTGTAAAGAAGAGAAATGACAACGAATTATGTTCTTTCAATTGATGCTCGTACTCGTAGATATTAAAAATACGAAAGTTGGGTTGTTGCATTGCGATTATTGTTGAAAAATTTATTATCAAATGTATGAATAACTTACCACGATGAATAAACTTGCAGTTACGAGGTTTTCCTTTCAGAAGCATCACCGTTTCAACAAAAGGAACACTAACAACATTCACAAACGTTCTGAAACATAAAAAGCCACAAGTTTTTAAAATTTCAAAGCTTTTCGTTCACTACAAAGATAATTGAAATTATAAGAATTGAAGAAATTAAAAACTTACCTAGGCAAATATCTTTTTAAATATCTGAGCGTTTTTGTTAATGCTATTCGATGTTTCTCTGGTAACGATTCGGGATTTTCCATGAGACAAATAAACGAGCAAATATCATTTCCTCCGATTGCAATCGTTACCATCTTCCAGTCGTATTTAAAATTAACTCTTTTGTCTTTTTTAATTCGATGTACGAGTGCTTTGGCCTAGAGGTATTCAAGGAGTTCATTAGTTTTATTTCGACATTGCAATCAAATGCAATTAAAATTAGCAAACTAACCATGTATGGCATATCGCTTGAAACTGCACCAATTTCAGCTAAATTAAATTGTGATTCTTTGTGAAATGGAAACGAATCTCCAAGAGAGTAACCGAGCAGCTAATAATCAAGGTTTGAAAGTAATTAACATTTTAAAGACCAAGTACATATCATTAGAAATGAAAAAGCTCACTCACCGATGGATTAAAAACCTTCAAAATATTGGGTAATGTTGTTGCATTCTTCCAGTTCCATTGACCTTAGAAAGTATTTGTGATCAAGGCAGAATGCTCGCAACTTGTTTAATTATAATATATAATAAAAAACAGCTTACCCCCAATCGACCATGCAACGCCACGATTTTCCATAGACAACTCCATTAGATTCGTAGCCATAGCTCCCGTTGAGCAGGTTAGTGAATCGCCTAATGCTCCAATTACTGAAATATCTGTGCAATAATATAATGAAGTGAAGAAAAAGAACAATTTAGATAGTATACAACCATGACTTTTGATTTCTACGATCATTTTCAAGGTTTCTCGAGGAGAAGGACAACAATCGTCAATTTCTCTGACAACATTAAAAGAATGTTAGGCAAATAAAATCAAACGCTTGAAGTTGTTTTTTTGTAACGAGTTAAAGAGACATAAATGATACTTGTTGATATGTAATTGAACATTATACAGAAGAAAGACAGAGAGAAAAAATGGGTAATCAACAGGTTTAAACGCTGCTCATGCACAGATGGGACGTTTATCTCATGAACAACCTCATAATATTTATGCATGCTAGAAATAACAACAGCAACTAAGTAGTTAAAGTGTCTGGTCAAAATAGATTACCTCCCGGTCGTAATTTATGAATGCTGTGTGGTCGGTTTTTGCTTTTTCCTACGCTTATGTCACAAGGAAATGGCGCGTCATCTGGGAATTTCTTCTGCAAGAATTTTCCTTTTGTGCTTTGCCCCGTTTTTCCAATGAAATTAAACACGAAATTCCGGAAGCCATGGAAAAGGAATCTAACACGTGGATCGTCAAGACGAGTTGTTAAATCAAAAATGTCCTGAGAGAATGTGGTTGGTGCAAGTATGACAAGAATTATGATTGCATGTAGGAAGCTTCGCTGCATTTTGTACGATGGCACTTTGGGATTTATTTTTATTAACTTAAATGAAATTCAATTCGATATTGTACGAAAAATAAGCATCAGATTTAATCAGAGACGAGAAAATAAAATTCACTGCAAAGCTCATAACAATCTTGATGCAGTTGATTGCATAATAATATCGAGCATAATAATATTACACAGTTTGTAAAAACATTTATGAATGAATCATAAGTGCAATTCAGAAATTAATTCAATAGTGATTTGGTGTAAGTAATACCCTTGTTGTCTTGGTTTAAAACACGTTTTCGCATTACTTGACGTTCCTCTTGTTTTTATTTTATTTATTAATTTCTTTCTTTTTGATATCGGCGGCTATTCACGACTTTTTATTTATGTTTTCGTTAATGCAACTATGTTGCTGTTGGTTTTTCTTATTATTACTCCAATCTTCGGTTTTGTTGCAATTTTTAAGAATTCTTTTTGTTCTCTTCCGCGTTCACTTTTCGTAATAGAAATTTTCAGAAAGCAATCAATTCATGCGGTTTATTTTCTATATATCTATATTTGTTTTATAACATTTCGATTTTTTTTATCTACTTGATCTTCGATTACACTTTTGATTTCTTTTTAACGAAGCAAGTTTTTCTTTTATATTTTGTCTCGAGTTGATCTTGCAACGTGCCCGTACAATTTGCAACTAAACCATCTCGATCTCCGACATGTGGATACTAACATTTTCTCAGCAAACATTTTTCTTCACTTTTGCTTCCACTAAAAAAGTAAAAACAGATTTTTTTTTTCGTATAAGACGTGAAGCGGTTCAAGAGAGTTGTGCTTTTATTAATATGTTTCAAATTGCAATTCCTAGAGAAAAAAACTCTCTTGAATTGCAGACTTGAAACTTGTGTATTTAACCTCGGTACTAAATTAAGAAAAATAATTAAAATTTCTAATGCTTTTAGGATAATAAGTTGAATTTTGGAACAAGGTTTATCCGGGGTGACTAGGTTAAAAGAGTTTATCTTATGAAGTTTATGACTTTTTTTTATCAGTCTTTCTTTTTTAGGTTTGTATGTTTGCTTAACTCAAGAAACAACCCAAATAAGGGAGATAATTATTAGCAAACATTGTGAAATTGAAAATTTTTTAACTTCCTAGTCACCCATTGACCGTTAGCACATAAACGAGGATACTTTGATTGTATTTCTTTTCACCAACTTCTTCTTTTATAATCATTGTTCGATCCAACTTCAATCATCTGCACATATAAAATTGCATGAATATCAATTCAACTTGAATATGTAATTAAACTTATGTAGTTGTTTGGCGCATGAAAAAATGTGCACATCAAAGATTTGAAAAGTATTTGCCTACCAACCTGTTTATAGCGACGGAGTAATAGATTCACATTTCTAATAAATTGATAGCCAGTAGATTTAGTCATTAGAGAATGTAGTGTTTATGCACTATGTTTAACCATTGACGCTATCAAAGTTGACCCAATGATTACAAAGCCACCAGGTTCGTTGAACTGCAAATACGTTGTTTGAATTTTTCACATAAAAGTTTAACCATCGCTTCTTGTTTTTTATTGCGTCAAATAACAAATCTCTCTCGTCATTTAATTCATCTACAACGAGCAATATTAATTGAATAAACACTTTGCAGAGACAGATTTCACATTTCAGTTAAAAAAAAGTTTACCTTTTTAAAACAAAGAATTATAAATATTGAAATGAAAAATAGAAATCTTATATGAGTCGCAATTGCAAAAGTGTTAATGTCTTTGGTGTTTTTCACGGTCTCTCATCACATAAATAGTAAATGCAAGATGTTAAATGATTATATCACGCTCCATCCCAACAATTAAAAGAGACAAACAATTGACATGCAAAAGCACATAAACATAAAACAAAACAAAAACACGTCGCTACGGCCAATTTCCATCATGAGCATCACTGTAAAAAAACATAGATTCGGTTGAATTATAATTAACGACCTTGATCTTGCTCAACATTAAACGACTTAAGTTTGCGGTTAGTAAACTCCGAAAACTTTTCAGTGTTAAACATTTTAATTTACAACAGGAAAACAATTAATAACATTCTCTTTTATAATAAACGGTTTGATTTGGCTGCCATACGTGCAGACAATTGTAGCGAACAAGTGCAATGTTAAAACTATTTATAAGAGGCAATTATTTAAGCACTTTACTCATTACTCACCGTCAACCATGACCTATTCGCCATTGAGTGACGCAAAAACTATTAATCTGAGGCTGCCGAGCAGTGATAGTTCTTTCATGATTATTTTCAAAGTGAGAGATGAGTTCATAACGCGTCTTCAATGATTCATCAAACGAAGGAAAACACGTACGCAGTTTAACAACGATAACGATCTATAGACAGCAGACATGAAACACATACATATCAGATAATAAAACCATTCAATCATAACAAAATGACAATGATTTTCTCCATAGCATAAATCCACAATCCACGCAGAGATAGCGAAATGAAATTGCGGTGTTGAAAGCTTCGATTGTTTCAAGCTTCGGCAACGTCAGGTCTTCTAGATACTTTGTGCTTCATCATAGATAGGAATTATAAAGTTGTACGTGATTTGAATTCAATCTATGTAATTTCAAGTCATGAACAATAATAATTCACATGAAAGCAAAGAGTTGGGGTGACTTCGATCATGGAAAAATGCATTTAAAAAAAAGGTTAAATATAGTAAGCGATATTTGCTGTCGAGCAATCATATCAAGATAATCTTTTTCAAAACTATAACTATTCTTCACATTTATGGAAATTCTAACAATGGCTTAGGGATCTAAAAGATAAGAAAAGAAAATAAATAAAGCAGGTAGAAAATATCTTAGATATGTTTGATAGACTCTCGCACTATAGTCACGTATTCAATTTTGCAATGTGAGATGATTGGGTTTTGGCCATTTATTTCTTTTTCAAACGATATCAAGACTTCTTTCTCTTTCTTCATATTTTGTAGATGCCTTACCCGATAATAGACAAGACTTGTTGCATTCTATTTCCTTCCATGACTCAATTTTTGTTTTTGTTCTTACATTTAAGTTTTCCGGCACACTTAAGTAGTTTTCCCATTCTGTAGTTTTCTCAATCCGATAAATTTTCAATGTTTCTGAGCGAATGTTTAGCATATAAAATAGTCTCAAATATATCGTGTGATGGCTGGCTATTTGCATAAACCTAATCAAGACGTTCCCGATGTGTTGTTGCAATGATTTTTTATTCAGAGTTTTTATCTTTGCATAGACTTCTAGTTAGATGATAAACATGAACAGCAGACAGCAAAAGGGCAATGGAAGCATTTACATTAATGATGAATTCAATTTTATATGTTTGTATCTCGGGTAAGGTGAGTAACATCAACCGTTTTTCAATCATCTTTCATCTGATTCTCCCACTTTCGATTACGTATTCAAAATTCAAAATAGTTGCTGATTTAAAAGCTTTCGCTCAATCCCGACACAGAACCTTTTCTTTGCTTTCATATTCAGGAGTCTTTTAAAACCATTTCCACAAAAACCAAACATGAAAAAACGAGTGAAGGAGATAAGAAATCTTTTTATTTTAAAATGCTGGCAGCTAATATTTAAACATCAATGAGGAACAAGTGGAAAAACTTGGGGGAAAAACTTTCTCGTTCTGCTCTCTAATCTTTTTTCCTTTCTTGCTTTTTTAAACTTGTTGAGCTAAGAATACATCAAAATATCAAGTTTTTCGTTTTGAATTTTGAAGGGGTAAAGTTTTCCTTTTTAAGAATTATTTCTTTTTTCTTTTAAACTCTTTTTGTATGCCAACGTGAGTTCTAACATCATCGAAGGTAATTGTTGTGGAAAATCTCTACATAGAAGATTATCTCGAAAATGATTTTATGGGATGTTTCTTTCGGAAGACTTTCTAAGCTTTGAGATGAGAATGGAACGAAAAATAAACTTGTAGAAAGATTGTAATCTACATAATCAAATGGAGTGAGTGAATTTCAGAGATTTCAAGGCTGCCTTCGTAAAACGAAGAAACGAGAAACTTATTTCAACTTTTCACTACTCCTAAAAACCATAAATTACTTCAACTGATATGCAGAAAAGCGTTTGTCGAAAATTTAAGTTTCTCGTTTTTTCATTGTTTTTATTGCCAACTAACTTCGATTGAATGTTTATGCATCAAAAATATTTTCCATTACATTAAATCCTGCATAAAACGTTGTCCAACAGATGGAAAGCTTCACACAGTGATTGTCATACACAAATTCGGGTTTCCAATATTGATTTTTATTTTCACCTCGTCAATGACGTTATCGAATGTTAAAATCTTTTGCATAATTTAACTAAAGTCCATCTCGAGTTCAATTGAAATTAAAATTAAAATGTCTGATCTTCTGTTATGGTAATTTTAGACTCATTTAGACCAACGTCATGATTGTTTTAGGCATTTTGCATCGTGATGAGGCTCCGTGCCTGCAAATGACAATTTTTTTCTCGCTCACTCGTCCGTAATTAATAGCATGAAAATAAATTGCTACAAATTTCATTTCCCACTATTTTCTTTTTATTCTTCGCTTTCCTATCCGTAACATTTTCTTTTCCTCATCTTTTAACGATTTCTCTGTGCTTCAGAAGAGAATCACTTAGCAAGAGAAGATCTGTTACGACAAAAGATGAACGAGAACAACCAACGATGAAAATGCAATTCACACCCCGGGGTATTATTTAATAAGCGATTCTAATTGGATGAAATTTTCATAAATAATAAGAAAAGATGAGGAAAAACCTGCAGGTTTTCGTCATTCATGTTATATGAATCTTTCGTTGTCCACCATGGGACAGAATAATTATTGAACACGTGATGAATATCCGTGTTTGATGTGTTCACATTAACGATGAATAGTTGATAAGTGTTAATTTAATTAAAAATTATGACAAAGTGGAATATTTCTAGAAAGTTTGAAAATTAACACAGGAAGGAAATTAAAAATTTTAATTGTTTCATTATTTTTAAATTATAAAAAATACTTAAAGATTTTATATGAAATGTGTAACTTTTCATTGTCATTATCAAAATCAAGGCTGTTATCATTTAACAAGCAAGAAATTATCAGAAAGACCTTAAAAACTGTTTCAATTATCGAACTTATGTTTTATTTACTTGTTAATTCTTTTTTTATAGCTTTGACCTTATCTCATTATTCAATTAAAAAACAATCGAATTTAATCGATCAATACTTTGCTCTGTGAGATATTGACTTGATTTTAACCTGTTATTAACTATTTATCAACTAAGTTTCAACTTGTTTGTACGTTTAAAACATTAAACATCTTGGTGCATTGGATTGCATTTTATTTCATTGCAGTCTTCGGTTTGTTAAAGCCATAAAAAGTCTCTGAAGTCTTGAAACAATTCTCACCAAGTCACTTCGATAGTTAAGTGAGCTAGCAAGATACATATAATAGGAATCATCGACCGTGTAGTTTCGATTTGATTTCAATTCATTGAAGAACACGCCAGGTTTTCTATTCAGTGAGCAATGAAAATAAATTCACATAAATTTATCAGTTGAATCAAAGCTCACCTTGCATCTACTCCAAAACCCATAAAATTTATTTGATTTTCATTGCATTTTCCATTTTTAAAATCACGATAGTTACGGCAATATAAAGCTGGGAAAATCCTTTCTTGTCCTGGTAAAACACTGTCAGCCCAATATCTCCAGCTATTAAAATATTTCAAGCGTATTAAAATTTATTCTCACATGTTGCATCACTTTAAATGAAAGGACGAAAAGTATTTCATTATAATTAATTTAAAAATTAAAATAACTCATTTAAACTGTTTTAAAAACTCTCACAAAAATTCCCGGGAATACTTTTTGTCGTTCATTCATTTTTAATGCATATTTAACTTGTTATTGATATTATTCAATGCAGAAAAAGAAGGAAAATATTTACGCATGCTGATGGGAGCAAAAACCTGTAAAAGTAAATTTATGTAGAGATTCTTGCTGACTTAATAAACGAGATAATAATGATTACTGTTTACGATGTCCATAAAGCTGGTAAATCTGAAAGCCGGACAACCAGGCTGCAACTGGCCATCATTGGGATAAAAATCAACGTGACCAACACGATTTCTTGTGCCTATGAAATTGACGTCACTATGAATCGCATCAACAAACACTAATGAGAAGAGAAGGAAAAGAAGAAAATGAACGTGATGTGATGATTGTTGTTGATTGTGGTTGTATCAAATTACCGGCATCGCTTGGCATTATCGGAGACTCAAGAAGTGGCGGCCAGAAGCCAAAATGTGCGGCATCCTACAAAAACATTTAATCAACTGACAATAGCTTTAAGCGACAAGGCAAAGGAAACTCACCAAAGCAGATATTCTAGAACAGAAAAATTTTAAGTTAAAAATATTTCTTGTGTTGGTAAATGAACAAGTTTGCTTCCTCTCACCTTTTCAATTTGTATTTATTGAACGAGTTTCTTTGCAGTTCACGACCGATTATTCCCATAATATGTGACCCGAAACTATGACCTGACAAATTGTTTAAATATTAGAATAGGATCATAAATTTGCAAAAAAATGTTCTGATGTCATGTTTGATTGAATAAATGTTGCGTTGTCGTGTTTGGAAATTGATTGTTGTCATAATGAGTGTCTGAGTTACAAATTGACATTGAAAATCGTTCAGACTCAAACAACATATCTAATAAATGATTTAACAACTGTGTAAATAAGCCGATAAATTTTAAATATTTCCATCAATATTAATTAGAAGATGTCATGTTTATAAATTGCAAATGCCTTCATGAGTCAAAACTAAACAAAAAACTACAAACCCACACAATGTATTTGATTAATGTCCAAACCGCGTTCAAACATATCGATCAGCAGTTTTGCTATCATTTTTGAAATTTGCGTAAATCGAGGTATGACTGAAAAGTATTCACCAAACGAATATTGACCCCAGTCGATAACAACTGTGTGAGATGAGAGAAATATATTAAATTTCATTAAAAGCATAACATTCTCCTAAACTCACTAATGTTATGATCTTTTCGCTTGATGTATGCATTAACAATAGCTTCGGTACTTTCAGAATAGAAGTCTTCGATCCAACCTGCAAACCGTCAATTCATCACAAGCAATTTTCACTAATGGAAAACTTTTTCAATAGCATCAAATATTTACCATGAACACTGAAATGATTGCATTGTGTTGAAAACTTTAATTAACAATGTTATTGTTTAAATATTTCGTTATACTCACTAAAGAAGCGTTTTTCGATTGAACGAGAAATTTTCATCACTCAAGATTTTCAAATAATCCCTGATGTAATAACGACTGAAATTCATATGAGATTTCCTGTTTGTGGACAAAGAAAAGAGAGTAGAAAAGGATTTTTGATGTTATCTACACTTTCTAGATAGTTGTAGCAGATAATTTTCTCGTTTACCCATAAACTAAATTGAAATTCACCATATCGAAGTTGTCGAAAGCTTCATTGTTGATTGCTGACTTAGACCTGTGGTAACTAAAAACTGCGTAAAACATAGAAAGACTTACAACGAGAACTTAAAGAACGAAAGTTAGTAAAATTTATCCAAATCATTATTATTCGAATTTTTTGTTCATTGATGCCTACCAACGAGAAGCGTTATCCATAATTTCTTAGACATTTTCAATTAATTTCAAACTTTTCCTTCACTGTCAATTATGAAAGTTAAATTTCTTTTAGTTATTCAGAAGAGTAGAAAATTATTCTTTAATTAAACTTTTCCTTTCTGTCGCGACACTTTTTAATATCTTTAAAGTTGCACAACCAACTAGAGTGAGTTTCAATAGAATACTGATTCATCCGCCGATCGTTAAAAATCTTGTAGTTGATTAAAAATTGCTTCCGTATTTTTTACTTCTTACTCTGTCTAGTGCTAGGTAAAGGTTGGAAATCAAGAGAAAAAAATGCTCGATGAGATTTTTGCACCACATATCTACAGTGTTGTGATTTAATGATCATTGACCTTAGCAATGAAACGAGCGTATGATATTCACTTAATGGTTCATACTAAGCAATTGAATTAAAATCTCTTACATAAAAAAATCGCCAAAAATTTATGTATGAACATTGTTAAGTTTCAGTAGCATTCGGTACATCAATATGAATTATGAATGAAGCGATTGAAATCGAATTAACTTTTTAATGAAGCCATGAAGCTTAAGCAGTAGAAAAGTTTGCAAAATATTTCCGAATATTATCTGAACAACAATATGCGACATTGTCGTTCCTTGACTTTTAAACGTGCTACAACTAAGCGCTTAGGATGACAAGGTTGCCATATCCGAGAAAATCTCGTTAACTGAAATTCATTCTTTGTTCGTGCGTTAAATTGCTGCATGTTCTCTCATGAACAAGTGAAATAAAAACTAAAACAATTTTAACAATCATTTGATTTCAACTAAATTTCGATAAATATTTTATACAATGCAACAAGATAGTTCCAAGTTGGTTGTCTTCATACACATAGCAATTTCAGAAATGTTATTACATTTGTGGTTTGAACACTTCTTCTTTATCTTTTAAAAAAAGTTTTGTTTGTTGAATCTTTTCAACTAGTGAAATGTTGAAAAGAAATTTTATTCAAACGACTTCATTCTCTTGTTGAATGGACAATTTTTTGAACCTAAAATGTTCCTTAAAAGCATTCATGTATCTGAATTTTAGGAAGAATTCTATAACATTCATGTGATCTATGACATCATTATTATTTGTAAATCGAATAAAAAGGAAAACTTGGATGAAATAGGCGCATTCACGCTGAACTTATCTTCGAGGGCTAAATTTTCCTTCTACTTAAATAAGAAAAGGAATGAAAAGATTCAACATTCAATCACGAAAAGTGAAGGGAACTTTTCTTTAGCTCTTCAATTTTCTTCGCTTCACTGTGATAAAAAGCAACAAGAGGAAAAAAAAAGAAATAGAAACCCCTTTTTTATTTGGTGAAAAAAGCCGACAAAGTGGAAAAGAAAACGGAATATGATTTTTTTCCTTCAATGCAAATTACATTAATTTGAATTTTCGTCGCTGTTTTTCTCAAGTTTTATTAGATTTATTGAATTTACTACGTTAAAGGCAAAGTGATAATATCAAATAATACTTGAAATATTCAAATGCACTTAACAAACGTTGAATGAACGAACGAATAATAAAAAGTTTATTAATAATTCAGCATCATCTTATTTGCCATTGCCTTTGAGCTTAAGTCAATGTAAAAAGCATTTTTATGTCGTTGCTTTCAAATGAAAAGGGAGAAATTGCACAAATAAATTTTCAATTGATCAATTGTTACTTTCACATTACATGCCGATTTGCAAATTGCGTGAAATACGAGTTAGAAATAAATTTAGAACTTTATGTTAAAACACTGATTTGTCACCTTCTAAATGTTTGATGTTCTCTTTTTGTGAACAAAATTCTTAAAATATTCCATGTGCCTTTTTAGACCTTCTTTATGCATTTGTTTTCGAGCACAAAAGTAGAATATCATCACATTGTGAATTCTTTATGACCAATGTTCTCGCTCTTTGATTTGAAATTCAATATCAACCATGAATCGTTCAGAATTGTATAAATAAAAGCTTGAGAATATTTTTAATAAAAATTTACATTGTAGGACATAAATCAAATTTCCTTTACATAAAGTTCGAAAGGTTTTGTGTTTTTTTTTTGTTTGCTTCGTCTGAGCATCTTGTAAATTTACTTTAGTGGGGTTGGTTATTACTCTCGTTGTGTAGTTCTTACCCATTGACGCCAGGTGTGTTTAAAACAAATTTTATTAAAGTTTCTGCTTTCCGATGTTTATAACGTGCGTGTAATTTTTTTAATGTTTCTTCTTGTTTTACATTCGATCTTGATGGTATTTTGATTTTCTTATTATGGCTTTATTGGTTGAATTACTGTCAAAGTTTGCATAAACACATGCTGTACGAGTGTAATAAAAGGTTAAAAAGAATATACCATCTGATCATCATAACAATTCCCCACCGAAAGCTGTTAAAAGTGAATGTCAATAATTTTAATTGCTTACGAAAAAATGTCATAAAGCCATTGAAATAAATTTTAAAAAGTCGTAAAAGATTTTAAAGAATCTTTTTGCCGCCTTTTATATTTTGAAGCTCGATAAAATTTCATCTATGACGCAGGTATTTGGAATAGGTGAATCGCGATCCGTGACTTCTGCAACAGTTCATAAAATACAGAAACAGGATTTTTATGTTCCGCAAAAATGTTCGACTCGAATCGTTTTTCGTGAAACATTTTTTATCTCGCTCTGTCTCGGGATGTTCACCTGTAATGAGAGTTGCGAAAAAAAACCTTACCAGTTGCTCGGATGTAACTTCCATCGATTATCATCGTCATCATGTTTTAACCTGTTGTTTCAATGATGCTCACTAACACTTGCAACAATAATTCACCCCATCATTAAGCATCGCTTGTTGCTTTTCTTTTCATGAGACCAACAACAACAACTTCAATGTTGTTGAAGTTTAATGTTTTTAGAACAGGAAATTGTGAAAAGTTTTCATCAGATAACATCAACATCAAGTTTTTGGTCGATATTCTAAAATTATAAAATTAAATTGAAAATGATTTTCATTTAAATATTTGTAAGAATTTATTGATAAAAATGTTTAAAAATATTCTCAGTGACCATTCAGTAAGAATTTAAAAGTCTTTAACTTTTATCAAATGAAAATTCTTAACGACAAAAATAAAATTAAATGAAACTTTCTAGATTGTCAACCGTCGATGGTTTTTTGAAAAATTTCCTAGATTTTCCTAAATATCCTTACACATTTTCCACGACTGCGCACTGAAAAGTTAAAGCTAAACTTCAAATTTTCTCTGCAGATACTTTTGAAGAAAGTCTCGTGAATTTTTTCTCGTTGTGCAAGTATAATCAACAAAATTAAAAACTAATTTAGTTCAATCATGTAAAGTGAGTTCCATTAGCACGAAATTTGATAAAATTAACAACAAATTTCATTGATAACTTTTAAAAAATTGTGAATTGAAATTATGAAAAATTCTGAAGTGGCAAAGCGTCGCCGCATGAGAGCTGAAATTTATGAGCTACCAGCGATTCAATTCAATACTTGTCATTATATAAAGTGATTTATTTTTATGTTCACGAAGATTTTTTTGTCGTATTCAATTTAATTCAAGTGAAGAAAGTTAAAAACTTGATTGTTTTAAAATTGCTTCGCTGATGATATCGAATCATATCGCGTATCTTATGAACCGCCAAGTGGCTTAATACATTTTTTCATTTTTGAATGTCTGTTCATCGACTTCAGAAAAAAAGAATTCTTCTCGAAGACATAAAATGGTGACATTAGAAAAGTGACATTAGAGGTGTTTTAAAAGATTAAATACAATTTCAAGAATTAAAACGACATTAAAAAAGGAAGAAAATCTTAACATTTATGTAAAGAAATCTCAAGATTTTCACGCAGTTAATTTCCTCCTCCACATTAAGAGTTTGAAATGAAAATATCGATCGATTTTTTTTTCTTTTCTGAATCTCTTTATGTGTATTCTGTCGCTCATAAAATACGCAAGCATAAATACACGAAAGATAAGAGAGTAGAGAAAGCATAAAGTTTATTTCTCCAACAATATATTTTCGGTGAAGATGATGTTGAGGCATGTTTAGAGACAATTGAGAGATGACTCTTCCTGCTTTTAATGCATCAACGTACGTTAGACAAAAGCATGAACGAAATTTATGACAACCTTAATAATTGTAGCAATTTGTCACAACGTGCTTCCAACACAAGTCTCATGTATTTATCACTAATTTAAAATGTCATAAAGGCAGATTGGTGTTGTGATTGAAGATTTTTCATTTCAGAAGCAAGAGAATCTTTTAAAAATTGTGTCCTAACAAGTTAGAATATTTTATAAAAATTTCCACATTGAATTTGTTTACTTACATATTCATAGCACTCATTGTTAATTATGATAATGATTATGATAAGTGAGCAAGACACAAATGACCTCTCATAATTATCTCTAATCATCTCAAATTAAGCTTTGTTCACTTAAATTTCATTCTACAACAATCGTTCTCATCCCAAAAGGTGTAAAAGATGAATGAAACAACAAGAAGAAATTCATTGAGCAATCTGTGTCATGGTGATGTGATTAAAAATTGATGTGCTCGACGAACGAATTGACACGAAAAGAATGACAATATTTGTTATAGCATTATGAAATCCTAATGTTGTTTAAAGTGGATTTAAATGAAATTTGAGACCATAAGCACACATTTGCAAATTAAAACAGAAGAAAAAAAAGGAAAGAAAAATAAAGTTTTTATGAATGAGATCACGAGTGAAATTGAGCAGCGGTTGGAGTTTAGTCAATTTAAAGGAGGTTTCGGTTCGACACTAATCAACATTAGTTGCCGAATCGTCGACCCTATCTAATGCAGTGGCGGAAGTTTACACGACTGAAAACATCGGCTACAGGTACTTAAACTTTTCAATTTTCTTGCTGTCGCTTAATGTCAACGTTGAACATTAAAAAACTTTTTTCAGTTTCGCTTGTTGTTGCTTTTGTTGTCAACTTGTCAACATCACGAAAATTATACGCTTGAAAAAGCAAAGCTAATAAAATACCTTAATTTTTTTATTTAATTTCAGGACATTCCCGTTGCAAGGCGATGCTTTGTTGCGGCCGTAGGAAGGTAATTGTTGAACATGAAGCGCAAAAAACCAATAATTGATTTACGAGAAAAATCTTGTTCCGTCTATGTAAACTAGGCGACAGTTTAAAGCTGTTCATGCTATTTCCATTGATGTACAACTTAAAATTGAGTACAATGCAATAGTACATAATAGTATTTCACTCACACGGATATTTCAGGCATTGAAAATTGCCTCCCACACATACAATTGCAATGGAAATATAATCTCTCTTCAAGCGTTCTTTCCACTCATGAAAAGCCTTTGTAGTATTGTTGTAAAAGTTTTTTTCGCTTACCGGAATGAAAAGAGTGAAAATCATGAAAAGCATAAAGCGAGGTAAAAAGTTCCTTTTAGACAGAAAAAAAATTGTATTTATTGACGAGACGAAACTCAAACATTACTCCATGCGCGTGCGTGTTGCCATCGAAAACGGCATCCAAAAATTCTGTTTGCGTTCTGCCACTCACACTCGATACTCTTCACTCGATTAAAGCCCGTCGCCTTCCCCCACAATATACAAAAATTTTCACCGTCAAGTGAGGAAAATTCGACGTACTAGAATAGAGAGCAACGGCAGCAAGAAAAAAAGAAGAAAAATTCTTCTCTACAGTAAACTCAAATAAAACTTTTCACAGAGAATTTTAATTCGCCATCTTTTTTCCTTAACACAGAAGTCGAAAGTTTTTTTATTTAATTTTTTCTAGAGTTTAATTAGTGAGAATTATTTGTTAAAGTTATAATGTTTAATTGACGATAAAGAGAAGAATAAAACGATATAAAATAGTGAAGCTTAAAATGACAGCAATAAAATCTATTCTACGTGATGCTTTTAAAAAATGACCTCATAAGTCTCTCATCGTCTTAAGATGATCATTCTCCATGAATGAATTAAACTTAATGTGTACCATCATGATTTGCTCAAGCTAAGAATTAATAAAAGTGGACTTAAACATTAACAATCTCGATACATATCAAGAAGGATTTTTTCATCAAATCCTCTTAATCGATTTTTCTCGTTACTTTGTAAAATATTTCATTCTAACTATTTCTTTTTCGCTTTCTAAGAAAAGCAATTCATGTGATATTAATTCATCGCGAATAAAGTAATTAAAAAAAATACGAGAGGCAAAATGCGTGAAAAAATATTTCCCGACATATCAATGAACTAAGAAAAAAAAGAAAAAAATTAACAAAGTTGCATTTCTCCACCACATTCAAAAGCATAGCACAGTGAAGAGTGAGAGCGGAAAGTTTCATTGAAGTTTTGTGGGAATCTAGATAGAAAACTTCCTTTCACTGTACATGAAAGGCGAGTGGAAACGAGTAATGTGTGATAGTACAAATAGTGGATGCTTTTTTATCAGAGGCAACAAGGTATTTAATCTATTTAGGTTACGCATCAATTGATCTTATCTTCTAACTAGATATGATCGATTATTGATTAAACTCTCAATCAACTTCTTATTAAGAAAAAAGTTACATAAATAAATTATTAATCATGAGACAATTAAATTTAATTGAATAAGACATTTCCTGAACATTTTTTTATTAAACTTTAAAAGAAAGATGTGGAAATTCACGCATGACTCATAGGAAAATCTTAAACGATATTAGAAGGAAAACTTTTTAAACTATTTTTATAAATATTTTAGGACAATGGTAGATCAGTGCCCGATCTCACAGCCAGTCCAGGACGTGCACCGCATCCAGGACCAGGTCAAATGCAATCCAATCAACATAACTCAAACATGCAGAGACAGGGCGGCGTTAAAGAGCCAGTTTTATTACAGGGTGACTTTAGAAAAGTTTCGGGCATTAGCTCCGAAATTTTCCGTCAAATCGAAGCGGTGGAAAATGATCACGATCCGAGTACAGCTGCGGCATTAGATGTAATTATTTCTTTTTTTTTGTTGAGTTTTTCTTATTCTTATCCATGATGGAACTTGAAATAAGAACGAAAGTAAAAAAAGTTATGAATTTTTAATATTAATTCTTTTTTTTCCTTCTCTGTTTCTTAATGTTTAGGCCGTTGAGCGTCGTGGAGAGATGATTGTACGAGTTTTAGAGCCAAGATGTATTGGAAGTCGACAATCTTATGAATCTGCACAAAGATTTCTAGCAAAAGCTGATTCACGTCATACTGTTCAGTTAGTTGAGATTGTGAAACGTCCTGGCCAAACTCTTGGTAAATTGAATTTCAACAATAAAATTCTGAAAGTTTTTATCGCTTTGAATTGAAACTTTTCAATTTATTTTTTCTACTTTAATAACTTTTAAGGCTTATACATTCGAGAAGGAAATGGAACCGATCGATCGGATGGTGTTTTCATATCAAGAATAGCACTAGAATCGGCTGTTTATAATAGCGGATGTCTTCGTGTTAGTGACGAGATTCTTGCAGTTAATTTGGTCGATGTCACTAAAATGTCATTGGATGATGTTGTCATTATCATGTCGATACCACGTCGATTGGTGTTGGCTATAAGAACGCGTCGAGGCCGCTCAAATTCACCACCACCTCTCACACGTTCCGAACAAAAACCACCTGTAGTTGTTATAAAGCGTGATTTGCGTGATGAAGATATAATGATGGATGAAACCGATCATGCACATCGTTCTCGTTCATCAAGAGAACGTCGAACGGGAGATGGTCGAGAGATGAGTGAATCGAGATCACGACTAGGATTGGGATTAGCCAACTACAGCCCACAGAGTGAACAATTGGATTTATATTATAATTCACGCTCAAATACTGTTGATCAGCATACACCAAGTTGGGGTTATAAAGCACCAGCACCGCCGTCTGTTATCACTGAACAGCCAAAGGGTGCACATCAGTTCCAGCCATCGAATGCTTATTACCAAAATGCTGGAACACTTGAGAGCTTAGCCGAGAGAGTTCATTCGTTCTATCCCGGACCAAGTCGAAGAATGTCAGACACACGAAGTGGCGTTCCAACGAGTCATTCGCATCAGAAATTTCCACGAAGTGGTTCTGCTGACATTTTACCTCGCGTTGAATATTCCGATTACTCGGCATCGCTTGGTCGACATTCATTATTGAGGTCGAGTCTCAAGTCAGGCGCTCCAATTCCACCAATCGCTGGTGGTACTTTGGGTCGTTACGGTCGTTACGATCAATCGTCGAGAAATGCAATAAAATATTCGTCGCCAGCAAGTTCAAGTGTGTCACGACACAAGCCTCCACTTGACTACTCAAGTGACACTGAAGCAACAATAGGACGTCAAAACTATTATTACTACAATCAACGACCTAATATAAACACAATGGGACGACCAAGTGCAGCACAATTAGGTATGACGCCTGATTTCGCTAAATTCAATTCATTACCGAGAGATCGAAATGCTGCTGCTGCTCGAATGAATTTAAGATCTCGACTTGTTGATAGAATCGGAAGCGAAGATGATGGAAATTTATCCGCCCCTGAATACTCACTGCCAACAGCGCGACGTGATAGAGGTGAGAAATTTGTTAAACTTGTTTTATTCACAACTTTAATTTGAATTCTGACAAATTAGATCTTCGACGTGGAATCTCAACAAATCCATCAATCTTTACTTCCGACGAGTATCGAGCATGGCTAAGACGTGCACCAAGTAGTTCAGCAATCTGCGAACAAATGCGAGCATCGCGTGACATTCTTAATCAACAGCGTGCGCATCGTTTCTCATGTAGCGCTGAAAATATTCATGATGCTTTAAAGAATGTAATTGCTTGTTTGTGATATTTATAATTAATGCAAATCATTATTAAAAATATTCTTTTTTAGACGGAAAATATTTACAGTAATCGAGCGCGAATGCTTGGAACGCTTGATCGAAATAGCATCGGATTGAGTATTCGCGGTGGTATTGCTTCGCTTCCAGTTCGTTCAATGTCATCACAACATATTGGCGGTCCACATTCAGCTATTCGATCGCCGAATATACGACGAATGAGACAATTACTTGAGTTGAGTGCTGGTGCTGGTGGAATTCCATCTCCAGGTAGTGTAAGTGGTCATCAAAGTCCCGCACCAACTCCTAGTACAACCATGCCACGCAATCAACGTCAAATTGACATCAATCCGGTTGAGTTCCAAAAATATAAGCTTGAGAAGCCAATAATGGAGTCACAAGGGTTGTCAGGTATGCTGTGGTTCAACTTGTTAGCCGGACGTGGCTTACGCTCGACTCCTGAAGGTATACAAAATAACACGCAAATTCGCGACTTGTATTGTGTGTTAGAATGTGATAGAATTCACAAGGCTCGAACGGTTGTGCGCTCCGGCGATTTACAATTTGACTGGGACGAGTCATTCGAGCTTGATTTGGTAAATAATAAGCAACTTGATGTTCTTGTTTACTCATGGGATCCACAACATCGGCATAAACTTTGCTATCGTGGCGCAATTGCCATTCCAACGCTTATCAGACAAGCGCCCATTCATCAACTTGCACTTAAAGTTGAGCCACGTGGCACGATATATTTGAGAATGCGTTACACAGATCCAACACAACTTTATCGAAGACGTGGAATTCCAACGATTCGTGGTGGTGCAACGTCAGCTTTATTCGGTATTGACTTGGAAACAGTCGTTACAAGAGAAGCAAAAGGTGCACCAGGATCAGCACCGGTTCCAATTGTTTTAAGAAGATGTGTTGAAGAAGTTGAGCGACGTGGTTTAGACATCATTGGTTTTTATCGTCTTTGTGGATCAGCCACAAAGAAGCGTTTGCTTCGTGAAGCATTCGAGAGAAATAGTCGAGCCGTTGAACTGAGTCCCGAGCATGTTCCCGATATAAATGTTATCACCGGTGTATTAAAAGATTATTTAAGAGAACTTCCAGAACCTCTGTTCACACGTTGTCTGTTCCAAATGACTGTCGATGCACTTGGTGTTTGTCTCCCAGATGATCCCGAAGGAAATGCTAAATTAATGTTAAGCATTTTGGATTGCTTACCACGGGCTAATCGGGTACGAATCGGGGGAGAAAACTTAATAAATTTTTTAATATATTTTAATTTTTTTTTTCTTTTTAAGGCGACACTTGTTTTTCTACTCGATCACTTATCCCTCGTGGTATCAGCTTCTGAACGTAATAAAATGTCAGCACAAGCTTTAGCAACAGCACTTGGACCTCCACTTATGTTACATTCAACTGGAACACAGTCTGAAGAGATTGATCACGCACAGCCGATAGCTGTCTTGAAATATCTGCTTCAGATTTGGCCACAACCCCAATCAGCCGCTAATATTTCAGGTAATGTAATTACTATAAAAGTCAGTCTCGAAATATTCATAATTTTTATGAGTTGACTTTGTGTGTGAATTCATCAATAAATGTCTGGTATAGTTGTGAAAGTTTATTAATAAATGATTAATACAGAATCTTATGTATCCTTAGACAGGCATGCATCGGCGCGGCGAGCAGCCACTAGGTCAGCGTGGAAGCAAAGTCAATGCATTGCCAGCGGTCAAACCACAACAGGTAGCATCAGCCAATATCCCCACCTCGCTCGCTCGAACTCCGCTTTCAGCCACAGCCAACAATCCTCAGTATCAATCAGTAGTGGGTCAGTTAGCTCAATCGCATCGAGTCTTACAGCCAGTGGCGCAAACGGTGAGTGAAACAATAAATGTTGAAGAATATTTTGATTTATACAGATTTCGATTAGTCCCTCCAGTTGGGAGTATCATCGGCCTCATCGGTTCAAGGCCCATTGCTTCGGCAGCAGCCCGCCACACCCTCCCCAAGCTCTAGTTCGGGTACAACATCTGACGGTTCTGGATCAGGTAAGAACTTCTTTGAAAATGTAAAAATTATCATTAATTTAATATCGCTTTTCATTTGATTTACTTTTCAGGTACTGAAACAATCAAGCGAGGCGCTTCACCTCCTACAAGCATTTCTGAAACAAATGTTCGCATCAAAGAATCGACAAGCAACAATTCATTTAAACAAACGACGACACATGATCAAAATTCAGCATCATCATCACTAGTAAGCAACAAACATAACAATAAAGATGAAACAAAGATAGCAGACAGCAGTTCAAGTGGACCAACTACTACTTCAATTCAATCGTATGATAAGCCAACATTTTCTAAATCCACTTTGACAACAACCGCAGCATCATCATCAAGTAATTATAAACATTACACATCGATAAATACCACGAAATCATCACCTGTTGATAAGTTTGTGAGAAAACTTGATACAACAACAACAACACAGTCGTCAGCTGTTGCAAAATCTGACGACATAACGCTTTATAAGCCGATGACAAGCTATAATTTATCTACGTCAGCAACGACGACAACTGTCAGTAGTCTCACAACAATAACACCGAGTAGCACCACAGTTGCTCCGAAAACCGTTTGCGTCAAAACAAATGGATCAAAAACAGCCACAACCGTTACCAATAACTTCAAACTACCACCATTTCCCGTTTATATTCCACCAGCCAATTTACCATCAACCTCACATTTAATATCCGATTCTTCGGGTCTAAGTAGCAAAGCAGAAGCATCGACGACTGCATATTCTTCTAAGTACAGTGATTCACCGACATCGTCGTCTGTGACGACTGCATATTCAACTACACTTAGTCGACTTTCAAGTTCATCATCGTCACCATCTAGAACAATAAATAATGTTAATAATACAAATACATTACCGTTACATTTAGGTAGAAATAATCCATACTTATATCAATCAGAATCAAATTTTACTAACTCTAATGTAACTTCAACAACAACTGCAACAACAACATCTAATAATCCATCAACGGGAAGCTACACGAGTCCAGTGACGTCATATTTAAGTCAACAATCGAATTATAATAATGTTTATAGCACTTTGCCCCGAACAACTAGCTCATCATACAGTAGCAAGTATGATTCTAATAATGACAATGATAAATTAACCGCAAGCTATTCGTCTTATAAATACAGTACTGACCTTTATTCTAATCTCACATCAACGACAAATAATGCATCAAATAATGGAACATCGACTTATACAAGTAGCTCATCTGATAGTAATGTGTATAGAGTGCAATATTCAGCGACTAATCCATTCTTAGATCCTTTAGATTCAAGTCCCTCAACAACGGCCGCCGGTTCAGACAATATGAGTTCATTTTTAAGAGGTAGCGTTTCAGAAACGAAAAAGAAATTTGAGAAACTTGACAGTGGAGAAGATTTGAAGTAAGAAAATAATTTTATTATCTAAAGGAGTTCATCACTTCTGATCGTTCGTTCCTATTTGCAAGTAGATTCCAAGAAAATTCTGAGAAAATGATCGAGAAGTGAAAACAAAAAACATTCGACACAAATCAGTATAATTCATGGCCAAATTTTATTCCAACTTTAGTTTTCCGATATTTAAAAATGTTCCGTGAAAGTTCTTCGATGTTCATAAAGACAAATTGAAAAATCAATTTTGATATTTGTTCATCATTGTAATTAATTAAATCTTGCAAACATATTTTCCGAAGCTTTAATTGTATAGTACATCAGATCAAGTGAATTATGCAAAATGATTTGAATTAAAAGACGTGAAACTTCACTTGATAAATCTCATTATAAAACTTTAATTGAAAGTAACACCACTTAGGAATAGATTTCCATAAAACAAATGTTTATTCAAGAAAAGAAAAATGTTTACAATGAATTTACAAAGAAAAAGTATTACTACAAATCACTTTAAAGTGAAAGTGAATTGAAAAACCTTTACAACTTTTATTAGTTTTTATACTTTAAACGATTTTTAAGTAGACTCAGAGGACAATTATGTAATTTAGATTGATAATCTTGTGAGATTTTACATGGAGAAGAAACATAATTCTTTATTACTTATAGACAATACTTGATAAATACTACAAATTTATACAACTGAATGGCCACTAATATGAACATTTTCCAAGTCTTTAAAGCTTCACTTTCGATTAACTCCACGTTGTGCAGCTGAAGACCAAACCTCACGACAAATCAAGAATTGATAAACTACCCACACCTCATTAATTATCTTCACCATTTGTCTATCCAATATTGAACCCGACATCGACTACCCATGATAAAAAAAAATCAAAACTTCGTCTTCACTAAAGTTGAATGTCCACAAAAACTGAATAAGACAGAAAAAGAAAAATATTTAAAAGCTTAAATGAAACTTTTTCGATGCATAAAAAATATTAAATTCACTTAAATTGAACTACGATGTTCATGAGTGAATGAATATAATTAAACACAATATATAATTGAACATATAGGTGCTTTATTTATCTTGTAGTAGAAACAATTATCTACGATGTGTAACTTTTTGTCTAAACAAAATGAAGGTTTTAAAAGATGAAGCAAATATGAAACTTAATGTTAATATCATCAACATTTTTCATTTCCTCTTAGGTATTTCTTTTTTTCTTTTAAGAATATCTATTTAATAGTTTACATCTGAAAAGTCAAGCTTTAAATGAAATATGTTTAATAGGAGAATTGAAGTGTGTGAAATATAAAATAAACTCGTTTTGAATCCTTATGATTACTGATAGATTAACCACGAAACCTTATTATTGATGCGCTCAATTAAATAAATAATTGAAACATTATAAATAGACAAGCTTAGATTAATGATTAATGAGAATGTTGATTGCCATTAAATTGTTGTTTTTAAAAGAGAGTCTAATAAGAAGCTCCTGATTTCTAAAAATACCTTCATCAAATTTAGGAAATGTCAATTTTTGTCTTAGACTACGCAATAGCGCTTATCTTAGAGCAGATTTGAAAAGAGATAATTATTTGAATGCTTTGTTGTCTTGAGAATGAAAAGTTTTATGAATATAAATGAAAGAATGAAAGCTTTTCGTCGCTGGTCGTATTGAATATTGTACTCGTTGCATAATCACATAGTCACAATGACTGAGATGTTGTTGAATGATAATCTTCGTTTAGTTTGTGCAAAGCGGTCTTAATAATTGTAGTTCACAAGCCTTGTTAGCTTATGATATGAGGATGCAAAGGGCTATAAACATTTATTACAATTTATTCTAATGCATAACGTTACAATTTATTAATCTCATCTGTTGGAAATACATTTTAATTATGACATAAACAAACATGTTAGAAAATGCATTTAACTCATATTTATTCAATGTTTTCTTTTTAAAAATCCTTTATCAATTAATTTCTATGAACAAACTGGACTTGTATGTTGTTTATATCACTGTTTCATATCGTATATTTAAAAACAAAAAGCGCATTTGACAAGATTCATAATATGGCTTTATACATGAAAAATAAAAAAAGAAGATGAAAAAAAACCTAAAATTAAACTTTTAGAATGATACATGTTTAATGCACAATATTTCATATTAAAAACCGTCTTAATTAATAAAAACATAAAAACTAACAAAAAATAGCAAAAATTGGTGAAAAATTTTTTAGAAAAAAGAGAAAATGAACTACAAAAAATTGATATGAAACAAGCATAAAAATACTTTAACAATAAGATATTTGAAGCCTATTGAAATTCACACTGAAAGAGTTTTTCTGTACCTTCCTTGACCTCTCTTCCTTTTCTATTTGTATTTTCTCTCAAAGTTAGCATGAATTCACCTTTATAGAGATACACCAAATTAAGATTGCAAGGAAAATTAATGCTACGATAACAGAAGAGTTTAAAAATTCGCTTATCAGAGTCATAAGATTGAAAGAAAAAAAAATCATTGGAAACTAAAAGTCTTGAAGTCTTCGTTTTGAGTTTTCTTTTGAAATTCGTCACTTGATTACTTATGTAACCTGATATCATTAGCGAGAAGAATTGATTAACAACGCACTTGACATAGTAATATGATACATAATATATTTTAAACGCAAAAAAAATATAAAAAAGAATAAAACTTTGTCAATTTTACGATGAAAGAATAAATATGAATGAGAAAGAAAATTAGGCTTAAATCTAAATATCTAATATAAAAGATAAAAAGAAAAATCGGAAGCTTTTGAAAGATGAAAAAAAAATTAGAAAAGCAAAAATTATTTTATTGGTAGAAGAATTTTCGCAAAGCAAAAAAAATTGTTGGCATAATAAGAAAAGCTACGTGAACATCAGCAAAAAAGAATTCTTCGAGTACTTTATCCTCTATCTCCCTGACGATGAAAATGACGAAATATGTTGTTAATTTATTTCTCTTTTCAACAAGTTTTCCCCAATTTCTGCTCCATTTCTTTATCCTTAATCGAAGATATGAAGGCATGAAAGCATTTGGATAATAAAGTTAAGAGAAGCACGCGAAAGAAGAAGGAAGGATGAATAATATAAACTTGAATAAAAACTATATGAACTTAATACGTTATTATCTATTATCAGAAAAAAAAAGTTATAAGTATATAGGCAAAAGATGAAAAATTATAAGATAAAGAAATCGTTAGAGTGAAAAAAATAATGGGAAGTAAATTCTCGATGAATGTAAAACGCCCTTCACCAAACTCTTCTGACAAGTGACAACATAAATAATAATAATACATGGTTTAAACGTGCACAATTTTCCATCTCGAAGAAACACGATTTTCCGGGTACCAAATCTTATTTAAAAAAGTTTTTTTTTCTACAAATAAACTCGTTTTGTAAGTAAACTATGAGTTTTGATACCAAATATTTACAGAAGCAATTTTTTTGTGTATTTTTTTCATTCCTGAATATGAAACTATTTATTCATTATAGAATTTCAAAAACTTCATTTCATTATTTTAAAGGATACAAGATTAGTTCGATTTTTGAAACAATACTCTATATTACACTGCCACACAAGATTTAATGATGAATACATAGCGTTTATATGAATCCTATATAGGGCGAACGCAAACAAGAAAAAACTAAGAAAAATTATTAATAAAAAAAGTAAAATAATAGTCAAAAATACTGAGGCTTTCATTCAATTAGTTAATTCTTCTTTTCAGCAGTTTATAATGTCAAAAATTAATCTTTACGCTATAACTACGCAAAATGCTAACCTTATAGAAGTTTAAAAGGAAAATTAATGAAAGAGAATTAAATGAAGATCTCGAATAATGACGGAAATAAATATTTGATTGTAAGGAATAGTAATCGGTTTAATTTGATTAGACAATAAATTAAAGGGCCCTTGATGAAGTTGTAAGTTGATGTTCCTAGTAAAACTACGTTTTAAGATAAATTCAAGACACAAAAATAAACATTAAAGTTCACTCGAATTATTTTTCCACTTTATTACGTTCTTCTTGTTTACAATAAAAATATTTTTATCTACTACTGTACTTTGGTGATAATTTCACAACTAAAAAAAATTATGATAGTGACTTCATATTTTTCTCTTGAATACATTTCACTTTTGGGGAATTTGACAAAATTAAAAAGGAAAACTTCTGTTGAGAAACAAATCTTAATTGTCTAACACACGTAAAAGAAACATCAGGTGCATCACGAATCACTAGATAAAATTTTGAGCAAAAATTAAGCGAATCAACAAAATTTGACAAGATATTATTTATCTTTGACGATTTATCATCATCGGAATGTTATCTGAGCTTTCATGAATTTTTTTGGAGACACAAATTCATCACACATTTACAATTCCATTAATTAAACGACAAGTTTTCCAAAATAATTTTAATTTTTTTAAGTTTCGAAATATTCATGACAATTGGAATGTTTTGACTCTTTCTTATAAAAAATATTTGATTTTCACCTTAAAACAATCAATATGTAATTTTCTTTTCATATTTACTGACTAGATTTTCATTTTCTTTACAAATTTTCTTTGATATAAAGTAGAACTAAATACTTTTCAGATTTTCATTTCATAAAATCCGTTTTTCATTCAGTTACTGGATGGATTTGATGTTTTGAGCATGCTACATACATATAAGAATTTAGATATGACATTTTATACCGAATGAATGTTACAGTTCCAATCCAAATGAAACATAAAGTTCTTAGAATTATACGCTTCCTGATACGCCATTTATTCTCTTTTACATTAAATTAGAAAAATCCTCAATTTACAAACAATTTTACTTGGCATATCTATTTGGAACTGAGCTTAAAATAAAACTTCTTTCTTTCTTGGAATTTAATTTTATAAATAATTTAAGAAAGAATTCCTTGAAATGTTTTTAAATATGAGTTTTTCTCATCTTCAAATTCTTCTTTCGACTCACAACAGGCACATCAATCAAGCAGGAAATCAAGCATGATTTTGTCTTCTTGTAAACATTAATTAATGTGGTAAATTCTTGCATGGCTCCATTTTGACAATAAATTCATTCTCATGATATAAAGTTAAATCATTAGAGCTTGATGAAAGATGAAGTTTGAAAGCATCATCGCCCAACATAACAGCAATTGGTTGAGTGTTTGTATTTTCAGCGACTTTATGCTCGAGTATGAAGAACATGTATTCATCATACAACAATCTAATCAAATGAAATGATCCGAAACTTGCAGCAGAACGTAATGTTAAGTCACGAATAACCATTGAGCTATAAAACGACCATTTCAGTAAGAATTGACGGGCTGCTTTAACATAAGAAGCTTTTCCACGATATTCTTCAAGTGCTTGATCAACAACTAATCTCAACCATGCCGCCCATTGTTCCAATGTATTTTGCTGTTGTAAAGCAGCTTTAAATTCACCTTCAAGTCTCTGAACTGTTGCTGTGTCACATTGGCATACCCACGAAGCTTGTTCTTGCACATTATGAAAATCAACACGATTTAAATCGTTGAGCATTTGAGTGATTTGCGTTGTATTATGCAAAACAGCGCGTGCTGCTTGTGCTAAATGATTCAGCGAAGTATAACGACGTAATGTTTGACTAAATGCGGATACAGCTGACAATTTAATTTGAATAATTTCTTCGGGACATCCAATCATAGCTGATGTCAACCAATTCTCTAAATTCTTTGCAAAATTTCTGATTGACTGCGTTAATGTAGATGGAATTGGTCTGAGAACATCAGGTATCAAAACATCAACCATATTTTGATAAAATTGAAAATCAATTTGCTTCATAAAGCTCTGAACAGCTTCACATTGACACAAATTAAAAAGCTTCATCTTACTCAAATATTTTTCTTCTTCACATTCGTCCATGTTGTTGTTGTCTTGAGCACGCCAAAATTCACGCCACAATGATTCAATTGTGTTAAATTCCAAATTCAACACAGCATCAAGAAATGCTTCCAAATGTTCACGATAAATTGAACGAAGTGTGTCGACATCTTCAAGTGTTACATCATCAGGTAATGAATGTTGCAATTCCAATTGTGGAAATGATGGAATTGCTTGACTTCCATCACCAAGAAACTGGATTAAGAAATTACGAAAACTTAAAGTTCAAGAGAAAGATTTCTTTTTGACTATTTTTGTTCTTACCTGAGCGCATGTTTCATAAGATTCAGGATTAGCTTTGAATCTTTTCCTTGACCCTGAAGCTTGTCCACTTGTTCCACTGCTATTTCCACTTCCATATTGACTAGAATTGACTGATGGCTTCTCATCAACAACAACATTAATTAAATTTGAGCCTGGTTTTATTCTTATACCATAATAATGATATTTTGAATTTCCTCTTGTTCCCAATCGACGTGTGCGTAATCCAGTGAAGACTGAACGAATAAGCTTTCCAAATGATGCCGCATTGACAGCATCCAACTTATGTTCATTACAATGTCTCATATAATGATTGTATAATGTTGATCGTGGTAAGCTTACACCTTCAGCTGTCTCATAATTTTCCACCAACCAAGCAACCTGAATTCAACCATACGGAACAATAAATAAAATTAATTTAATAATTTTAATTCACTTCATGATGACATAAAACCATAAAAAAGTTTTAAATAAAACCATAGTTAAATTTTTCTCCGAATAATATAAAGGAAATTTATCAAAAGAATGTCAGAAATGTTTTTAAATAAAATTTTTGTAGCGTAAATTTTTTTCTTCTTTCTTCTAATGAACTGACAAGTGAAACTTTTGTAGTAATAAAATGGAAAAGAGAAAAATAAAAAAATCTTTTTATTCATCATATACGTAGAAAAGAAAATGATAAATATAAAATATTAGAAGAAAAAGAAAATGGAAAATGTCCTTTTATCCACCCACACTATGAAATCATCTGTGCTTACCGTTGCTGGGGAAACTCTCGTTGCATGTGTTAAATTTGGGGTGGATTCAGATGAATCCATATTGTTATTTGATTTGTGAGTATCGCTTTGTTGATTTGAAGCGGCTGGTGTCGAGGTTGATGATGAAGATGATGAGTTTGAAGCTCCTTGTCCTTGGATATACGCCACATCCTTTGATCAAAGAAAAAAAAAGAAAAAAAAGAAAAACAAATCAAATTAAATTTAGCCAAATAAAAGATTCTTTCTTTTTGCAATCATATTTTAATGGAGATGAAGATTGCGCAACGCGTTGTTGTACAAACGAGGAGGAAAAAATCAATAAAGATCAACTTGTGAAAATTTATGATGAAAATTATGAGATAAAATAAATCACTTGACTTGATGAATCAAGAATTCATTTTTCTATCTTTAACTTACCGAAGAAATTGTTTGTGGAGATCCTCGCGATTGAGTCACTCCTAAAATGGCTTCATCAACAGGCACGATGTAAGAATTACTATTGGCATTGCCATTTGAAGATGATGATGATGTGAAATTACTTGCAGTTGTTGCGAAATATTGCTGACCACCTGCGTAATCACCAACAGCATAAACTGGATATGTCCTGGGATATAAAAATGGAGAATTAAATATTCATTGAAGCTTATTAATTAAAATATGAAATAAATTTACATTTGAGAAGATTCTTGACCAGTGGTTGTCGCGTACAATTCTGAATCAACATATTGGACGTACGATCCATCTTGAGCTGATACTGTAAAAAATAATTAAAGTCAAAAGATGAATGGAAGTTTATAAAAATTCAAATAATTATTATCAATAGTTTTATTCATGATATTTTTTTATTCTACCTCCGCAATTATAATTCGACATATTAGTCGAACTGTGACTATGACTGTGCCCATGATGTCGTCGATACATCATGCTCCGTTTACTTTCCTTTTTATTCGATAATTTATCAAACAGTTTCACCTTCGTTCACAATTATTTTGTCACAGTAACGCGATATCTAATTTTTTAATTATATTCGTTTAATCCAAACACTGTACGAATATTTATTTAAAATCATTTACTCCAAAGTGAAAGAGAAAAGGAATTGAATGAAATCTGATACACAATGAAAGAGTTGTCATCAATTCAGTCGATGGCTAAAGGATTAAATTCCAATTTATACGATAGTTAGTCACTAAGCAATACGCTATTAAACTCTTTTTTTATGCAATCGAAACTTTTTGTCTCACAAAAAAAAGCCACAATCTCATGTCACGAGATGCTTTCAAATACCTGCACGAGAGGAAAGTAATGCAAAACCTTAGCAACGCGACGATGAAAATTCAACTGAATTCGATACCGAAGGAAAAAAGTTCTAAACGTTGGAAAAAATATATTTTTTTTCTCCCTTTTCGGGAAACGCGCAAAACAACACAAGATGAGATACGAAATGTTATTCTCAAACCTCCCTCTTCATATTTTCGCCTTATTCGAGATCTTGTTTTCCTATTTCTGTATGCCTCCTTTTTCCTTTTGGCATTTCAGACTTTTCCACCTTTTTTTTGTGTTATTATCTCTCTGTTATGTACCTACGAAGTTCGTTTTTTTTAATCATCACTCAAGTGTTCGACATGAGGTAAAATAAAAGCTTTGAGTGATATTTCACATTTTCTTAATTCTTTTTTGATAGAAACATGATAAAATGTATCAGAAAATGTAACCGAATCCTTGTCAAGATTTTTCTCTGCAATGACTTTTAGAAATTGATTGAGTGAAAATCATGGAAATTCCGTGATATTTTCATTTCTACAGGCGAAAGTGATATCAAATAACAAACTCAGCTTGTATGAGTTCATCTTACATCGGTGGTTGTTTTGCTGTCGTACAGCATCCAAGCATCATGATTGGTTAGTTTAACATATTGAGAAGGCGTGGCTATATATACATCAACCAACGAGAAAGATTTCGAAACAGAAACAAGCGGGGAAAGTTTTCGTCCTACATTGATGAGACACACAAAATTTTATCTCATCAAAAAATTATTTTGATTTCGATTAAAGCTGTCGGTGTAACTAATTTTCCGCTGTTTTTACATAACAGATATTTCTGTTCTTAACTTCTTACTTCAAAATGCAATAAAGTAATTTTTTTTGTTAATTCAGAAAGTTTTTTTAAGTGCTGTTTAAGTGTTTAATTTCATTAAATGTGAATAATTTTTCTTTTTGTGAAGGAACTTTTAAAAACAAATTTTTAATTGTTGACTTGAAATGAAAGTCAATTAAAAGAAAAGTTACAAATCTAATTAGAGCTGATACAATTGGAAAAAGGAAACATTTAATAATGATAGCAAAACTTATTGGAATTATTATTTATAAAATTTACTTCATAATATTCCACAAGATATCCAAATGTGGAATTCAAANGAATTCCTTGAAATGTTTTTAAATATGAGTTTTTCTCATCTTCAAATTCTTCTTTCGACTCACAACAGGCACATCAATCAAGCAGGAAATCAAGCATGATTTTGTCTTCTTGTAAACATTAATTAATGTGGTAAATTCTTGCATGGCTCCATTTTGACAATAAATTCATTCTCATGATATAAAGTTAAATCATTAGAGCTTGATGAAAGATGAAGTTTGAAAGCATCATCGCCCAACATAACAGCAATTGGTTGAGTGTTTGTATTTTCAGCGACTTTATGCTCGAGTATGAAGAACATGTATTCATCATACAACAATCTAATCAAATGAAATGATCCGAAACTTGCAGCAGAACGTAATGTTAAGTCACGAATAACCATTGAGCTATAAAACGACCATTTCAGTAAGAATTGACGGGCTGCTTTAACATAAGAAGCTTTTCCACGATATTCTTCAAGTGCTTGATCAACAACTAATCTCAACCATGCCGCCCATTGTTCCAATGTATTTTGCTGTTGTAAAGCAGCTTTAAATTCACCTTCAAGTCTCTGAACTGTTGCTGTGTCACATTGGCATACCCACGAAGCTTGTTCTTGCACATTATGAAAATCAACACGATTTAAATCGTTGAGCATTTGAGTGATTTGCGTTGTATTATGCAAAACAGCGCGTGCTGCTTGTGCTAAATGATTCAGCGAAGTATAACGACGTAATGTTTGACTAAATGCGGATACAGCTGACAATTTAATTTGAATAATTTCTTCGGGACATCCAATCATAGCTGATGTCAACCAATTCTCTAAATTCTTTGCAAAATTTCTGATTGACTGCGTTAATGTAGATGGAATTGGTCTGAGAACATCAGGTATCAAAACATCAACCATATTTTGATAAAATTGAAAATCAATTTGCTTCATAAAGCTCTGAACAGCTTCACATTGACACAAATTAAAAAGCTTCATCTTACTCAAATATTTTTCTTCTTCACATTCGTCCATGTTGTTGTTGTCTTGAGCACGCCAAAATTCACGCCACAATGATTCAATTGTGTTAAATTCCAAATTCAACACAGCATCAAGAAATGCTTCCAAATGTTCACGATAAATTGAACGAAGTGTGTCGACATCTTCAAGTGTTACATCATCAGGTAATGAATGTTGCAATTCCAATTGTGGAAATGATGGAATTGCTTGACTTCCATCACCAAGAAACTGGAAAAAGAAATTACGAAAACTTAAAGTTCAAGAGAAAGATTTCTTTTTGATTATTTTTGTTCTTACCTGAGCGCATGTTTCATAAGATTCAGGATTAGCTTTGAATCTTTTCCTTGACCCTGAAGCTTGTCCACTTGTTCCACTGCTATTTCCACTTCCATATTGACTAGAATTGACTGATGGCTTCTCATCAACAACAACATTAATTAAATTTGAGCCTGGTTTTATTCTTATACCATAATAATGATATTTTGAATTTCCTCTTGTTCCCAATCGACGTGTGCGTAATCCAGTGAAGACTGAACGAATAAGCTTTCCAAATGATGCCGCATTGACAGCATCCAACTTATGTTCATTACAATGTCTCATATAATGATTGTATAATGTTGATCGTGGTAAGCTTACACCTTCAGCTGTCTCATAATTTTCCACCAACCAAGCAACCTGAATTCAACCATACGGAACAATAAATAAAATTAATTTAATAATCTTAATTCACTTCATGATGACATAAAACCATAAAAAAGTTTTAAATAAAACCATAGTTAAATTTTTCTCCGAATAATATAAAGGAAATTTATCAAAAGAATGTCAGAAATG